GATAAGCGCTTCGTAAAACTGCTGAAACTCGAGGTATGAGCGGGAAACATTGCGGTATGTGGTCCCTGTAAAATTAGACAGTGTTGTCTGCGAGCGCAAGTCTGATTACCATATGGATGATAAAGTGCAGCTAGCTTACCTGGGCATCAAGCTTGAAGAGTATATCCCGCCTATTCCTGTCCATTCCGGTTATCCGCACACGTAGATATGGTTCCATCTTCTCGTATTTGGTGCCGTTTGAGCCTACTGTCGTCTGCGGAGAGACAAGGCCAGGTTCAGGCTGGCCATAAATTTTCGGTTCTCTACCGTACAACCCATCTGTCTCTGTTTTTTGGACACTCACTGGTGATGGTAAAGACGGGGAAGCGCGACGCAAATGAGGTATTGGAGAATTCCGCTCGTGGGGAGTCGTTGGCCATGGTGGTGACGTGTCGGTGTTTCCATTAGCAAAAATGGAACTAGTAGAGCTAAGAGGGTCAAACATGACAACACTGTAGTGCTTAGAAGGACAGTAATAGAGAAAGTGATGATGTGTGCACGATGGCCGCAATTTCGCCAAACGCCTCAATTTGATGTGATAATAGATCACATAAGCAACTATTATGAGACAACTTCAAGCAAGTCCTAGAATTCTGACTGTAGATCTACCGGTAAAATTAATGAGTACACTCTATCTAAGGACGACCAAGAAATACACAGGGTAAATACATGATAATAATAGTCGTGTCAAAGTCAAACCCCCTGCATATTATCTTCATATTATCTGTGCGAAGGAGCGACATGGAGTTGCGTCATGACTCGGCTTGCCCGCCTGCCAAATAAAGCGGCAACATATGCCCCATGCGGAGAATCTTGGTGCGGAGGTACTTGTCCAAGTCCTCCCCTCTGACCGCCTCTCCGCCGATCATGGTCACACCTGCAGTTTTACCCAGGTCAGCCTCTCCCGCGTCCGCTTGTGAGTGAGAGCGATGTCTCCAGCTTCTAGGCACCATCTGCACCCGCTCTACAACCTTCAGGCCCTCTTTCTCAAGAGCTTGAACTTTGTCAGGGTTATTTGTCAATAGCCGAACACCCTCGCCAAGCTCTGAACCAAGCCCAAGGTCACGCAAAATGGCGACCGCAATTTCGTACCCACGTTCATCGGCCTGATGCCCGAGCATCAAATTGGCTGTGACCGTGTCATGGCCCAAATCCTGCAAATTATAGGCGCGTATTTTGGACAGAAGGCCGATTCCACGACCTTCCTGCTTCAAATAAATTACAGCACCCCGGCCGGGAATCGTCCTTGAATTAGGTGATGCGTTGTTCGGAAGAGATATCGGTTGGGAAATGAGACGAATAGCTTCGTCCAGCTGTTCACCACAGTCACAGCGCATGCTGCCCACTGTTTCACCAGTGAAACACTCGGAATGAATACGAACAAGGGGAGACGGAATGGAGGCTGTGGGAGATGGTTGATGCAATGAAGGACGAGAGGGGTGTTGGGATGTAGCAGATAGTTTTCCTACGTATGCCCCGCGTATGATGCGGTCCATGTCTGTTTCGTCATCATTCCAAACAGCGTCTAAAGAACGGCTGCGGATTGGCGGTGCTAGAACAGAACTATCGTCCGAGTATTGTGCTGGATCTACGACAATGGCAAGGTGCTCCTTGTTGTCACGATTATTGTGGTAAAGGTGTAAGAAGACTGGACCATATGGCGTGGGTATACGGGTACGAGCCATGCATTTAACTTCTATAGAGGATATGGGTGATGGTCCAGCCAACGAGATGACCTGAGAAGCTATAGCTGGTTGCAGAGAAATGGTGGGCTGCAAGCGCAGTCTTCGAGGGCCTTGCTTGCTCACATATGACATACGCTTGCGCTCCTGAGGCTTGTTTGTATTCTCTGCACCCCGCTTGCCCCGAGCGACGGCATCGGCTTGGGCACCGGGAAAGAAATCATGATGATAATGATTTCGGGTGGTGTGGGTGCCTGCAGACGCTGCTACTGCAAGCAATAATGGGTCTAAAGCAGCATCCCTTCTAGAGAATTTTTGCACGCCTTGCCATCGTGGGCTGGTGAGAACGTCTAGGAGAGCTGTGTCAGACTCTGCTAATAATGGGGAAGAGATGTTCGGATAAAACGATTCTGTTAAGGCCATTTGAATGGAGCTGAATTCAACACAGGCGTTGGTGGGGAACGAGTGGGAGCAAACGCCGGACTACGCGCATCTGATAATGTCTTGCTTATAAGTTTGATGCTGTGATCAATAATAGGTGACGCTGTGACTCAGATCTAATATGTGACCACATCACTCACCGCGTGAGCGACCATGAAACCCAACATTTAATTTGGGTAGACGTACTCTCCCAGATGGACCCTGCATCAGAGTACTCGCGTTGCCTGATTCTGTGACATCTCAGTGTCAAAACTTGTAGAAGGCAGGTAAGCATACACGCTATTGTCATCTTTGGGTTGTTTTTTTTCACGATCGTGGGCAGTTGCTTACTGTGTTACAACCGAATTTTCTAGACGCTTCAAATTCGGGTTTGTCATTGTCGATTAAATATGCTTAGAGCTGTGATTTGCTAGTCTCAGACTCCGTGTCCAGCGGGTTTTGGGCGCTGATATCGAGTAAGCCCTACTTCTCGATTCCTAGACTTGATTCAAATTTGACCAGAAGGGCATTTGCCGACTCGCGTCCGGTGTCTTGCTGATGGTCCAATGATCTTTCAATCGGGTCGTCATCGGTCGATGCTCAGTGCTTATTCCGATTTTCCGAATAGGTCGTTGGTCATGGGTATTTGAAAATTCCCGGACACGTACGTATTGTATCATATCATCAGCGTTTGATATCAGAATGCAAGAAACCCTGATCCTTCAGCGATTTCCCACTCACGCTCCCATAAGCGCCCATGAGCGACCCAAATTTCCCATTGTCATCCGCGCTCGAACAGGTTCGAGCATAATTCCAATAATAAAAATTTCGTCGTCGCGGACGGGGGATAACGGTTTTACACTGACATTATCATTCGGCCATTGTGACAGCATAAAAAGTAAAGACATTCGCAGCATTATGTCTGGTCCATTTCCTCGAGGATATTGGCTATGCTGACGCCCTTTAGGACCTCCAATTCAGGGCCCTACATACTGAGTCCACACTCTATTCCTGCGCTCGCGCCCCGCTATGTCATGAAGTAAGATATTCGAGCGACCGGCACCCTTGTTATTGTGGACATCCACCCGTCAAGATCTGATGGCTGCGCTGTGCACGCTAGCATCATCCATAATCGCGTGCTTTTAAGTGCTCTCATTTGTTTACGTTGGACATAGGGTCCAATTCAATATGCATTTCTCTCTACGACTCGATCTGTCTCGAGGACGTTTGAAGTAATTTGGTCACAGCGAGGAGCAGCTATGTGGAAGTCAGTTGGCGGTAACCAAACGATGGGGGATGTGTCAAAAAAACTCGATTCTCCGGCACTGGGCAGGTACCCATGATTGCGTGGCAGGGAGAGTAATATTAATGAATGTCGAAATCGACAACGGAAAGAAGTTGATGAAGATTAGAAGTCAATTACATATTCTGAGAGTGGATACACCTCCACGCTCATGCCGTGGCCTACGTAGGAAAAAGTGTACCAGTTGGCAACCGACAAGTTGACGCTAGAAGCGATGTGAGTTTGAAATTTGACAGGCCCGGGTACCAGGTGGTTACGATCATGATACTTCTCTTGCTCAAACTATCATGATGTGCTCAAGCTTCGAGTCTTAATCATGAACTTTTATTGCTCACTGCTCGCCATTCCTGTCATGGCTTTGAAATTGTTGTAGCAGTATTAAAATGCCACATTTTACTCTCTCGAAGCTCCTTGCATGGACAACAGGTACAGCATTCCTTCGACACGGATCGTCGTGGATCATACGATAAGACTCCAGAATGTATGTGCAGTAATTGTAGACTTCTAGATGTCATTAACCTGATTTTGTCACGCAGCGCATCTGCAGGAGCCTTCTGTAATCACCTTGTTGCACCAAATCAATTATTTTCAGAAGGCGGATACATCATGATTTCACGTCTCGCGCTGCTACTAAATGATCAGAATCTTGTCAAGTGGATCCATCGACGAGGCTAATTTTATCAGCACGACTGGAGAACCCAAGGCAGGCGAGAAGCTCGTGTTCCGCGCAGCATATGGCAAGCTCAGGAAGTTGCCTGCTCTCGTCAATCCAGATCACGACAATCATATTTCAGTGCAAGGTGTCAAGGTCGTTACGCACTAAGTAACCGCTGGCCTGTATTTGGTAAGGATGGAATGGAATTGCAGAATGGGCAGGCGTCGCAGCACCATCATGCCTTCTGCTTCCCTTCCCTGCCGTTTGATGCGATTCTTGAACTGGTGATACGCTTATGACAGATAGTAGTCCTTCATTTTTGACGAATTCAGCCAGCTATCAGCCGCGAACGGTGGTGGGTTACTTTCGTTGACAGTTGGAATGACTGAAGGCTTCTTGTAAAGGTAGGCCTGCAGTACGCCCCAAAGTACCAAGAAGTGATACTTTGTTGTCCATGAAGATACCGGTATTTGTTGGGATCACTGGTAGGGAGTACTTCTGGAATCAGTTGCTACCTACTTTTTTCTTTCGTAGAAAATTTTTGTGCAACACCTGGTAAAATTAGAGGATCCGCCAGACGACCGCATGGTATATTCGGACCGTCGTGTCCGATGATAGAAGTCTGAATCTAACGTGATCAAACGCGTTGCAGCCTCGCTGCTTTCTAAAGTATGACTCCGACGACTGTACAAAGAACCTGCTATTGTACAAAAGGGCTGGACTACTGCTTGCCACTTGCTGCACTTGCATTCTATTCGCGTTCGCGACAAGCTCACCGGATCATCGTAAGCTAACGCCAGAGAGGATCCACGGATCAACCAAAACGTTAAACCCTGACCTAAGTCAATTTCGACTAAAAATCTCCGGGCCTACAAATTGAGAAGTACTCGGAAGAAATTTCCCCCTCAATTCTCTTTTCCTCTATCCCATCGATCACACAAGCGATTTATATATTGCATATCGGCTGTTGGATGTCATCTCCTGAAGCACTTGTCGGGGTTTATCCCGATGTTGGGCAAGCCTTTGTTAGCTCTCCTCCTATTTACTTCTAACGCGCTCAACAGCAATCCAAACCAAGATGGCAGACTACACTCCAAGATCGTCGAAATTCTTTCATCCACCACTAATGGCTGTCTCGAAGAGCTGGGTTACCACCCAACCATAATGGAGAAGCTAAAACAAACTACGCAACTCGTCCGATCACTCCAAGAGGACAACGGAAAACTCTATCAAGACAACTGCCGACTCGCAGTAGCCATTCAGATACTCGAAGAGCGCATCGCACACCACTCGGCTAATCCGAGCACTCAGATGCAACAATTCTCCATGATGCAAGACAGGATACGTACTCTTGAGAACGATCGCCTTGCTCTCGCTCGGAAAAACCAGGAGATCCTTCTCAGTGTCAATAAAGGCACCTCACACCAACATCTCGTCCAAGAACTCGACCGCATGAGACTATATGCTAGTCACGTTTGCAGAGACATGCAGATTCTCAAGGACAAATACGGTATGGCTACACAGAGTGGCGAGTCTTCTTCAGGTGTATTTCGCTCAAGTTGGACATTTCCTATTCTTTGTACTCTAGCATTTCTGATTGCGCACTACAGATTCTGTCCCTCAAATCGCCCAGCCCAGAGTCCCTACCCCTAGCGATGTTGGTGCTTTCTATTTAATCTCGCAAAGTACGAATAACAGTATCTTTAGGTTCATCAGCGACGGGTATCTGCCGAAGGCGCTCCCCGACTCCAGCCTTCTCGTTTACCGCAGCAACAATTTCAGCAGCAAGCACAACACCCACGACAAATGCGACCGCAGGTTCAGCACGCCCTGCCACCTCATCAGCTGCAACATGCCCATCAAGCACACACTCAAAGGAGGGTTTCTGATGGTGGTCAAAATGTATGCCTATTCCCACTGCTTTTAGACTTTCAAGTAATCCTCGTATCAGCCTTACCCACCTCAGCAGCCCCTTCCTACGTCGCAGAGATGGAAGCACTCGCCACCGGCACCAGCATCCCCAATGTTTAGAGCCAGGTCACCCACAGAATTTGCACACATGCCTTCTACTTCAGCCCCGGTTAATCCCAATCGCCCTCAGCAACCGCCTTTTACCCATCCGCATACGCTTACGTCGCAAACTGTCTATCGAAATGGAACTGCATCGGCGCCACTCGTGCCTTTCAATTTACACCCCAAGTCGCACACCGTGACATCACGTCCTATTCTATTTGTAGATATGACCGGGGAAGACGAAAGGGTGACAGAGCAAGCTGGAGGTAGCCTGGCTGATCAGCCTAGCGGTCTAAAACGCACGAATTCTGCCATGGATGGTTCAATAGTGCAGGATATCGAGTCGATCAAGAGACAAAGGACTACAGAGCCCACTCAGTCGCCTGAAGATACGATCGTCAACGTGAACTCTGAGCCCAGACCATCCTCTCCAGACACTGTAATCGGTTCAAAACCAACCTCACCAGTCTCACCCTCGCTTCCTGCACCACTTCAAGAAAAGATGGATGCGGCCTCAACGGATCAAGTGGGCGTTGCAAGCGACGAGGTTTCTATTCCATTCACGCCTTCAGATACTGCAGTTGGTTCCAACCCAACTTCACCAAGCTCCATCACACCGTCGCATGCTCAAGAACAGACGCCTGGCCCGCCGAGTGGGGATAATTTGCGATCCGTTGAAGCATGTGTCTACATGATCTACGAGCCAGATGCTGAAGTAGTCGATGGATACTTCTGTGGCAGATGCCTGTAAGTCAACCCTCGCTCTGCATGTCCTCAGTCCTGATTATCTCTCCCAGTGATCGCTATGACAACGATATGATACCCGAACAACCGGATGTGTTAGTGAACCCAAAATTTGAAGACCTCTTTATGCATTGTACGCAAGAACACCCCACGATCTGGGAGGACCTCCGTCATAGGAGAGACCTTGAGCCACTAGCACCATCACCACCCTCGTGACTCCCCTTCCTTCATACCTCATTTTTCTACACTAGTACGTCTTGCGCATATTATTATCTTATGACCACTAGAATTGTGATAATTTTATGCTATGCACATCACGAAATGTCAGCCATACTATGAATACATCTCAGTCTTGATTCGAATTCTAACCGCCCATGCCACGAGTCAGTTCTACAGCTCACCATCTCACGCATCGATTGTCATGTTGAACGCGAGCCAACCTACCGTCGACATTGTGACCGATCGGACCACACACGCTCTCGAGGAGCCACCTGGTGCAATACTTGTCGGCGTGTTTATACAGTTTTTCTTCCAGGGTATCATTGTCATCGAAGCTGGGCAGTACTACGAGGTGTGTTATGAAGATTCCTGGGGTCGTAATCTTTTCGTAGCATTTGTTACTCTGCTTTCTGTGTGAGTGGTTGGCTTGGTGTAACGCGAGTGTTGTGCTTAGTCTCTGGTGCTTGGGAAAGTGCACAGACGGCGTTCGAAGGATACATAGCTTGGAAGGCTAATGTAGACCGTAAGACGCTGGTACGTCGATGTATCATCATGCTGATCTCTGATTTGACTTCTTGGGATTAGTTGATGATTCCGCGAGCATGGTTCGCACTTTTCCTGAACGGTTTCATCAGTGGAACGAACAAGCTCTTCCTCCTCCGACGCTGCTGGCGGGTATGCGTTCCAAGTACCAGCTCTAGCGCAAACTCTCAACGTTCTGGTTCTGCTAGATTACGAAAGGCAGCTGGTGGATAGCCGTCTTGTTCGCGTTCACGATAACCACGTACGGCGCGAATATCTTGATTGTGCGTGGTTTCCTTTTTTGCTGTTTGAATCTGACATCAATCTGGCATGTTCAGGCAGTGGCTTTTTCACGTCTGAGCGTCGTCAATCCAAAGCCTAGCGATGTCATAGTACGTGAAGACTTGCTTGACTCTGCATGTGTGCTCAACTGCATTTCTAGCTGAGCGTCATTGCATTTTCGTATTGGACCACGGCGGTGCTCGGTAGGTCACGATAAGTGATTTTATGTGCAGTGCAGGACTGATGTTATGTTCTTGAAGTGATCGATGTCATTCTTTCTGTTATCCGTGAGCCTTTTCAAGCTTTCAACTTCTCCAAGACCTTATCTGATTGATGTGATCCAACAGTCGCTTATTTCTTATGGAAAAACAAGACCGGCGTGCACCATCTCGACAGAGCACTCCTACGGTTCTGCGCTGTTGCCACAGAATCTGCAATCTGGCCATCGCTCTGCATTGCCGTTTGCGCAGGACTGTTCTTCTCGCATAACGTGGGTGCAACTCCAAGTTGTTCACACCAACAAATCTGACGATACCCAGAAAAACGCCAACCGTCTAGTTTTCGTATTTCTGCTTCAAACAGGCAAGCTCTACACATTGTCGATCCTCCGCACGTTAAATGCAAAAGTCAAGCTACGAGAAAGAATGAAATCGGATGACTTTGCGCGAGGCTCGTTAGGAAATTGGTCTTGGCGACAAGCTGACTCGGGAGTGGACCGGGAGATGTCTATATCTGCAGCGGTGAGTGAGCTGCGATTTGGAGTGTGCGTGTGTGGATGAATGTCTGCGTTAAGCACGAACGGTCTTCGTTCCGGGCAAGTGGACGCCTGTCGTCGATCTCGATCGGCCCATCGGAAAGGAATGTTGTGGATAGTCGGATATCTGTGCTTGATCAGCACCTTCAGTCCCCGATGCCGATTCACCCGTACTTGACAGACTCGCGTTCGACTTAATGACCCGCAGGCTTGTATGCGTGAGGTTTATGATTAGCTTACATGTCGATAATAAGTAATTCGAGGGGTGTAGTAGTGGTTATGCATATGATAAGTTAATGTTGACGTTATAGCGTAAGCGATGAAAACGAAGAGTACAATACTAGAAGATATATGCGAGCCAGCTTAGAAGCAGCCGCATAACCGGCCGTTCCCATGCTCTCCAGCGTTGATCTGCACTGCAGGCGGTTGTTGTGAATTAGGATTCGGCGAAGCAGGACGTGAAGGAACATAGTCTTCATCAGGTATCCAGTCTTTATTTTTGCGAGGAGCACCCGCTGCAGCATTGCGCTGTGGATAGATAGATAAATGATCGAATAGATTGAAAACAATTCTACCAAACTTACCTCTTTACCCTGTGCGAGAGGAACATCAACAATAGGCGACAATGCATGACCCGTCCATAGGTCACGTAGGCGGGCCTTGAAGGTCGTAGAAGTAGCAGCGGATGATGGTTCGGTGGTGTGTCGGGACTGAAGAATGTAAGTCGAAGATATGATTATGGCAGTTGACACTCACGTTCTCGCGGGCATTCATACGCAAATGAGTTGTTTCCTGCGCCGTGAATGAGTAGTTGCGAGGCAGTGGAGATGTAGCAGGGAACTGCAAGGAATCGTTAAGTCAACTCCGAAGTAAATAGATAAACGAGACGTACATCCAGGGGATCACGGTGCTGACCATTGCGGCGTGTGTTCGTGCGAGAAGGAAGGACTGTGCGGAGATAGTGAAAGAAATCGTGTCGTTGTGTGGTAGGGGAAGGACCTTGCGGCCTAGGAGTAAAAGATGTGACATGTGGTTTACGAGGCACAACACGACGTGTTGCGTTAGACTGCAAAAATGACATTAATGGATGCGTAGATGAATGTAGGGATCACATACATTAAGGATATTGGAATTTTTAGGTTCGTTGGTCTGTAAGATATATGATTATAAGTGGATGAACGAATATATATATATGTGCGTGGATGCATACGTTGGGCCAGATAGTGGCAATGATCTTGGGTGGAATGTCGCATATGTGAATGTTCGAGCCAAGGGTTGAGTAAGCCAGCTGGTGTGAATCGGGTGAGAGGATGAGGTAGTTGACAGATCGAACGTCGAATGAGGCGAGGAGCTGGCGGGACTCGAAGGCCCATAGCTTGATGTCGAGGCAGGAAGCACTAGCGAGGAGAGCACAATCGAATGAAAGTGCTAAACCATTGATTTTGATGGTGTGCCCTTCAAAGGGAGCTCCGACAGTCTTTAGCGTTAATGCGTCCAACTCATAGATGGTCTTGTGATCCGTGGTCCAGTCCTCATTTTTATTGAGGTCCAATACGGCCACAATTGTTTTGTCTTTGGTTGTCCAGAACATCGGCACATGGGACATGACCCCGCACTTATTAGGTTTTTTCCCCACTCTAACATCCACTTTCTGTATTTCAATATCCCACACGTCAAGCCAGTCTGCCACAATTGACTTGAATGCAAGCTTCTTCGAGTCTCGCGAGAATCGAACCGTGCCCATCCCGAGCCCGTTATAATTCCTGAATGGGCCAGCTGAGAGTTTGCCAGTGTCCAAGCTCCATATCCGCAATGTGTCATCGTTCGACCTGCACGCCAATAGGGTGTTGTCTGCAGAGATATCAATGCAGTCGATCTCCCCTCTCGAAGGGTCTTCAAATGTTTTAACGATCCCGGTCTTGACCTCACAGACTTTGAGCTCCCCGCAGTTGAGATCTCCACCAGCAATCACAATCCATTGACCATCCCTTGATACCTCCACCGCAATTACTCTCTGCTCACAAACTTCTCGCGCCTCCTCAATCTCCTTACCAGCACGCAGGTTCCATCGTCGAGCGGTCTTATCCCCTAATCCGCTGATCATTTGCTTGCCATCTGGAAAGTAGCACATGGATGAAACGTAGCAGTGATTGAAAGGTTCATGACCTTTCAAGGTCATGATTGGTGTCAGAATCAATTCGTTTAATGTTGCGCCGGGCTGCGTCGAGCTGGAGGCCATGGTCGATGTCTTCAGAGTATGCCACTTCGAAGGACTGTCGGTGAGCTCTCGTTGCGTGCCGTTGGCTTCATCAAAGTTTTTGAAGATGCCCACCTTGTTTGAGCGCTGCTACACTTTCCTGCTCAAGCTAATTGTCAGTTCATCTGCGCCGGGCATTCAGATAGGGCTTATCATCTTACCAAGATAATGGCTGCAACCTGAAAATGATGGGCACATGGCCGTATCTACCGCCTCTTAAATGTGAACCTCTTTCCTGTACAGCATCTCAGCTCTTTGCTTCTCACGTTCTAGCGCCCAATTATACCATTTACATACGTGTTCGAGCGCCCAAACCTACCCAACCCCAGTTCGAGCTTTGCATGCGTTCTCTCCTACACCCAGAGGTCCTCTGATACCCGAGCTGCGCGTGCGCGTCTCAGTCAAGTTCTACGAGCCAATTCTTTGGCAGATGCATCCTATCTTCACTACTTATGTTAACATGTCGGAGTTCACTGCGCTTGCATCCTCACTTCTTTTTACCGCCTGACTGTCAACTCTCAGCAGGGAAATATCGAATAGCTTAGGGCGCATCTGAGGACTCGGTCGGAGTAAGTTTGTTGTGAACGCTCCTTTCTGTGCCCATAGTTGCTAATATCTAGTACATATTCCAGATTCGCCTACAGGACCTTAACACACATGCTGCATAGCGGTTTGATATCGCAGCATCTGATGCCTCACGATCCGCCATTGTGCTTCGATATCAAATGGGTCAGTGCTGAGAGCTATAATCTTGTGCTTCCGGTCATGTTTGGTGTTGTATCGTGACGGTGACGCTGTTTCACGTTGTATGCAACAAACACCTGCCCATATCCTTCTCGACCTTCCATTACACCTGGACCTCAATCATATCAATGTTGATGACTACTGAAGTACATCGTTCATTACTGGCAGGAAAGAACAAGAGAAAACGCGTGAAGAGAGGAGAAAGTCATGCTACTTCCTGGAAGCTCGGGTTTGCCCCGCCATCCGCGAGCACAGCGTTGCGGCCAGTGCACATGCACAACACGCATTTCTGTGGGTTATCTAACATATATAAGCACGAATAGCCGCCGGTCCACCCCGTCATGCAGTGCAGCTCTGACGCATCTTGCAGCTATCGTCTCAGGTTTGCTATATATGATGCGCATGATGGTCGTTCTCCGGCTCGAATTCACTGCAGGCGAAAGCAAGCTTAATCTTCTTGGTGCACAGTACTGGAAATGTTCCCTTCCTGACGGGGATCAACAATCAAGCTTCAAGACGCACAAAGACATGCAGATACTTTATACTAGTCTACGGCGAGCTGTAAGGTGAGCGGTCATGAGACACAAGGCTTGAGCTTGGAAGTTTGTTGGAGAGGTGTGATACTCGCTTGATGTCTCGGTAGGGCTTGAAATTTGAAACTGTGAAGACAAATGTCGAACGCATGTAGCCAGTGCAGTCGTTTATGACTGGTTGGGAGCATTCCTGCCGAACTGCCTCGTGTCTTGGGCGTCTATGGAAGCGAGGATGGTTAGCGTGGTGAAGCAACATAAAAACGCACAATACGCGCACTTCTGTAACTTAGAGAAAGACACCCACAATCCCTCGGTCGTGCTCAACACCATTAACCTCCAGTAAAATGTTACAGCTCATTCCGAGCACCACACCCATTCGAACTTTTGAAGATCATGAGGACTCCGTAATGGCAGTCGCAGTGTTCCCCGATAAACGACGAATGATTACGAGTTCGAACGACAAGACACTTTGTCTTTGGGATTTGAAGATAGGTGTTGTGTTGAAGAAGATGGAAGGGCATAGCAGTGAGGTGCAGGCATTGGCGGTGTCACGAAATGGTCAAATAATAGCAAGTGGTGATGATGGTGGAGAAGTCATCGTCTGGCACGGTGAAACTGGCGAACCCATCAAAGCCCACTCTGGTCGGATCAGCTCTGTGGATTTTTCTCCGGATGGAATGGTGCTGGCCACTGGTTCATGGGACGACACGGTCAAGTTTTGGAGTACCAAAACGTGGCAGATGCAAGGAGATCCAATCGAGTGTGACAGTTATGTCAACTGCGTTCGATATTCGCCTTCTGGTGAACTTCTTGCCATCGCAACATACTACAATATCCAAATTTATAATCCAGGCACAAGGGAACGCGTCACATCTTTGACAGGTCACACTGGCAGATGGAACATGTCACTCGCATGGACGCCCGATGGCACACGCCTTCTTTCAGCAGGTGATCGAGATGATCCCACCATACGAGAGTGGGACACATCAACCTGGCAGCAGGTCGGTCATCCCTGGAAAGGCCACACTAACGATATCAACGCCATTGCCATTCATCCTGCTGGCACGGTCGTTGCTTCTGCATCTGATGACAAGCATGTCTGTCTCTGGCGGCTCTCGGATCAACGAACCATCGCCGTCTTCCAGCATTCGTCTCCCGCGACATGTGTCACGTTCTCTGTGGACGGCAAGCACATCCTCAGCGGAGATAGAGATAGGAAGATCTCAGAGTGGGCAATGCCAAAGGACGCTCATTCAAAGGCGAGTTTCCATTTCTGACTCTAATTACGCAATTCGAGCATCCTTCGTGCAGATCCTTGACATCACAACAGCCCGCGATGCATGTATAACTGGGGACTTGTCTATCGCCGAACAGCTCCTCACCCAAGATGTCCACACCAACGTTGACGACTTTATTTCATATGCCCATCGTTCGTTCGTTATGGCCCGGAAGCACGACTTGGACCACGCCCTCGAGGATGCAATCAAGGTGAAATGGACCCACCCATCATTGTCCTCTGGCTAACTTTAATCCGTGACATAGTCAATCAACATTCGGCCATCATTGCTAGGCTTCATCTCCAAAGGCATCGCCCTCTGCGGGAAAGGCCACGTCCGGGAAGCAAGGATAGCGTTTGACGTCGCATCCATGTTCACCAACCAAAATTCAGAAACCAACCAATTTCTTCTCCTGATCAAGGTACATTCAATTCGTCTCCCATGCTCTCTTCCTCATCTTGTATTCCAGGCTATCGTACTCTTCAGCGCAGATCAATACGAGGAAGCAATGATGCTCATCAAAGACCTGGCTGTCGCTTGTCCCAATGTCGATCCTCTCGCGCGTCATGTCGTGGAAGTGAGTATCATGTAGCCACGCTCGATCATCAATCCTGATCTTTTCAACTCGCACAATAGACATATCTACGTGTTCAGCTCGGAAGCAAAGCTTTTGATAGCGCGCATCACGACGAAGCCGCTGATCACTTCACTGCCGCTGTTAACTCAGACGCTTTCTCATCAAAATACATTCATTTAGCATACCAGGACTTGACCGTGGTGCGTCGACATGATGCATATATAATGCTTTCCATAACCTAGTGCTTTGTCTAGCTCTTCGGCTGGGATCTCGAGTCCTTGTTGCTAACTACACACCAGAAACGGTGCCAGGCATTCCTTTCGGCAGGTAAACTCGACGAAGCCCTCGAAGCACGCAAATACATGATGGACGCCATCGACGACATCGCGAAGGCCAGCTGTCTCGATTGGTCCAACGGCAAGTCTTCCGTCGTGTCACCCATGACTATCATGCTCACCCGCATGTCACTCAGAGTTCAAGGAGAAATGGAGCACGCTCGCTGCGGACAACAACCGTATTCTTGGTGTATGCACCTCTTTCCTTACCTCTTTCGATACTGACTATTATGCAGGCAGAGATCCCCGGCCAAGAACAAGATGGCTATGATGCAGATCCCAATTTCTTCTATGGAACGCATCAAGTGCGTGCAAGAGCTATCCTTATGTTCTCTCGCTCATATTTCATCACAGCATTCTCAGATTTCCAGGCCAAGACTTCAACAACGCCCTGGGCGCTTCAAACGATTCAGGCTCGCTATAACGAGGAGGCCTCAAGAAGCTCCTGCTCCTGCACCCCCCACCACCTCACCACCAGTCGCTGTCAAAACTCAATTACGACACCTATTCTCCCGGTCACCCCATCATGCAACGCCGCCTGTTGTCGATGTTCCATTCACGAAAGCTAAAGAGGTGGGTCAGGTCGATTCTTATCAGAGTATCCTGGTTTTCTGATGCGTAGATCTACAGCGTAATATTGCTGCGGGTGCTCCTGGCCCAGACCCAGACATCGTACCTGATGAATATTTCGATACTGCCGAACCGGACCCTGACACGCAACAGCAACAACACCAGGAAGCAGCAGCAGTCCATATAGACCCTGGGGAACATGGAGGAGGAAAGTCTTGTGTCTGCTGCTAGCGCGTTTTTGAATGTCTCTCGAACACTTCGGTCATATCGTCGAACTTGTTATGATATCTTCATTCACTGGAAGCAGTATTTTATTGATAGGTGATTGATTGATCAGTACATCCTTTAGATTATTTGGAGAGTTTTTCCTTCATAACCAATCATGAACCTCCCGTCCTCCATCTGTAAAGCTTGAGTTGCGCAGAAGTCGCTGAATGTGAGGTATGGTGCGCGTGTGCAATCAGAGCCCTTCCGCATTCAGACATCTCTTGTTGACTGTACAGACTGTACAGTGGCAGGACGTGCAGCGGTTCAAGTCTTTAGCGGCATCATTCTATACAGCACCTCGTGTCAGCACTGCCATTCACATCGAGATTCTCCCCTAGCGTGTCTGACCTTTGAAAAAAAAATTCAGACGTCAATAGCGCGCTGAAATACTAGATCAGCGACTGGAGGATGCGAGGGAGAAATGGTGACCGGAGGTATATGACTCGAACTTGCGTAGTCACTGCGTTGGCGTCAATTTTGACACAAAAGCATGCTCTTATCTGGCACCAAAGCTTGCTACATATGTGGCTGATGGTTCTGGGAGAAGTGGGACGAGGTCCAAGAGAACAAGCATATTGAAGGCAGAACCGTCTGTGTTGTCTTCCGAAGTATCAGGATGAGCGGGTGGTCCTCTGTCAGTATTCATTGTGAGAAGTTCATCATGATAAGTCAGTGCAGCGCGTGGTGGCTCCGATCCCACAGAATAGAATCTAACGTTCAACCGTCTGGTGGGCGAGACGCTCATTTCGGCATGATTGGTGATCGTTGGCGCTCAGAGCTGGTAATATCAAACATTCACTGGTGCTGTTAATATCCTTGACAGGTTGCTGCCAGAACAAACATACATTGTCGCTACGTTCAATAGCTCTCATCGTGTGGGTTCAATATCTGCTCCAATTCTTGAGGGGACTAACTGAAGTAGGAAATGTGCTTGACTCACCCGATTACCTACAAAAGCTATTCGGCTGGGCACGAGGGGCGAGCCACAGATGCTAGCCTGTGGTCAATGAACTCTAGACAAAAGATCCATCAGAAAAGAATTGAAGGCTGAGTCAAGGCAGACCCAGTCTGGATAATACCGAACGCTCACTGGGAAATGATCTTTATCATATTTCCGCATTGACATCACTTTTAGGAGCTTGAAGGTTCTGAGAGTATGAGAGTGCAGTACACCTTTGAAGACGTGCGCATGAGGCCTCGTAATCCGACGGATTGTCGACAGCTCGAGCCACCCGCACCATTCGAGGGATTCAAATATGGACACAGGTATTGCGCATTGAGAAAAAAAGGGTGTCATGCAATATCAGATAAAATTGGAGTGAATCGCGCACCGACCACTGAAGCATGAGTCCTCAACTCCATGCTCAAGTGCTGCAATACTCATGTCAGAGACTGCTCTCTTGAAGCTTGGGAAACGGCAAAGGATTGTTCGGCCCTACCGATCGATGGATTGATGTGGGCTCAGGATCGCGTTGAGAACAAGTTGTACTGTCCAAGCCACGAGTAAAGGCTGACAACATGAGCTTGATAGATTTTCATTCCGGCATAAATTCTAGACGCGAGGTGACACTAATATTCCTATATGATACATAGGTTTGCTGTGTAAAGAGCACACCTTACGGAAATTGCAATAATTGACCGTTGAGACACATACATCTGGGCAAGATTCTTCGACCTATGTCAAATCTTGTAAGCGGTGGTGATACTAGAAGGGACTGACGTTGGCCTGTACATGCAATGTGCACCTCACCTTACCAATAACCTTGTGTGTTGAGACACTCACAGGCAGTGGATTGGATTATGCATCTAATGCATGTATCTACACAGTACCAAACTTCCACATGATTGACAATGTGCCTCTGAGCAGTGCTAACGGACATTTTTGAGCGGCCTTGGCTCGGATAGGCCTGATCCACCCGCACGGACAGATTTTTCGTTTCCGGATCCCTGGCCAGGCCACCTATCCGAACATCAATTTTCAGATAACTGGGACCAGGCCCCACCTATATTCAGGGGTCCTGTTCTTCTGCCTTGCAATAAAATACCGTAAATAGTTGAGTCAAATTTGAAATCTGCTGGCAATCTGCTGGCGTTGTAAACGACACGTCCATGTTTGAAAGTGGATTTCAGGTGGATAGGGTCTGCACAAAATAATATTCAGGAAATATTTAAAGCAAGCCATAGTATTCCTACGGTCCCCCTTTCAGATTTATTTCCGAGATTCCATATCACATCTCACAAATAATGCGTCTCTCCTTCCGAGTCATCCTGGCCGTTGCTGCTGCCCTGTCAGTGTCTATGGCTGTCAGTGCTGACAGTGAATGCCAATACCCTGGCGTCTTTTGCACCACAGATAAGGATTGCTGCTTTGGCGCTGTATGCATGCCAAACGAAGCCCACCCAGAAGTAAGTATGAGTGATTTGATCCAAAATTTATGGACTCACCGGCGTGGTAGGGACCATCTCTATGCTCGTGGGATCGGATGGACTATATACAGTGACTCGCGTTTCTGCTTCCCCATCGGTGCAGTGTGGTTAATTGCCACACAACACATAAGTAGTTTGTTGCGTTAGGCGAGGTGCTTACTCCACAAATTTCCGTCAGCAATTTGCTGGCATGGCAAATGTTATCTGTTATAAGTTCTGCGCAGGATAGTGTTAGGACATAAACGTACCCTGTCTTCCTACCAATTTATTTCCGAGATTCCATATCACATCTTATAAATGATGCATCTCTCCTCCCGAGTTGTCCTCACCGTTGTTGCTGCTTTGACAATGTCTATGACTGTCACTGCTGACACTGAATGCCATTCAAAGGACGGCCTTTGCAACTCAAAGGTAGATTGCTGTCATGGCTATGACTGCGTGCCAGTACTGGACCTGAAGTTTGATGAGGTGAGTATGAGTAGTTCCATCCAGAATTTGTTGACTCACCGGCGTGGTAGCCTTACTACGTATATATGTGTGAGAAATGAGCTGCCGTGAGTCATGTTTTTTGCTTTCTCATTGGTGCCGTGTGATTAATGGCACCAACATGTAAGTAGTTCCTTGCGGAAATACTTGTTTCTGAACAATTTTTGCTGCTGCTCGAGCAATGAAGATTTTAGGATAGAGAAATTGGAGTGCCCTTGAATGTATAACTTGTGACTGAATTATTGATGTCGCATTGTTTCTCCTCGTTGTAAACCCAACGAATCCGTGCGGAGGCCAAGCACGGCTTTCTGGAGCGTCAGTCCTTGACATCCGTTGAATGCCGTGACGTAAGCCGGTCGGAGGGGAAAGTAAGTGTCTGCGATTAACGGTCCAGCTGAAACGCGCTGGATCGAAGGACAAGACTATTGGAAGCAGACAAGGGCCCAACGTGCTGCGTCGGACTGTTATAATGGCATTGAGTAGAGCGGTGTGGGTGAATAGTTGGTCACATACATCGAGTAAATCAGCGAGGCGAGGATTTTTAGCTGCACTTGTCTGAAAGAGAATGTTAGCGCACGAACAGATAATTATATGCACGTGTATGTATACATTAGGCTGCACTTCTTGTGTACGCAAGACAGTCGGGAGGATGTCGAGTGGAATGCCCCAGATGTAAATCTCGGTGTCTTCCCACTTCGTTCAAGCTAGTTGGTGTGAATTGGGTGAGGGGGTCGAATGAGGCGAGGAGCTGATGAGACTTGAAGGCCCATAGCTTGATGGTGTTGTCCCAAGAAGCGCTAGCGAGATGATCACAATCGAATGAAAGTGCTAGACCAGATATGTTGTCGGTTTGCCCTTCGAAGGGAGCTCCGACAGTCTCTAGCGTCGATGCATCAAACTCGTAGATCGTCTTGGCTCTAGAGCGGGGTTTGTGGTGGCCATAACCCAACTCGACGTCATCCTCGAAATTGAAAGCGGAAGCCGCGACGATGGTCTTGTCCCCGACATGGGCACATGTGATATTGCCCAGCTAGTACATTTAGCTGTGATGAGATCTAATTTCTGGGCTCGGACATCCCGCACTTCAAAACCAATGACCGTTTGCACCTGACTTGACTGCGGGCTTCCTCAAGTCTTGCGAGAATCGAATCGCGTCCGCTGGCAAGTAATTTTGAATGAGTTTGCCAGTGTCCAATTCCCATATCCGCGTTGTGAAATCGGCCGATCCACTCGCTAGCAATATGTCAGTTGAAAATGGTTGATACGGAATGCGCGCGCGCATATCACTGCTCTCCACCGACTTTTTGTCGAAGTGCAAATTCCACACACAAGTGATGTTCATTGTAAGATCAGGAGACAAGTCGTCCAGTTTCTACTTCACATGATTATGATGTGCCTCGTAAACCTATAGCACCTCAAAGACGGAGGGCGAATTTACTGAAGTAGCCACAAGTCACGGTAATCGCTTACCTAAAGATAGAGATCATTTAATCGATAGGCATAGAGAACAATGATAGACTCACCACCATGTCGTGTCATATCCGCTGCGCAGGCGGATGTATGACCACAATAGCGTCAAGACTGCGCTGCATTTCAAAAACTTCTTAACAGCCTTGATTCGCCTTGCCCATACCCATTTCTCGGCGCCGACTGCTATATAATGATCCCAATTCGGTCTACGAAGGAACCACCACCAAACCGTCGCAGGCCAAGGAAACGGATAAAATACTTTGTCTGTACCGTTCGTACGCGCCCAAGAGTGGCAGTGTACGTGGACCGAGCGAGAGAGCTGTTCTTGTACCTTGGCGTTATATGTATCTGTGGGAGTAGCTTTGATAGTGAAAGATGAGGCAGATCCGGTAAGGACCGGCTCTATGAGTTGAAGGATGTATGCAACCTTGCGACAAACTTAGTAAAAAGATCCAAAAATCAAGGTGCACTTACTTGCACTTCTGTAATGAACAACGCCGATATTCGTGTTCCAGTATTTGGTCCTGTGATTATTACCTCAGGCGACAGTTGATAACAGCACGCTCTCTCTGAACTCACCATTGATCAAGTAAAAGTTTGGTGTGTCTGGAATCGCAGTCCCGATGTATGCGGTAGGGCCACCATGCGCATCATAATAGCCTTGGACAGTGGCTCCATTCGAGCCACGAACGTGCATCGGGTACCGCTCCTGTTTCTGCAGTTGATATCCAATGGAATGTTAGATCATGTATAGCAACTCACGCCGATGAATCCGGTCGCGTATACAATGACATCAAATGGCAACATTTCACCTCAACTGATGTGAGGAAAGTGATCATATCATTGACGGCCCACACACCGGTTTTCGTGATGATGCCATTCTCCACTATCTCGGCGATTCCGTCGAAGTGCAGTGTCACGTTATAGCGATAGAGACTTTCCAGGAAACCACTGTCTGCGACTGCATGGAATGAAATGAAAAAGGAAATATCGTGCAAGTTTGACTACTGCCAACGAACCAGTCCGCTTGCAACCTGGAGCTGTAGAACATGTGAGCACAAACGAGATTCCCTGATCAAACACGTACGGTGATCAGGTATCATACGAGAATGATATCTATCCGGTGTGTTATCAAGGATGTACTTCGTCATCGCCTAAGTAGAGGCGTTAGATCAAACACCCAGTCTCGCGACCTGACTCACGTCACGTTGTTTCTGGAGAGCTTTATCACCCATAGGCAAGTGGAGGGGAGCAACGAGCTGTAAGAAATGTCAACAAGCTACAATTCTGTAATGCAGGAGGCCCGACCCAGAACATGATCCAAGCTCGATGTAGTCGCATCACCAGGGGGATATTAGCAAAAGTCCATTTCGCGGTGTCCGAGTACGGAACATGTGGCTTGAATGTTTTATTTAGTTGTTGAGTCATTGAACGTAGTATAAAGGCTCTTACTCGAGTGAGAAACCAGGTCGGGGTGCGGATGAAGTTCACCACTTCAACAGACGGATCTGCAGATATAGATGGTACGAATTGTGCTCTTGTCATATGTCTAAACCACCACATAATGAATGCGCGGAAGTTATATAACTCACCCGGAAGAGGCATTTCCAATCACCGCAACACGCTTATTCTGCAAATCCATTGAGCCTGGCCACTGTGCAGAGTGAAATGAAGCTCCCTGAAACTTCCGAACTCCAGGGATCTCGTATGGCAGATTTGGGGCCTCCAAAATACCAAGGGCGGATATTACGACATGGGCCACACTCGTCGTCTTTTTGCCTGAAAAGATATCTTCCGCGATGACGGTGTACTGTTGTTTGACATCATCCCACTCTGCAGATAGCACCCTCGTGTTGAATTTGATGTGCGGATACAGATTATATTTCTTTGAGAGCTCAATCCAGTAGGCTTGAATCTCCGGTTGAAGGCCATGGGACTTGTTCCAGTATGGATAAAGGTCTGTTGATAAGCTGTACCAATGAATGTCGATATCCGACGAGCATCCCTAAAAGAATCATCAAGGTGAATGATGTGTTACAGTTTCAGTCGTTGAGAATATGTACAGGATATGTATTGGCCTGTGGAAAGAATGTCAGGAGAATGTCTGGTACATGACAAAAACGTACCCTCCACACTCCACCGACTTCAGATCCTTTCTCAAATATCTATCAAAATACTCAGCGAACATACCACTCATTGCACAAATGCACTCACTGTGAAATTGTGAAATTTGAGTTTGGTTTTGAGAGCAATAGCTTGGGTCAACCCGGCAACACTGCGCGCGGTCCAAATGTTCAGTTGGTGTAGAATCAAGTCAAAAGCGATACTTACCCGGCGCCAATGATGGCGACTCTCCGCTGGATCTCACCCATAGTAAAAAATGATTATTCTCAAGACTATGAATCCTCCTTTAATACTCTCTCACCTGGTACGTTAGGCGATAACGGATGAGGTCATATGCCCTGTCAGGCCTTATCGCGTGAAACCCAGGAAGTTCCTTATCCTAACTATAACTGTGAGATATCTCGGTGGTAACGGTTTGCTGGTATATCATAACGGTCAACTAACCTTGCATTTCGGTTACAGGATGGGCCGGGGAGGCCTTTCAGCCATCCAGACATGCCGCTTGTCATCCGGCCACCTGAGTTGATGTTTTACAAGCTATCCAACAGTCTAGTCGAATATGAGTACTAGTGGCCAGGCTTGCCCAGCGTCCGTACACAAGGTAGTTCATCATATGAGTCCATGTACTTCATCGAGGGTAGGTTTCCAGTATCATTTGACCAATGTTGCATGACATAGAAAGGTTTGTTTTGCTGTAGTGCCCCGTCAATTTCACCTGGCCCGCTGACGACTTCATCTATGAGATGATGGAAACCCGTTGGCCCATTCAATGATTGCCTGGTGCCAGAGCAGTGGAAGCCACTGTGGAAGTCGTACTGGAATCCGAAGCCCTTTGAAGACGTACAATTATCTTGTAGTTATCGATCCATTAATGATGTGCGTTATTAGGCGACTTTAAAACATTAAATTACGACGCGACATGCAACAAAAGAAGCTGGAGTATTGCAGTAACTTGTAGTCCGGTCACGACTCGTTTAAAACGTTCGCGTTAAGCTTAGCCAGTTTGTTTGGCCACGACTTCAGAAACAAATAACTTGCCGTCGGTTACTCTAATTAGTACTGTGACATCCCTTCCGGCAGCCCGTGCCAGTGATATGGACTCAGATCAGAAAGCTGAGGCTTCAACGCAAGCTTCCTTAAGTGATGCGGACAAACAGCTGCCACAGTCAGTACCAGAAATCAAACCTGATCAAACCCCGCAACCGTCCGTCGACCGTTCAGAACTTATAGCAAGAGCTCGCACTTTCCTATCAACTCCCCATATCCGCTCGCAAGACGATACCTCTAAACATGCGTTCCTTGTCGAGAAGGGGCTTAGGCAAGACGAGATCTATTCACTACTCCGGGAAATCGTAAGTGATCAAGCTGGCGTGTATTCAAGTCACTCATGAGCACTTAGCCTCCACCAGTACCACCACGGACATATCCCCAGCCTCCTCCATCCAATCTCCCAAATATGCTTGTTGGAATTGCGCGTGTGTTGACATGGCTCGCCGGTAGCTCTGCATTCGTCCTATTCATCTACTACGTGAGTCTTCGCTTCATCGCTCCATATTAAAGCACGGCTGACCTTCGTTCGAAGCGGTTCTTGCTACCGAGAATCTCCCAAACTTACCACGCTCGCCGTGCACTCCGTGCACACCAGTCCGGACTCATGCTCCGTCTCAACGAATCCCTCGCTACATTCAAGGAGAAGCAAGCGGAATGTTTTGTCAACCTACCAAAACCCATTTTATATAAAGAGGAGCCAGAGTGCGCAGACTGTCATTCGTTAGATGATATCCTCGCATGTCGCCGCAAGGCAGACATTGATGACGAGGATGCTAGTGACACCTCAAACGTCTCAATTTTACGCTCTGCTATTGAGGAACTGACTCGTTCGAAGGAAAGTACCGAGGGAATAAGGACAGGGGACCTATTTGATCATCTAGAAGCCAAGCTTCCATGGTTGAAGGGAGAGCGAGGTGCTGAATGTCAGGTCCGTACTTTATCTGCCTTTGACGTCATAAACTTATATGGCCATACAGAATGACCTCTGGCAGACACTCAACAAATCCCCTCTATTCACTTCCACCTCACCGCAATCTTCTTCTTCCTCGTCTATCCCTGAGAACCCCTCTCACCTCCTCTGGTCATATATTCCTCCACCAATATCACCCCCTCCGCCCATGATCGTCGCCCTTGACACTTTACAAGCAGCGCTTCCCCATAACGCACCAGCCCCTCCGCTCTCCAAAACTGAAACAGTACCTCTTCGCCCTGCACAACGAACCCTTCAAACACTCGCAGATTTCACCGGGTACATCGCCACCCAAACATATGCGTTCGGGACCCACATGCGCGGCATCGGCGGCTCGCTCACAACAAATAACACCGATGTGGACGAAATTCGCCGCGAGATACGCGCACTCAAAGGTCTCGTTCTCAACAGACGCTCATTTTTACCTGGTATAGGGATACCGCGCACTTCAAGCGAGCCATCGAAGCTTGCAGGCGTATGAATTGTCTTAGTTCTTGTACAGACAATATGCTATTTCTATTGACATATATAGGTTTGTTACCCAAACGAATGATGATGCAGTAGGTGGATTCAGTGGAATCGCGTTGTAGGACGAATAGATGAGCAACAATAGTCATGGGGCCAAGTAGGCCACATGCATGGAGGACGATGGACGAAAAGCGACATGCAAACAAGCTATAGGTGACTATGTGAGGATGGGAAAGGGGAATGTGTTGAAGTCAGATGCAGTTGTACCGATACAGCAAAGGGGTAAAGAGAAGCAACGTCGCAGACGTGATGATAGGTCGACAATGACAGGCAAAAAAACTAGCACTGGTCTAAGAATGAGTTCTTGGGGAAAGGTTGATTATAGTCGTTCTTCCAAGTGGTAAGGTTTGGGTTGGTGTATGCCTCAATATACCTGACAGATATGAGAATTCCCCCATCAAGTCGAATAAGCAGGAAACATACGTGTTAATATAATCTGCTGTTGGGAAGTCTTTCGGGTCACACCCAATATTCCGTGCGTTTGATGGTTGGTATACACGGATGTAGTCCACACGCATGTGCACAGGGAAGGGCAGGTGAGCCAAGTCGACAGTACCGAAATTAGTAGACATTCCCAAATTCATGATGATGTACTAGAAAAAAGTGAGCTCGTGACTATTTTGAAATGCAAAAGGGCATACCATTGGCTCCTGCGGTATGGGCCGAGCGGAGATGTTGACAGTAGGATCCGGTCCCATGCCAGCAACGTTCAGGGTCCATGCAACTTCATTGTTGGCTATCCATGTTATGTACTGTGGAGCAATTAACTTATGGTATTTTGATATTTTGGGAAATACCAACCGCGTTTTCAAAGCCAGGAACATACTGAAGTACGATCAGTCAGCGAATGATCAATAATGTCATGTCATAAACGAACCTCGAAACCATATACCGAAAAGCACCCTGTCTCACCCTCATAGCAACCTTGATTCGTGGTTGTCACGCCGGAGGTAGCCTGCTGCTCCACTCCACCAATGTAGGTATTTAGAACTGTGGCCGACGGGTTTGGTATTATTTCGTTACTGCTTGTGTTTAGCCAGATGTAACCAGCGTTGAAAGGCTGAGGGATGCGTGAGCTCTGCCTTAGGTCATAAGATATCGCACACATACAGCCCATTGTGCTGACTGGGAAACCTGACCTGTAAGAGGGTCACCCGTGATCTGGGATTTGTCAGATCCTTGGTTCGATTAATGCATAAACTGAACCATACCTGTGCCTCGAACATGTCGATCTCAGGAGCGGCGCGCCCGACGAATGTTCCATCTGAATGCATAGGACCTGGGTGAGACTCGCCTTTGCAAGTGCACCGCGAGAGCCGCTGGCCAGGGAGGAAAGACAAGACCCCGCCTTCGGTCGGGTCTCCGCCTTGAGTAGCCGCGAGCGGAAGGCCGTTGAAGGTTTGATTTGGTGCAGTACCGACGTCACAGGCGTCGTAGGTATATGGCCACTGTGAACCATGCTCAAACCAATCAGAGAACAGAGAGAAGGATAAATGACCGACCATTCCTTCCAAGCTTGCGCCATAGCCGGCTCGACCAAGATTTCCTAATGTCCAGATAGCGGGCCATAATCCTGTGGTACACGTTGTTTATGCATGGCCATGATCATGACATGCTCTCTTACCAACTATGTTGTTCACACCAGGTAATGAGACGGACGCTTCGATGTATCCACCGGTGAAACAGAATTTGTTCCTGTATACAAATGAGACGGTTCACCAGATGCCGGCCAGATGAGTACTTGCCATGTGGATATCATGCCTATTAAGAACAGGTATAAGCAACTTGAGAATTGGACAAGGAATGAAGATTTTAAAAAAAGCCTAGAAGCATCGTAGATTATCAAGTACTCACCGCCCTGATAGTTTAGGTTATGCGTTTCCTTTTGAGACAATGTTATTACAAGGTAGCCATCTTGTGTGGTGACCGCCTCGGGATCATACCACTCCAGGTTGTTCGTTTGCTGGGATGACCATTAGCACCTTAGCATGGGCAATGTTGAAGTAATTTACCCAGTAATGTAGATTAGCCGCCTCCCAGTATGGATCATCGCCTGGCCAGAATGTTCTTCCTGGAGTATTGAACTCGTCAGAGAAGACGAGCTGCAAGTCCGGTCCACCATTCCAGGAGGGCTTGGTAAACACGTTACTGGGGGTTTGGGTGTCGATTAGGCCCAAATTTCCAGGAATTTGTGGTATCTAACGAGCGAAATGCCATTGCATTACTGAAATTCGAAGATAATAAGAAGACTTACTTGTCCACTTGCATTTATTCCTCCTAGGTTGAAGCCGCCTTGATTCGATAGCGTAGTCCCCGTGAAATAAGTTATTATTGGATATCCAGCGCTGCAAGCATCCAAGTTCAGTCGAATGCAAAACACTTGAATAACTGAGAACGCTCACAAAAGCGTGATTAACCCGATGCCCAGAACCAGCAGGCAACCGATATTTGCTAGACCGCGATCAGGACCCCAAGTGTTGTGATCCCTGACGTTGGGATTGTGAAGGTCATCGTCGGGTTCCTTGCAATCGTTATATAAATTCAAGCCCCATTCACGAGGATCCGGCGATAAATGAAACTGCAAATCATGCAGTCAGTCAACTTGGGCGCGTATGGTTGATCCAGGAGAGCTCCACATACACGGTCTGATATTGTAGCCAACCTCGAACCTGCTCCAGCAGTGTACGGTGACTCTGTCTATAAACGTGCTCAAAGACGATCATGGACCGCAGTGGGACGGACGGAGCTTACCGATATACTTGTAAAACTTTGTACTCTGTCTGACTGCGAAAGAGTGTGTCTATTACGAGGCAACAAGCTCGCCTTCGACTCTGGAGAAAGGGTGAGGTCTCCGCTGCCTGCTGAATACGCCATGGTTGTTGGGAGTAGAAAGAATGTAGAAGGTGGCGTTACCACGCGCTTGAGCCTATAGTTACCTGAAGGTGCTGAGATTAACGGAGTACATACAAAACTTTATTCCTTCATCACGAAACCGAAGAGGCAAGTAGAAGACCTTAAATTTACGAATGCCTGGTTCTATTACGGTTTTAAGTTGTTAATGGGAAATCTCCTACTAGTACTGAGGATCCTCTTAGCTGAACAAGAGCACAAAGGCAGAACCGAATATTCAACAAAAGGACGCAGCAGACTTCATTTCCAAATTGGATATACTTAATCTCCGAAAATAGACTTTCTGTTCTGAAACAAGGTTGCAGTTTTCACACACTTACCCGCACGTGACCAACGTATATGATCTGCATCATCGCTACCAAATTTTGTCCTTCAATCATTCCACACGTGCATATCATATTGATTGATTGAGTGCATCCCCCCAAATACGACATGCACGGACCAACGTGAGATTACCAGCGTCAATTATGGAGGTCGCAAGATGAGTCAAAGTAATTACATAGGACCTTCGCCGTCATCTATGTATAGCGTGTCCACTGTAAGTCCGTCTCCAATGACTCACCGCTCACACTCCTATATCCTCCGCCTCCGCGTGGTGACCTCCAGCCCTGTGAACGAACCGCGCGTGCAAAGTCATTCCGCACGACGGCATTCTCCATCGTGGTACCTGACTGCCTTCGCACGCCATCGAAGCTGTTATGCTCCACCATACTTAGACAGCCAGATGGTTTGCCATTCCCGAGCGAAGCCAAAGTATCTTTCCTTGAAGAGATGTCCAAGCCCATCGCCTGCATTACGCGCACGAGATCCAAGGACTGATCGGTGCTAGCACCGGGACTGATCGCACCGCGCTCATGGAACGCCTTTTCGTCAGAAGCTCGCCACGGTCCGATGGGCTGCAGCATCTGGGCCGGCTTGGGTGACGGCATAGTAAGCCCGGGGGTGTTGATAGGCAGATCACGCTCTCTTGAAAGAAGTCGTTCTAAATGACGGATACGTTCACTTCTTTCTAGTAACTCAATTGCACCTGGAGAAGGCGGCGTGCAAGGGTTCGAATGCCTATTCAGCGAAGGAGCGTGGTGGATATGCGGCTTCAAGTTCTGCGTAGTTATCGTGTTATACTTGTTCTTATTAAGGCGCTGGTGAGGAGGCTTGTAGTTCTGGGGTGTAGCGTGATCTTCCGTCGTCCGTGCTGCTGGGGGCAAGTGACCCTGGTGTGCAATGTAATCTTCTTCCGTCCGTGCTGCTGGAAGCATGTAACTCTGGCGTAAAGTGTGGTCTTGCGTCCGCGCGCCCGGGGGTGTGTAACTCTGGCGTATAGTGTGATCTTCCTCCATCCACGCCGTTGGGGACTTGCGTGTAGGGTTAGGAGAGGTCCTCACTGAAGGCGTCGACGGGGCTGGCAGTTTGACCCGAGGGGAGTCTCCCTCCATGATCTTCTCCGCCCGATTCATTGGGTGTGCAGTCTCTGCTACGAGTGCCTTGATAGAATCTGGCCCTTCAGCTTGACATTGCCGAAGAGTACTATGCTTCGTCGCAGAGGGGCTACTTGTCTCCATCGCCTTGCGAAACAGCTCAGTGAGCAACATTTCCGCGTTACTAGAACGTCGCCCTATAGAAGCAGTCGCCAGATCCATAGCCTGGGTAGCACCAGCACGCTCTTCGCTCTGTAGAAGCATAGCGTTGTGTTGTTCTTGAATAGGAACTCGTTTCGGCGTTGCAAATCTCATAGGAGGTAAAGTCGAAGCCTGAATTTCGGCCGCGGGAGCGTTCCAGTCCGTGTTTCCACTTTCTCGTTGGTAGTCGCGCGTTCTCTCTTGTAGTGTCGCTGGAGCCGTATGCCGATTCATCTGGAACGACGGGGCACGTTTCACAGATGGATTCGACAGCGCAGAATCGACCAACCAAACTGGCTGCCGAGAATCGTGCACGGAATGAAATCCAGAGGTCCCTTTCGGATCGACCAATACAGAAACGGGACTGAGATCCTTGTGGCGGGATGGAGAAGGATCGGGTCTCGGGGTCCGCAAGGATCCTCGACTTTGTTGCTGCGATTCTTCTTGATTGTCCCGAGAACGTTTACTCCTGTGCCTGCGGTGACGACGGGGCCTTCGCTTGTTTGGCGGGTCCTCCTCAATCAAATCATGTTCGGGTGTCAGGGCAAGTTCCTGACGTGTGGTACGCTGCCGCAGTGGGGAAACAAGGATCTGAGAGGCTAGGTCTGGATATCGTGCGGCTAACTATATTTGTGATTTTTATTGTAAAACCCCGCGGATGGAGAAAACAATAAGATAACAACTTACGTTTGTGGCGTCCGCATATGTAACAGCAACAGGCACCTCTGGGCCTCCGGTCTTGATAGGAGTAGTTGTATAGGTCCTGTCGGTATTCTCCATGCTGTGTTCAGTGTCGGATTCAAGGACGGAAGGAATGTTATTTGTAGATGCTACATCGGGCATCTGAAATTCGATTGGCGAATATCAGAAAAACCGGCAACTAGGAACACTCACGATAATGCTGTTCTTGCAAGGAGACAAACTGATTTCTGTGGATGCGGTGGTGATACGTCGCTGGGTGATATTAGACAGAACATTTGCGAATGGCTGCTGTACACGACTAAGAGACTGTGATTCTGATGCTTCAAATGATTCGGGAATGATTGCAGATGAAATTGAGTCTAGGGAATTATTGGCCGGCTGAAGTAAATGTTAGCGTCGTAGGCACCAATTGGTTTGATGTTACGGACATGTTCAACAGGCACAGATTCCTCTTTGGGTATGACAGATAATTGTCTTTCGATTGACGGCGGAGGAGTAATATTCTGCAAAGATTAGACTTTGTAAGATAAGATGAGGATGAACGATCACAGTTACTTACCCCTGGTGCGCCGGAGGCTGTGAAGACGACAGTTCCATTCCCCGGTGTACACGGAGGTCCTAGTAGTACAGGTTCCGGAACATAAAAGTCTTGGTTGCATTTTGTCTGTAAGCATGTGGCGTGAAAAGTAGTCCCGCAACGACCGTGAGCGAAACTAACCTCTTGGCGGGTGACTGATGCGCGATCAAAACCGAATGTCTAACATATTAAATGTTGAAATTCCGAGGATTTCAAATATTCTAGAAACTCATACCTCTATGCTAGTGGCTCCGGTCTTATCAAAGTCAAGATGCGGTAATTCAGGGTAAGATGTAGAGAAGGTGCTCACGGCATCCACCGTGCTGGACGTGTTAAGCCGAACATGGTCTGGCATAGGCACAATAACAGTAGTCTTGTCTTCATGCATGAATGCCTTGTGGGTTATCCTGATTAAGTCATCTCAAAGTCGAAGCATCAAAGTACCCGACCTTGTTCCTAGACGTAGTCGCATCGGCCCCCTGTTGCAGATTCTCAGGACCTGATAAAGGTACATGTCGAAGCGGCGAGCGACTCACGGAAGTTGCTTTAACATGACACGGAGTAATCTCGCCAATGGTGGCTGCGTTGACAGCAGTCACGGTTGCGCACGGAGCATGAACGGTATTTGCGACCTTAGTCGCTGACTTTTCTGAAGAGCCGATGGGAGCAGTAGCCGGAGGGCGACTTGCTTCAACCCCCATCTGTTGTGCCAGTTATAAATATAGTTAATATCGTTCTGACTGGATGAGGAAACACAACAGGATTCTGAGAGCGCGAACGTACTGTGTCCCTGGATGAATACGCCCTTGATGCTAGTTATCAAATTTAATGGCTGGCGGGCACCTGTCTAATGAATGACTGAAAACGCGGGGATGGAGGTAAAGAGAAGAGATGTTCAAGTTGACGATGAACTGACTACCAAACAGAATAGTATACCAAACGTTAATACGAGCTCCGATGGTATGCAAGTGGATACATAATGGAACGCGTGAAGACACATGGGGATGACTTGCAAAAGCTTCTGGAGTCTGCAAGGCGTAGTACCATTAGAACCATAGAGCCTGCATGGCGCGTCTGAAGATCAAAAAACTATCGTGTCTCCATCAGATTAATATTCTCCTCGAATGAATTCGAACTTCTATTCACCTTGCGCTTCAACTGTCGTCCTTCACTCGTGTATCGTTTCAAACTTTGCAACCTATGGCTGTGACCCGCAACAGTGAATCAGTGACGGGCTGATGCAACAAGCAATAAATCATCTCACGGTCGGTGCTAAGGCTGAAACGACATACAACCCTCTCACTGCCCATCAGACGGAGTCTCATTCAACGTTCTCTCTCCTGTTATCGGCTGTGCCGTACAGCCGCTTGCTTGTCTTCTTATTCTATCTCTTTACCGTATCATCGAGTTTCTCAGCCACCCACTGTAATCTGGCACCAAGATATATTCCATTCCGGCCGACTTAAATATGAGCGCACCATCCAGCTACGATCCTGCGCCAATCTATGACAGCGTAGATATCGACATGGTTGTCAAAGTTCTGTCGCAGACAGCTTTCAGTTCGTGCACTTGTCATCCGTATCCCCGTGATTAGGCGTTAATGTGTTGTCTATCCACAGGTCCCTTCTTTACGTGTTTCATACCCATATTCTATATTTTTCAAGGTTACGAGTTCGTAAATCCAGTCGTGCTCATTCCATCCATATATTGCGCAGCTGTTTCTGCTTTCTGTGCGTCCTCAGAAATACGAGCGCTTCTGATACTAACATACAGGCAGGGCTCTTGAAGTGGATCTCACAGCTGTATCGCAATCAAGGGAGCTTTTTCTTTAAACCTAAACCCTTAGATTGGAGCGAACAGATTGTGGTCATCACTGGAGGTACGACCCTTATTATTGCATCGAGCGCTTCCATGACTTAAGACGAATATAGGCGCTTCGGGAGTAGGAGAACTGTTAGCAAACACTCTCGCTGTCCGCAACGTCACGGTGGTTGTACTTGATGTCAAACCAATAGTAACTGAAAACTGTGCGCCACCCTCTCCTATATATTTTTCTATTCAATGCAAATTTTGTCACTAGACAACATCGTTTATTACCAATGTGACGTTTCGAAGTGGGAGGAGGTCGAGGCCGTTTCGAAGAAGATCATTGACGAGGTATATTGTCTTGTGTCTTTTGGTGACATATGTTCAAGTTTGCATCATAGATCGGGCAACCCACTATGCTTGTCAACAACGCTGGCGTTGTGCAAGGGAAACTCATCATCGATCTCAAACCAGAGGACGTATACCAGTATGTCATTTTACATTTTTTTGAGTGCTGAAGCTTAGTTGTAACATGAAGGACATTTGGTGTGAATACCCTGGCCCATTTCTGGACCTTGAAGGCGTTCTTACCGGGAATGATCAAAAACAAAACTGGTCATATTGTAAGTTTCTTCATGTGTCAGGGTGAAATGTTATGAATTGCCACCCTAGGTGACGATGTCGTCTGTTGTGGGCTTCGTTGGCTGTGTCCGGATGGGTGAGCTTCAAGAAGCTTCTTCCAATACTACCCTGACATATACTTGTAGCCGATTATAATGCATCAAAGGCAGCTCTGATGATCATCAATGAGTCTCTGCGTTACGAGCTCGACAAAGTGTACGCATATGAATTACATACGATACTGTGCCATGCTTATCTCGCTCTTAGGTATGATGCGCCGGGGATTCGTACCACCATCGTTTGTCCAGGACACATTTTAACCCCTCTATTCTCCACTGTCCAACTGCCATCCAACCCCTTCTTCCAGTTCTTTGTACCATCCATCGCGCCGGTGACAGTAGTGAAGGCGATCATCACTGCACTTGATGCACAGCAGTCCCAAACTATTTTTCTGCCGTTTTACACGAATTTTTCACCGGTGGTTAGGATGATACCCAGTTACCTTAGGGATATTTGCCAGAAGGTTTGTTATCTTATCGTGTATGAGGATTGATTGACTGATTGACGACGAACCAGTTCTCCGGAGCTGATTATTCTATGAGGAATTTTACGAAGGTAACAGCACGCAGGCCGGATGAGGTAGATCTTCTCGTTGCTAACGGTAAAGACTGAGGGCACTGTACCGGCGCTGTTAATATCACTGCAGCAATATACTGGACACAGCCGCCGGATTATCAGTTTCCTATGATCTGTCAAAGTTCTACTATTGGGTTTGCAGCTTTGGCTGTGCAGTGGTAATATTACTGGCATTTCCCTGATGGGTTATGTCTGATCAAGGCCTTGGACTTCGAAGCTTAACTGAACAAGTAGTAGAAGACTACTTGTATGTGCAACCCGGCTGTGTATTTTGTGGGTTTGATATTAATCCCTGGCTGTTATGTTCCTACAGGAATATCACAATTGCCCTGTTGTGGAATAAGAGGCCCGCCGTCACTATTGTACAACTGCAGAAATGTCCAGCCGTCGAAACACGCTCAACTCCGACGCACCTGTTGATATCGCTACAGGAACGTCCGAATTCCGATAGACTGTCAGATGCTAAGATGAGTATCCTAGACCAGAGCATGCTGCAGCTTCTACGACGCGTGAATCCACCAAGACAAGTTCCAAGTATGCGGACCAACCGAAAAAGCCACAGGACTACGGATCCACAATTGTTCACAAAGGGTGCAGTGTGCATCGAGTTGAGTGGCGTGTAGAAATGTGGACTTCCACAATTACAACAAAGGTGTAACAAACTCCGCTGGTCCACAGCAAAGCGTTCTGGGTCCTGATACTTAAAGGTCTAGCTAAACGCGTCAGGACAGCTATTTCCAACGAATACTGCTCCAATACGCGTCATACCAATATTCTTGCTTGGACCTTATAACGCGCCACCATACAAACGATAGACCCACCTACACTTATGGGCAACTTTATAGCGCTCGCACTTAGCACCGTACAGTCGATGCTAGCTGTCCCAGAGTCAATGTTAGATGCATTCTCACACGACGTGCTCAAGGAGAGAAGATGGAATAAGGCGTGGGAACGTGTGCTACACGCGCTCACGAGCTTCGATGAGCCGCATTTGGACGCGCCTCTTCTGTATGACATCAAACCAGTCAACAATGACACTGAATGCACAAGCAAAGTAAGTCGAAGCTTCACGGTCAGCTACATACTGGTCTGATCAACGCATTGCATCAGGATGCCTGCATCACACAAACCTGCATGCCACATTCACAATCGGACCACCAGGAATTCACAGCGGTCTCGGCGCCGCATGTGAATTTCAACGCTTTCGGCGTTCAGAACCAGAATGCAAGCACAGTGTCAGACGCCAGCTGCGCCTCTGCCTCACCTTTGGATGCAGACGAGCGCCTTACTTCTCTCTCTTCACCAGAAACCTCAACCACCTTTCAGCCACTTTCCCGCACAAATGACATGGTACGTTACACACTTTTGTCACACTGTCCTGGTTTGTTGAGAACATACTTTCAAGACTGGTGGCCCAGAAGTTAAACCCATCGAATCCGTTCCCGAGCAACTGTTTGTGGACTCCCACATCGTTCTCGAAGAAGACTTAGAGACCGTAGGTTCTCACTCTTCCGTGTGCTCCTGCTTCATCTGTGAAGAGGACAGAGAATATGTGAGTATTTTTTCTCCCTCTCTTTCTTTACTCATTCCAATGTCTCGCTTTCAGGACACCCTCCTCGACTTGCGCCTAGATGGCCGCAACATCGTGCTTGACTCATTGTATCCTGACATCGCACCCCATATAGTTATAACTCCCCCTGTCTCTTGTGCAGACGACTTTTACACACCGTATCAAAACCGGGTTGATCCCCAGTGGCCATGTTTTCTCAACGTGCCCCGTTTATCCCCTCACATGTACTACCATCATCATCCTCTACCATCATCCCACGATGAATCAGCTGGCTGTAATTCAAAAGAATTCCATTCACAGTCCGTAGCCCCATCAGACGACCTTGGTCTTATTCGGCCGAAAACCCCCCCTCGCGTGTTCAGTCGCAAGAAATTTAATCTCGCTGTAAGCCGGCTAGTGTCATTTATACACTCATCTCATCTCCTTTACTCTCTATTAGGTCGAAGCTTCTTCAATTGAAAGACTTGTATTCCGCAAAATAGTGGACGGAATATTCCGACACCGCCGTAAAGCTGTGGTGAGCTGTCTTATAAATCCCTCATTCGAACCAATCAGCTGAATGCTTGCCTTCCCTCTCAGGCATTCGAAGCATCCCTCTCGGCGTCCGCGGTTTGCACGCGATTCAATGAATCAGTGGCCTCATCACTGTTGGAACGGCCCTTCGTGTGGACAGATCCTGCTCAGGTACGAATTTGCAGATTGTCGGGCATGAACTTCTACGCCGACTGACATCAAAACTTCTCCAGCCTATCCTACTTGCCTCCAGAAATTTCTCAGGCGTCTCTATCATAGAGTCCGACTGTGCCTTTAGAGCACCTCATATCATCATCATTGCGGCGGAGCCGCATGACCCGTGGATCTCATGGGGCAACAGGGTCGATGACCAAGATTACGAATACCTCACGGTATATCCCAAGGGCAGTTTGACACCTCCGATTAATTCCACCTCCCTCGCCACCGTCTCCGTTCCTGGTCCGCACCATCAAGACGACCCTGATAGCAGTGGCTTACCCTCTGACCACTCGCGGGAGTGTCAACTGATCACCATACCTCCGTCCCTTGACGAATACGGGTGTTTTCTCACACCACACGAGAAGGGACGTACAACTTATACCGATCACCCGCATTTTACCCCAGACGTCAACGAGTTTACGGATTCAGAAAAAATGTCTCTTGGTCTTTCTATCATTCGGTGCGAGACGCCCACGCCAGATTCCGACGACGAAGACGAAGACGATCTTCCTCCGTTTGATGATTGGTACCTGTCTGTTATCGAGCGTTCTAAATCTATTGGCGCTTAGCATGAAACGGCTTCTTTCGTTCATCGTATATACTTCCCGACATATGTTGGTACCTGCCCCACATGCAGTAACATCACACATATATACCCGCAGTACTTCTTTGTATTTTTATATTCTCATCTTTTTCACACTCATTATCATCGACTATATTGAAATTACTGTTGGTTGCCTTAAAGGCAACTACGTCCCAAGACATGAGCGAGGCACCCTCGTCACGCGGTAACAATACAAGATGCTACATACTACAGAATATTCCTGAAAAGTATGCGTGTGGTTTGATGTACATAAAAGAACATTGGGATAGTAAATGCCCGAGATAAAATAACAACTAGATGACGATGAATGAGACATAGACATGCTGACATACGCTACAACACGCAAAATGGGGGTTTTAAACCAAAAAGAATTTGCAACATGGGGATGCCCATAATGATATAGAAACGAGGGTATCATTCGTTGAAAACACTAAACGAAAAAGCGGGGCTTGCGGAAATATGGGTTTTGTAAAGTACTTCTAAATTCTTTGGATGTGACCCAAGGGATTGAATGTGTGAAATGCAGGCGGCACCGGGCGTTGCCTGGATCATTTTGGTGGTGTTGATGTAATTGCTAGCGCGAACGAATATGGCGATCGGAGATGGAATTTAACAAGCCTTCAGTAAGGCTCGGGCACGATTGGCGTGTGCTTTAGAAACCTACCCAAGAACAGAGTTTGTCATATCGAAGCACATAATTAAGGAACTGATATACGCACTAGTAGATTAGCCGTTTTATAGGTCGAGCTATACATATGGTTGATACCATTTTGTTCCAAGACCCGCGAAAAGCGGTTCACTAAGCCATGTTTATCTACGTGGGACAGAAGCACAGGTGTCAATGCCTTCCGGAAGACAACAAATGAATGGCGTACCAAGCCCGAATCTGCGCAGATCTATCTGCAAGCATTTCAGGGCACCACCTGATGAAAGCGTGTCCTCGTCGTCCTCGGAGTCTGAATCTGTACTCGAACTCTGTGCATCAAGAGCATCAAGTTCGCCAGCGCAAATCATCATGTGCCGCTCATTCGGAGGAAATAGGGCGGCAAGAAGAGAAACATCAGTCGTTAATGAGGTGCCTTCTTGTGTACGGGTGAAGCTGAAAAATGGAACCATGCCACGTATGGTGTCATCTACAGGCTTCTTGATGGCGGCCGATGGATCCATATGGTGGAAAGTGGGATTACGATGTGATGCTGGCTTTGGTTCAAGTGGAGAGAGTGGTGCAAGTGGTGCAATGATGTGTTTTACAGAGGGTTTGAAAGGTCCTGTTTGAGAAGGGACAGAAATAGATAGATCTGGGAAGGACCGGGAAGCAGCGGAAGACTGCAGTGAAATGGATGACAGGTTTCCGAGAGGAGAGTGAGAAAAGTAACCTTCTTCCTCATCGTCGCTCGAAGAAAAAAATGAATCTGATGAATCTGAATATCGTTTTCGACTTGACAACGATAGCGGAACTCCGTCGGTAGGGCGGGCGTTGCGAGACTGTGACTTGCGTGACCGTGAGGGGGGTTCTTTGACGGGGATCAACTCAGGGAACGCTACGAGCTTTACGATCTTGAGTCCCCACGTGTCAACACTGTCATCAGAAAGGCCGACACAAGCAAGGTTGGGAGTCAACACGCGCACTTCCCCCGAGGTTGGGGAGTGGGATTTGTGACGTGATGGAGGTTTATGATGAGTCGGACTGTTTGTTGGTGAGTCGTTAGGTGATGTCGTGAGATTTATGCACTGCAAACTAATGGCAGCAGCAGAAACGGGGTCGAGACTATTCCTTGTGCGGGTCAGAATGGCGCCGGATTCAACCGTGATATCCTGGGCTACGTCGGAGATGGAAGAGTCGTCGGGGGAGACTGGGGAGAGCAATGGGGAGACTACTCTAGAAGTGAGTAGTTCCGGGTCAGAAGAATAGAGATCGAATCCCGTTGATCCGAGCAAAGACATGACCTCCTGGAGTCTTGACTCCTTTACCTGATTGTTACAATTTAGAAAGCCTAAGTGCTGGATAATTCAATATAGGACGTACAAATATGAAGTCGCTCAAGTAAGAGGACTGGTATAGGATAGAGATTCCAGCTGCAGCTAACGGTGCGGAGAGCTCATGTATACGGGCTCCGGAGCTGTCTAAAAATTGGTGAATTAATGAATTTGCTCATAGGGGTTGTACAGCATACCGAGCTGATCAGAATGAGAGTCGATTTGAAGAACATTCCACTTTTCGTAGGATATTTCGAGGTGGTCTTGGGGCAATACAGAGTGAGGACGCTTTGAACCGGATCCAGAGCCAGAGCGAGATCGCTTGCCTCTGCCTGTCTCGTCTAGCGACGGGTTCGAAATCTGCTAGCATGTGAGATTCAGCGAAAAGACTAAGTTCGATCTCATTGCAGGTGACATTGATGAAGGTGGGGTTTGGCTGTAGGATCTGCCTTAGGACGGGATGTGATAGTTGGGGTAGACGAGAGCGAGGGATGTGTACTAGGGAGAGGGATACTGGGAGAAGGGATACTGTGACATTGGAGGAAGGTTCTGCCATGATGGAAGAGCAGAAGAAGGAAGGGCTTCGGGAGGGAATAGAAATATATAGATGGAGGGGGAGTCACGCGAAGAAGGCGTGTGCTGTTTTTCTAGTGAAACAAGGTTCAAATTTGAAAGGCCTATCGAGCGATTACCCAATTCATGGTGCTTAGGCTTGGTACGGACCGATCATAGCGACCTCCCCAGTGATCAACTGTGATGTAGTTGACGGCGAGTTTTATGTTTCCTAGCTGTGCCTTCACCTTATCTTTACGTCCCCTAGCGCTTAAGTGAGTACATACCATATAACACGTCTGCACATTCGTCGGAGTCACTTCTTGCACATGCGTCGGAGTAACAGTGGAGACTCCACTCGCGGAACATTCTCGTTCTGCAGGAGAGCTTTCATTTTGATGGGCGCTTGGCTTTGGCTGTGACTCTTGGATCCAATCGGGATCTAATTGAACTTACTCAACACAGTCCATTTAGCTTTGGTCGCATCAATAAAATGGACAGCCGTGTCCCTACGTAGTGGGACCTAGTGGGACCAAAAAGTTTACTCGACGTTTATGCCCAGTCCTTTCCACGCTTATTGTCAAAGACTGCCTTAGCACATGTCGCGATGTTGTCATGCAGCCGCTACGGCAAAGATCTGAGCCGCGTAGACTAATCCAGTAACAGATCCATCATGATCTCTCATTATTATAAAGCCAAAATGGGTCGTCCCTAAGTAATCATCTTGGCTTTCCCCGGACTCACCTGACCCGCAAATTTGGCAATCGGCGTTTCATTTCGGGACTAGTTCATGCGCTATACGTGCCATTCCGAGCCTTCCCTGGAGGAGAACTGGATCAACTAATCCTGCTTGTATCCTCCAGTTCCGATAAGAACACTCAACCCATTCACATCATTACCATATATATAGATACACGTTCGCCGTTCCACACAGGTCTGCTCGATGAAGTCAAAATAGCAAGAAGACGAGAAGATCACTCTGCGGTCTTGAATCCTGATTAATAGCAGTACACGTGTACATGAAATCATCGATCAACTAGCGGGGATGTAAAACTACATGGAGCATCACTGCGGTCCGTGTACTCCTCAAATGTATGTCGAAACAACAGCAATAAAAATAATTTAAACCAATCCTCGTACCAACTTGTGCAATCATCAACAGAATCTAGTCATCTAAAATTCACCTCGTTAGCACAGGCCGCTGCAAACGTCTACAGCGAGGTTGCGGAGAACCCTTTGGGCTTCCTTTCTTCGTGGGAGTCAGTGGATGGGGATACCGTGAACGTGTGGGAGCATGGACGGATAATAGGGATCGTCGACGCAGGAGGTAACGAGGGGACGTTTGGGTGGAAAATTTGGTCGTCTTAGCTTTCAAGCCACGTTTGAGTTCTCGGCTCGAATTTAGTGTCGGTGGAATAACATGCGACGACTCCAAGGCACAACCTCCCTGAGATGGTGGCGAAACGCGACTAGGGGTCACAGGAGACCGTATGGCAGTAGAAAGCGACGTGGCAAGTGGCGAAGACTGAGGCGAAAGCCCTAGCTGGGAATAAGATATTTCTTCTGGCACAAAAGCCAACGAGTCTGTGTCCATTTGTGAAGCGGGTATCGAGCTGGTGTCTTCGATATGCCAGGACACCGGTCCAGCAGGTGTCATCACTAACTCCGATTCTTGTGATCCCCCCTGAGATGGCTCTTCTGACGGTGTCCCAAACAGGGGGGAAGTTAGCGGAGTTGTAGAAAATCTTCTCGGCGGGGTGCGATGGGTTTTAAGGGCACAACGGGGCGTACGGAACGGTAGTTGGCTTCCATATACAGGTTTGCTCAAGTCTGCGCGTCCCATAGCACGCTTTGAAGCGGGCGCAGAGTTAAATTCAAGTGGCTCAGTGGCTTTTCGCACAAGAGACTCGGGCTTGCTGCTTGCTTGCGTGCCAGCATTAGTGGCTTCGCGTCCGAATTGAGGGCGTGTGGAATGCGATGGCCCTCCTTCTTCTTCTTCCCAGTCTCCTCTGGTACGTTTCAGCGGTCTTGCACTAGGCTGAGTCTGGCGCGGAACTCGCGGAACAGGCGCGATGGGTGGCAAAGTACTTTCATACGCAAAATCTCGTACTTTAATGCCGAGTGACTGGAGTGTTTCTACGGTGGGTTGTTGAGAGGACAGTCTTAGAACTTGAGGCTGCACATCGCTTGGGACCGTGAAGTTTGGTGGCTTGAGGAATGACATAACAGGACACACTTAAGGACTGATTGCTCGCGTCATCAGACATGTCTTTTCACTTACATTCGTTACTTGGGACGGAAGATCAAGCTCAGGATCATCATCATCATCACTGACGATCGCGAAATCGAATGTCTTCGTCGTCGATAGGAAATCTCCCTCCTGTTCTTCTGTTCCCACAGCTATCGATGGTTGCAAGATTGCATCATTGTTGCCCGAACTAGTCATCCGAAAGAGCTGTTATAACAAAGAGATATGAAAGCTTGAATGAGACTTAATGGCTGGATGTAATGGATAACAAAGGGCCTTTGAAAGAAATAGCTATGGCACAGCAGCACGTTGTGGTAGCAGTACAAGTTGGTGTTGTCCAGCGCTGACAGCAGCATGGGAAGACCAACGCATTTTAATCTCCGACGTTGCGGTCTACACACGTACACGTGATCGGGCGCGCGTTAAGCCCGAATTTGGCAAGCGTCGGTCATGGCATTGTTCGGCGCAGCGTCAAGCAGAAGGAAATACCTCGTTTGTAAGTAAAACTTGTCTTCATTTTTCACACATTCGCTCTGCTTCTTACAACCATATTACGTAGTTTCCGCAACTTTTCGGGCTGTAGGAGCACAGCCAACTCCGAACTTGTGCTGTCAGTAGACTCTCCACCTTTTTCAACGTGTGTGGCACTGTGGGCGCTGTGTATCTCGTGGATCACGCTCATTGTTTACAGTTGAGATCATTCATTACCGCATACTACCGGTCAACTTCCAGGACTCTCGGGCATGCTTCGAAGGGCTTGGAAACCACTGGCTGCCACTACCGTTCTTATTGGCACACCAAGCTACCTCTACTATACTTTCACCAAGCAGCAGACATTTGACCTTGCAGTCAAAGTTCGCGGCGCGGACGGGATGCCAATTATGGTCAACCGCACATTTTCCATGTTATCACAGAACGCTGTTAAAGATCGTCTGATAGAAAACGCGTCGTCTGACAGCTTTTCCAGACCTGACAGCACAGTATGGCGATACGCCACGGCATCGGTTGCCGCCAATGACCCCCTAGAAGATGCACATGCAGACGCTATAATTGCCCGCGATCCATCTGACCCATCTGCACCAGGTGACTGGCTGTTCTTCACCGTTATGGATGGCCATGGGGGGCCCCATACATCTCGCCTTCTTTCCAAGACCCTCATCAGCGCCGTGGTCTTGGAATTATCCTCCCTGATTCACTCCACGGACGTCCCGAAATCCGGACTTCTGGAAAAGTTAAAGTTGATATTTCGCACGTCTACACCTAAATCTCGCGAAGACCCTCAAAACCCAGAGAGAATCTCCCTTGCCATACGAAATGCTTTCACTAAGCTAGATCAGGAACTCGTCAATGCACCCCTTTCGGTTCTCGCCGCAAACTTGGATGCTGAATCAATAAAGAAAAACATCCTTCCCGATCTTAGCAAACATCCGCTGGCACTGCAGACGATGCTTCCTGCTGTATCTGGTACGGCACAATCTCTGCCTGTCTTTTTCAAATATGACGTGCCGTTCTATCTTCAGGCAGCTGTGCGCTGATGGCCGTTTTCGACACCACCCATCGGCACCTGTACGTGGCTTGCTCAGGGGATAGTCGTGCTGTTGCCGGCATCTGGGAAGAAAATGAGCAAGGTCAGGGGTCGTGGCGTGTTGAGGTTCTTAGCGAAGACCAGACCGGTCGCAACCCGAGTGAATTGAAAAGGTTTACCACAGTTAATTTCCGGTACAGCTTCTTACACTCGATTTTTAGGATTCAATCTGAACATCCTCCTGATGAGGCGGGTAGTGTTATCCGAGCAGGTCGCGTACTTGGTGGGCTTGAACCCAGCCGTGCGTTCGGAGATGCCCGATACAAGTGGCCGCGTGAGGTGCAAGACGTGTACGTGATTTTAGATTTGATTATGGCAAGGTCAATACAAACTCATTGCTGACTCTGATGTTCAGACTAAACCGTGCCTTCCTTGTGGGCAACGATCAACCATTGCGCCCACCCCCTTCGTCATTCAAGACTCCGCCATACGTTACTGCCACCCCAGTCGTAACCCATCGTGACTTTGACTTCGGCAGTGTTCCACGGCCGTCGCGGTCACCTACATCTCGTTTCGTGGTGCTGGCAACTGACGGACTGTGGGATAAGCTTAGCTCAGAGGATGTCGTAGCCCTTGTCGGCGGACATCTAAAAGGTCTCAAAGGAGTGGTTTCCAAAACAGCCCTTCCAGAACTCGTACCAACAGTGTCAGGGGCACCAACTGTGGAAGGCAAGGAGAAGAAACGAAATAATAGTAGTGGCTCCTGGTCATTTGAAGATGAGAACGTCAGCTCACATCTAATCCGGAACGCATTTGGCGGGGGCGACACCGAGAGTTTGAGGAAGTTGATGAGCATACCTGCTCCGATTGCCAGGAGCTATCGAGATGATACCACCGTGACTGTTATCTGGTGGGAAGATGGACAAGAAGGTAATGCCAAGACTGTGGCGTTCTCTTCTGATAATATAAAAGCAAAGCTGTAGTAGAGCGAGCTTCGTGACCTTTCGTACAGAATCGTGAATATATATGTGACTTGCAGCATATACTCTAGAATTAATAATGCCAAGAAATTTGGTCTACATGATCATCCTTTTCTTCTTTTTACCATACTGCTGCGGAGGTCTTTGCCAGTTATCTGATCGATGTTGGGATAATGTGTTACTTCCTGCTAGCCGGCTGTAAGGATTGACTGCGCCACCGCCAAACGATGACTTTCGATGACCGTGTGACTGTTTGGAAGATTGGGTATGCAAGGGCACGCGGGCATAATGCTTCCGAGGCGTCTGTTCGTCGTGGTCATCGTAATCTGACGATTTGCGCTTCTTGTCGTTATTCTTTGATGACGCGTAGAAGTCGCTTGGCGAAATGCCTGATGAAGGAGTTGTGTTCAATTGCACGGAGTCAACGGATGATGTGCTGGAAATAGGAGGAGGAGAGGTAGGAGGACCGGGGGGAGGCGGTGAGGTAGCGTTAAGCGACTCAGTGGTGCTTGAAGGTGGCTTAAGGTCAACGGGTGTCACAACTGGCGGTTCGCTGTCATTGTCGTCATCATCATTGTATTGTGAGAGGCTCGTGAGGGCAGTGCTGGGGCTGAGAACCTGTTTAACAGCTTCGATTTTCTTCTTGATGCTCTCAGCCTGAGGGTCCCTGTCGTCCATTTTAGCCTTTTTATGTACCTCCGCATCATTAGCTATCGGAGAAGGAAGGAGAGGTCCGATGAATGGTCGATCAGTTTTGACGCCAAGGTCGTCACCGCCATCGTCTTCAGAGTCCACAACTTTCCTCTTCTTCATTCCAGCGACAACATTCCGAGGGGTCATCGAGGGGCGAGTGATAGCAGCTTCGAGAGATTGGCCTTTCTCCCTAATATAAAACAAGATATATGCGTTCTTCAGAGGCCCAGGGGTATTACGGTGTTGTGATACGCTGTCGTCGTTCATCTCGTACCACATGCCATTGGCACCTTTGACAGTAGCATAGTAGTGGCCTGAGTTTGGTCCCCCGCCTGCATGACAAATGACACCATATAATGAGTATGTTGGGCCAAATTGACCCTCACTCATAAACGGTTTCAGCGTGATACGGTCGTCATAATGGACAAAATGGCCAATCTTCCGACCGAGGGGTGAGAAGCGCTTGAGGTGGATAGTCAACACTGCAGGCGCATCGTGAATAGTAAACCGCTTTTCGGCAACGACCGGCTTTTTGCACCTGCCAGAGTGTTGCGCATCAGATGTGAGCATGCCTGCTGATAGATATTGCTTACTTTTCGCACTTATATTTGTCTGACCCTTTGAGATAATCGACAGCAACAAACTTCCGGAAGGCGTCCTTCACGCTATTTGAGCCATATATGTCTAAGCTCACATCCAGCATGTTATCGAATGTGTCACTGTTGTAGTGGCACTCCTTGCATGTCACTCGTGATCGCAGCCGACCGCCGAATATCTTGTGAACCCAGGTGGTCTCCGCAAGTTTCGGATCAATTTTTCTTTTCGAAGCTTGTTAGCGACCACACAGGTAGGAAGTAACAAAACACTCACTGCGGGTATCCAGCTAGACATGATTTTTGTAAAGCGTCAATGGCATAGCGAAGGAACTCATGGGAATCCTCCTGCCTGCCCTTGCGCATGTGTTTTGCGATGACTAGAAAAGTACAATCGGACACAGGTTTCAATAAGGGAAGTAATACGTACCATGCAATTTCGAAACAATGACGTACGGCGTGCAAGAATGCTTCTTCTGATGGGAGTCAAGCATCACATGGCGAAGACAACATGACATGCAAAAGCCTCCCTTTACTCGACCTACATACCAGGTAAGATTAACTCATGATTATTAAGGTTATCCTCACATGGGTCAGACTTTGAGTGTGCCATTAAAACATTGAGCAGAGGAGACGTGTGGAGGAGACATTGCAAAGCACTGTTCAAGAAGCAAGTATTCCCCGTATTATGAAGGCCATTACCGATATTGTGACCAGGGGGCCAAGGCCATGAAAAGTCCAAAACTCCGGTGAATAACGCGCCATGCTTTGTTGATGAAGGAGATATCGGTTGTTTTGAGGGCGAAGCCAGGGGTGCGGAGGGTGTTCGAGGGCGTTCACGAACCTGGTAGGTGATGACCAGGTGAGCAGCTTGATGATAGAGCTATTGCATGCACCTACGATATTTTGTGATGCCTTCGGTGTGGCGTTGATAGGTTCATACTTGCCTTCCGCGACTGCGAGAGCGCCAGAAGACGAGCCTTCTACGAATTCGATCGGTGGCGGAAGCAAGTTATTGAAGGATTCAATATCTCTGGCAGGGCGAAACTGGGAATGATCATCGGATGGAAGCTGAGGAGCAAAGGAGGAAGTGGGGTACAGTGGTGATGCTAACATGTTCCTTTTTGCAGTGTAAAAGTTACCAACGCGGATTCGGACACGAAAAAAGGTTCGTAAAGGAAGCCAGCGGTGGCCCGCGCCGCAAAAATTGAGCAAGATGGACTGAGAAGATAAACACGATGGAAAGACGCCTGAGCGAGTGGGACCTTGAGAATTCCTCAAGTGAGTACTCGGGTTGGCCTAGTACTAGTTGTGGGCGTTTTATTTACGTTTGTTGTCAGATTAGAAGTTATCTAACTCCATCGATCTTGTCATTGGGGCTTCAAAAGTATAGTATATTAAAAGCCACTTGGTATAAGGGTAATAAGACACAAGTTCACTGAACAGATGGAGTGAGAGGTATGTAGGCTACAGTGCTGCGGTATAAATTATGAATAAAAAATGGTCCCGTGACAATCCTTGAATGCGTGAAGTGTACAAAGTATTAGTGTGGTAAATTAAACGGTGTTGAACAAAAGGTATGGCTTGGGGATATTGCAGCTCAAGAGAGCATAATCTAACTGATCATCCAGTGCAGAGTGAGAAGACGTGGCCGGTGAAGAGGACATCGACCGCATGCGAGACCCGAAGCAGTCAACGAAACCGTCAAGGACAGGAGGTAAAGAGGGTGACACCGATGCATATGGAGAAGGCAACCTAGAGAATGTGTCATTAGGTTGTAAGTATCCGTTGTATCCGGCGTCGAAAATGAAATCGTCAACATGCGTAGGAGGACACGTAGATACCGATGGTGGAGGCATGAGCGAAGAATTAGATGGTCCAGTACCAAATTCAGACGGCCAACTATAGTCATACATGCCGTCAGCCACGCCAGAGGCTCCATCATATTCAGGAACGGTAATCTGATAGTCGTTCGTCAGCATCAGAGCAGGGGGAGCCCAATGTGCTAAATTGTCTTCAGTAACGTCTGGAAGTGACGTCTCTGAAGGGGGACAGTAAGGGGCATCGGCTACTTGGGGAGGTAAAAAATGGAAGTTGGCTTGTTGGGAAGTGTTTTTATTTGCCGACGAGGCAATGGCATCTAAATCTAGTTTGCAGGGATTGACTCCATGCTTCTTCATATGCGCGACAAAAGCAGATCGTCGTTTAATTCTGACAGAGCATGAGCCCGACGGAACAATTCCAATGGTAATAACCAAAACTGACCTTGTGCCGCATTCTGGTATAGTGCACTTGTACACGCCCTCGCGTCTGTGAGTTTCCTTTCGATGGCGAGTGCAAGACGAGGGATCACTGAACGCTTTCACACAAGTACCGATACCACACACGTAAGGTTTGGCCTTGGTGCTATGGAACAGTCAGTATAGTTCGAAATCCAAAAGCGAACAAGCGCACTGTGTGTTGATGTGGGTGTTGAGGCCCGAACGCTGGGCAAATCCTTTATTACATGACCCGCAGACGTATGGCCTGGAAGACGAAACTGTCAGTTTGCACAATGCTTCAACATAACAAAAAACTCACTTGATTCCAGTATGTAGCTGCTGATGGCGAGTAAGATCGCCCTTACGACCGAAGCTCTTGGGGCACGATGAACATGGCCACTGGTGTCCGTATTACTAAGTAAATCGATCTTCGAGTCCCAGTGATGCGTCACTTACTGTCGGCATTGTAGCAGGTAGAAAATGTTACTAACTTCAAGGAAGGTGGGCGACGTTGGCCAGCGACGTCGATTAAAAGAAATATAAAGGCAATAAAACACGCAGGGGTTTGAACCACATATTGTACCATGATTTAAGGGCAGGAGGCCACCCGTCCCCGAGGTAGAAAATCAAGCTTCGCGGACTTTGACATTGGCCAGAAATCCATTGTTGTAAGGCCGAAGCGATGTCAGCGCCTAATTCGGAAAGAAAACCGACATGTTCCTTAGCTGATCTATGACGAGGAAGACATATGAAACCTTCGATATCACTGCTGTGCTGAGAATGACAAAAAACCAGCCTACCGTACAGAACTTGACAATAAGAGAAATATAGCGACCGAGGTTACTGGTGCTGCCCGGAGCCTAGGAACAAGGCGTCATGTCTCACCTTGGTCAGTCAAAATCACAAAGATCGCGGAGTGATTTTGATACCTTTTCAAACAGCACAATGGTGTGAAGATTGGTTAATGGACGACGACACGGAGTGTTATATTCCGAGACCATCAATAAGTTTGTTGTATGGACGCGAACCGTGACCTGCTAAGAAAGGATCTCTCACAAATGGAGCCAGAATACCGTTCGATATTACCAGCTGACGGGCCATCACGCTCATCTCCATAAGGAGAGTCATGCGATGCCCGGCTATTGCCCTCTCCAAGGATATCAGTGATCTCGGGGAGGATGGAGTAAAGCGTGCGCATTGCGGTTTACAATCAACGATGCATGCGAAGAACTCCGATCGCAATGATCCGGACGTCAGTAAATGTGGCGACCACCTGCCAGTACATCATCAGTAATATGGCTACGCGGAGCACAAAGCACTGACTCTTATTGTAGGTGAACAACTTGAACCTGCCGAGCTTACTGCATCTCGGTAAAGATCTACTTGCAACTAAAGCCTCGCGAGGACGATTCCACCAGTTCGTTGACTAAACCTGCGACTGAGCACGATGTTATCATATATCTGGGCCGCATCCTGCTTAGAAATGGCCATCCGCAAGAATGCATACCATTTATTTAGTCCAAACTTCATCCGTAGTGTAGGTCGTGTAAGTTCTGCGCCAGACACAATACAAATATCATTCACACTCCTAAGCCTGAGAGAACACGAGATGTATGTACCTGATATAAGCCTACACCCTCCAAGTGTTATGCTCCTTCCACTTCAATCATCCAGGAATGAATCATTTGCTGGAGTGTTCTTCCCACTCGGAAACCATGAAGTTCACGGAAGTGAAGATTCACAAAGTATGGAATCTGGCAGTGCGAACGTAAGGATATTGATCCAATTACTTCTGGGCATGATTGAACAAAGACTGGAGTGGTGGAAAATTCATTCGTAGCCGCCACTAGCCAGATTTGGGGTTTCCAGACGTTCAAAGTTGAGTCTGAAGCAACACGTCTTAGTCTCCGAGACAAATTTGACACTGAGTAGCAACTCGAAATCTACGTTGCCAGGGATCGTAGCAATAAGCTTAACTGGGACTCTGGGAGAGATTCAAATGTCGTTTTGGCATAGTGGTATTGAATGTGGAATTCAGAGCGGAGACAATGGCCCAAAGCTTAAAGCCGTTTGCTCAGTGCTCACGGTAGTGGCTGTACATGGATTATTAGTAGTACAGACCAGGTTACCAGCAGTAACTAAGAGATAGTGCTAGTGAAAGTACTGAACAACTATATTATAGGTAATTCACAGCAACTTCGCAGTGCAACAGGCGACTTATTGCTACATCTAGAAGCCAGCACGTTATATTCTTCAATTTTGATTCATAGAGACGATGTGATATAAATTACAAGACGAATATTAATTCGCAGTGTCAAACCATGCACATAGGCACTACGGAGACAACGCTGCTGCCAGCCATGGTTCTTGTATTCTGCGAGATGCGTTATGAACCACAACATAACAAAAATTCTAGCCCAACAATTAGAACTCAGTGCAAACCGGCAGCTTGAACGATGTGCAACTGGGTCTTCAATTTTGCTGTGCATGCTAATGATGAGGTCACATCGCTGCTGACTGCGTCATTGGGTAGACTGGAAATAACATTCAACAGCGCAAGGTAAGCAGATCAGGATGAACGCACATCCAAATACCGGCGACACGGCATTACGCCCTGCTGATTGGACGAACGTTATAATCGTGTTTAAAAGTCTCGAAGTCGCGTTCCTTCGTGGTGTATTGCTCAGTAAGGTTGGCAATAACTTTTTTGATCTGAAGAGACGTAGGTATCAGACAATCAGTGACATGGATGAAAAAGGCACGTACGCCTTCGCGATTTGTTTGCAGGGCAGGAACTACATCCTTGACTGTACGCTCAACTAACACACCGCCGATCAAGCGGAAACACTTCCGACCTGGTTCCACTTGAAGTGCTTCATTCAAAGTGGAAAGAACGAGTCTAATGAAAAGTCAGTCGAATGTGGGTATCAAATATGTGACAGAGGGTGTACCCATGTTCTTCTGCCTCTTGCTCCAACTCGCCTATCTTCCCAGCAAGGCTTTGAAGCTCATTCTGCAGACGGGAGTAAGTCTGCTGTATTTCTATCTGATCAAAGAAGCGATTAGAAGCGAGGATGGTAGGTAGAATACACGCGTGCCCTGATCGCTCAATGGTTGAACTTTTGATTTTGCTTTTGAGGTCGACATGGTCCAGGAGAACGGCGATGGCCTGGTGGTCCAGTACTAGTGTTGATTTAATGAAGGATACGTGATTGGCTGCTAGTTAGCATCGTCACACTAGTGACATAGGTCACAGCAGAATGTTCGGTGTAGCAAACTCGCCCGACTTTGACCGTCATGTCTTTCGCTCGCCCGCGTCTTGTACTAGGCCTCGCGCCTAGGATAGTGGCGACACAGCGTTCTATTGCGCTGCGCTCGTCGCTAGTGGCATACCGCAACATTCATAGTACCCACTGCTCGCACGCAGAGCATCTTGAAAGCCGACTCGGAGGTCCAATAAGGTCACCGCCTCTAGGTGCAGGAAGTTTGACCGCAAAGGATGAGCCCGGAAAAGATATTGACCCTTACAAGGATGGGCAGAGTGCCATTGACAAGGCCGTTCATCTCTTCTTCTTTACCGAGATCATTCGAGGTATGTGTTCTGAAATGTAATTATTTCAAGTTTATGCATAACTAGTTCAGGAATGTGGATTGTTCTGGAGAATTTCTTCAGGCAACCTTATACTATAATGTACCCATATGAGAAGGGTCCTCTGTCTCCTCGTTTCCGTGGAGAACACGCTCTCCGACGGTATCCCAGTGGTGAAGAGCGGTGCATCGGTTTGTGAACATCTTCGAGCGTATCTTGCGCGGCTAAGAAGCATATACTATTAGCTTGCAAACTTTGTGAGGCTATTTGTCCTGCTCAAGCAATTACCATCGAGAGTGAAGCCCGCGCGGATGGTTCCAGAAAAACAACTAAATATGGTATGACTTGTATCGTGTTGATGTGGAACGTTGCACTACTTACACGGTTCCTTCCAAGATATCGACATGACGAAATGTATCTACTGCGGTTTCTGTCAGGAAGCTTGTCCGGTTGATGCGATCGTTGAAAGTACGTGTTAAAAAGGGAGCATCACTGACACTGGAATGTTGATGGCGTCCCTTCAGCACAAAATCAGGAGTTCTCCACGGAAACTCGCGAGGAACTCCTGTATAACAAAGAGAAGTTGCTTGCAAATGGCGACCGGGCAGAGGCCGAAATTGCTGCTAACTTGTATTGTAAGCATCCATTACATTTTTAGGGTTACACGTGTTAAATCGTCATGCAGCGGACCATGTTTACCGGTGAAGTAGTAGTTTAGATGAGTCATGTACTTATCTGATGGTCCAATTCTGAATTTCTTCACCTGATGTCATCAAGATTGAACAGTAAGCTTGAAGACAGGCGCCTTCTGAACACGTTGATCCGGCCGCCTCGTTGCAGCTGCGATTCGAATGACTTGCGCGATGTGTGTGAATGACGAAAATGTCTTCCATTCGTGCAAGCTGCATCAGATATGAGGGAAGGAGCACTTCTCAGTCACAATCTTGTGTCTTTAAGCTTAGGTTATCGTACCATGTGCAACTGATTCTGAACCCTGATGTTCTGGCCCATCTGCGCCATCTTTTCTGTGAGATTGCCATTTCTCAAAATTCTTGGATTGATTGATTTTTCTTCAGGTTATATTGGCCAGATCTGAGGCTCCACTACCGTAATCGAGGCTGATCTGATTTCAAACCAGACCATTAGATCGCCGCCGGAAATACCCATCTGTGAGCGGTCTTAGATGGCACAGACTGAATGCCAATGGGAGGGCATAGATGAGCTCGTGCTCAATCGTTATGGAAAACCCTCTACTTTTCCCAGTGACATTAGCGCTAAAATATGGCGTTAAACGGGGTAGCTCCGAATACATATCTTCCAAAGACACCACATGCTCCAAAAAGATCGAACAATAGGTGAATCATCTAAGAATATTACCTTGACTCGGATACTAATCCTCGGATTCCATCATAGAGCGCAGCAGGTGGCCCCCCTCGTTTCCCCTGACACCCCGGGTCATTGTACTTCCCACATCCAGTCATCAAGCCTGATGGCTCAGCCACACTCCCAGCCGCGTCTCTCCGTAAGATTCATCGACAAACAAGATGGCATGATACTGCCTTCCTCATACGCGCGTTCCTCGTCTCCCATGTCCAACCACACTCGGCAACTGCTTTCGGAAGCGCAGAAGCTCGCCAAGTATGAGTCAGGACGCACAGGTCGCGCAGTCACGGCCATGGACATCATCCTAGGATCTACGCGAGCAGTGACAACTACACAACCTTATCACTGCGCCGCTAAAACCCGTTTTCCCCATGCCCACAAAACCTACCCGTCCAATGCATATCTTGGCAAAATGGAGCTGTACCAACTTGAACAGGCTGCTATAACTGTCTTGGCCGCTGCGTACAGTCGGAAGATTTCTGGGGAAAGGTTTACTAGCGCACGGCCGCCGAATCTTGATGACTAGGCCTTTTTCTGACTCATGATACTGCTATTTGCACCGCTGGGTTTCTCGATCAGTGATAAATATGTTTCTGTTTGTGTCCTGTTTTATGACTCCTGGGCCATTGTTATTCCCCCCTTTGTGTTAGATGCTATTTTGATCAGGAAACCCATTGCTTTCCTGTACAGGACAAAGGCAAGATCTACACTTTGATCCGCCGGTCTAAACATACATCGCTGTCATCCCTCGTATGCGCTTCTCACGAAAAACATAGTACCCGCAAGTCAGACCATTACGATGGAATTAGGTATAGACAATTGTCCCTTATGTTTGGCGACAAGAACGGAGCACATGGCACAACACGACGAACGGGGTATACCAAGGATTACGACTGCTAGCGATGTGTACAGAAATACTCAACAACATATACATACACGCAATAAACCATGAAAATATCCTATCAAGAACTCGGGCTCAAGAAGATTCAAAAGGAAACTCACCATGCCGCCGCAAAAAAATAATAATAAACTCTTTGTCTAAGTATCCGAAGTCTCATCTTCTTCCTCTTCCTCCTCGCGCTCGTGGGGACGGGCAGGTTCTTGATGAAGTCTCTTGGAGCCACGGTCATCGGTAAGATGACCGCCTGTGAACCTCGGTGCTTCTCCTCCGCCCCCAGAGCTGCCTGCAGCGGGTGAATCATCGACGTCATCGATTCCATCTATTTCCATGTCTTTACGAGAGCGTTTTCTGGATGATTCCGCAGGGGGGCGATGCTGCTCTGGAAGCATGTAATGTCCGGCAGCTCGGTCACGGCTGTATGGACGGCCTTCTTCATAAATGACGTCTTGGTCTTCACTTGGATTGCGCGGCGGATTTGCCTGGCGGGGTGCATAGGGTCCCCTGTCACGGTCATAATATTGAGCGTGACCTTCAGGCCGCGATAGTGCATCCCCGCCACCATTACCGGAACCAGATCCGGAACCAGATCCTGATGTGTCGGAGCGAGATGATCGACCATGCATGCCTGGTCCAATGGGTTCACGAGAGTATGGGTCTACATGAGGTCTAGGCCTTAGGTGGGAGGGAGGAGATGCATGCATCGCTCCCGATGGCGCGTATTCTCGAGCGGATTCACCCTCATGACGTGCCCATGTACGTTCTCTCTCAAGATCGCGTTCGTATTCTGGATCTGGGTGGCTGATGGTACCTCCAGGCCCGACGCGCTGATGATTATGAAGACGTGATGCTCGAGTGTTAGGGGATGCCATCGTGGAAGAATGCGAAGAATGCTGCCGCGAATGAGTGTATGGATCACCATGGTAGCTGCCACGATCAAGAGGCTCATGCCTTCTAGAAGGCCGTTCCCTATCACTCGGATGTGGCGGGCTGTGATACCCGTGTTGGACAGGAATGAGAGAATCCTGGGAGTATTGTTGAGGGTGGGGAATTCCCCCTGAGTGGTATCCTGGGGGAGGTGCCTGAGAAGCTATCTGATGACCGCGCGATCTGGAAGGTGAGGATTGTGAACGCGAAGAACCATTACTGTGAGGGTGAAGATGAGGGCTATGGGTCTGTGAATGTCCATGCGCCCTCGGTGGTTCAAGATGTTGTACAGGAGTCATCTGCGAGAGGGGTGGAAGCTGCCGAGAAGAGTCATGACCTGAGGCGGAACCGCCCCTCGACATGTGCACTGCAGACATTCCGTGGGAAGGCGCAACTCCAGGACCTATGGGCCCATCGGGAGTCTGAATAGGCCGACCATCTGGGCCAGGAATAACGCGGAAGGAACTGTGATTGTGCACATATTCGACAGCATTATGATCGTTTGAATCTACAGGTGGAAAGTCACGATGATCACGATGTTGATGGTGCGCTGTTGCACCTATATCACGGGGATGTGGGGGAGGTACACCGGGACCAGAGTGGGTAGGGGGAAGTGCATGGCTGTGAAGGTCTGGAGAAGGTGGCACAGCAGAAAGACGTTCATACAAGACACTTTATCTCGCATCAGATACATGTTGGGATGATGTGGATGGAAAGTTACGTACGCTCGTTCGAGTTTCATACGTTGTATAGATTTTTTAGCCATAAGGACCTTGTACTGAAGCTTGTCATTGTCCTAAAAGCAGGTGAGTTAAGAATACACCGAGTAGTGTGGTATTTGCTAACGGTTTCGATTTCTTTTACTTTTCGCTTGAGTTCCTTGTATTTTGTTTGATACTTTTCATCTTCGACGCCAGCTGCTATACCAGTAGCATAAGCTTTAGATTTCTGACGTGGCGCAGCGGCAGCAGAAACGGATTGTGCAGGCATCTGTAGATGAGGGAGAGTGAGAGGGCTTGGGTGGGACATTATGGCAGTGCTCTGAGGTGGCAGCTATTACTCATCGAAAAACTTTTGGTTAAACGGCGGCTACGGTAAACGTCGAGTCTTCCGTATCACAAAGTCTGCCTTACTGGGTCACAGAATTCGAACAGCATGTCTTTAATTTTAGTAAATAATATTTTTCATGAATCCAGGGCACGTTCCGGTAACAGTGGACGAAATGTACGTTAAAGTGTTTGGCCCTATGTCAGTATACCCGAGATATTCCAAGCCTGCTCCAACTTATCAAATCGTGTATTGTGATATTGAGTTTCGGAGCATGGTTATCGGAATCAGCGAGGCACCAGGACAGGCGCTGCACACCCAAAAGTCCGTTATGTACCCAACCTGGGGCCTGGATTCAGTCTTACCGATCTTGCTGCGATCCATTTCGTTACACATGAAACGATTATCATTCGATAGATGTGATTCTTGATAAGTAGCACTGCATGGCGGCGAGACTGCGATGCTAGAGGTTTCACGTTCAGGGCAGGTCTCTATTTGGTCACGTGATATTTACATTGTTGCGAATCCGGAAACCGCCTTCACCACCATCATCCACGACGCGCCCAACATTCAGCAAGTGAGTCATTGAATTATTGATGAGGACAGCGCTAATCTACTGTTACGAAAACTTAGTGTCTATACAGTACCGACAGTGCGTGTAATACATTGTACAGGATGGCTATGAGCTGAAGCGTGGTCCTTGCAGAGACATGCCTCCACCCGGGGGCTTCGAGGCAGTCAAGTACAAACGAAACCTTCCTTTTCGTGGTCCAAGTGGCCTAGTCATTCTAGGAGCTGTGACAGCCGTGTGTGCATATGGGTTCTACCGTGTTGGGATGGGAAACCTAGAAAGAAGGTAAGTTTATCTTTTGAAGACCGACAGAATGGCGTATGGAGTCAGCAGGCTGTAAAACGTGTCTTTTCATGGCGCGCTCGCCATTAAACGTGCCCTTGTGAGGATCCGGCCGCTGTTTCTTATCATGCATAATTTTACGGGCCGTACAAGGGCCGTACCAGAAAAAGCCAACTAAACTGATTTGGGGTTTGTTCCCGACAGGGAACTGGAAAGAGAGAAAGTTTGGTCTCGTATCCACCTTGTTCCCTTGTTGGTGGCGGAGGGGGATCGAGATGCGTATCGTCGGCAGGAAGCTGCATTGGAACGGGAGCGAGAGATTATGAAGGATGTTAAAGGATGGGAGGTAAGCTTGATGACAAAACATGACTATATGATTTCTGATGAATGGATACGCCGCCTCGCCGGTATCTCATACCCAATCACTGAAACTCAGCCTGGTAAAAGTGTCTATAACAATGCACGATATCGTTCTGCAGAATCGATTGTGGTGTTATGATTATGATTAGTTTCTTTGTAGATTCACAATCAAATTATTAGATCTTTTAGCCGTAAAAGCGCAGTGTTGAATGTAGAAGCTTCCATTGACCAGAGACAGAGGGGCGCCACACAGCATTATGATCTGGTCCCGCCATTGCTATATCGCGGGTTAGTTCTACCGGTGGCGGATGGCGATGTAAATGGTGCACCATATGTTCGGGTCAAAGATACCAAGAGTAGAGCATAAATTTAGGGCAGGTCGCGCTTTACTTTTACGCTAAACCTTTGCCTCTTACTAACTTCAATTTGCAACGTTTGCACATTTTTCGTTGTCGTCTGACGCCGCAGGACAGTTGGCATAGTGCTGAACTTGCGATTTCACCAGGATTAGCGTTCTTTCCAAATTCAGTTCATCCTCACACAGCTTGTGAGGGATTTTCCTCCAAAGTGAGTACAAACTTATTATTGGTTCTACCCCCCTTTGCTCTATCCTAATTAGGTACCGACCCCCCGAAGCCACACCCCCTTTTCAGCAGTACGGGATAATTGAGCTTCCCAAGAAATCACAATCTGATTCAAGCCGAGTCAGGTTGTCATAAACTCACCATTATGGCATCTGTCCTCAGGTTTCGGATGCCGCTAAGGATAGCCCCTCTTAAGCAGGCCCGATGGCGTTCGTACATGTCCTCGTATCCCGCTGTCACCCCTTCCGATTCGCTCCCCTACCAAGTGGTTCCGCCAACTATTAAAGCAAACCTATCCTGTTCCTGTTTTCTTCCACCTATCGGCCCTACCTCTATAATGCCTATGGATAGTTATCCCCATCGTGATACTACCCTTCCCCGCATTTCCCTCTCTAGTGATACAGGCATCAAAGACTCAATGAACTTTTTGGACACTTCGTCCTACGATATGTTGTCACCAGATGGTGATCAGTTGATTTTCGGTCCCTTGGAGTTCGATGAGGGCCCACTACTGAGTCCCTCACATATGGTTCATACGTGGGATCCCCAAAATGACTTTGGCTATCATCACCCATTATCCCCTCCCTCATCCGACCATACCCCTTCTCCACATCGTCTCTCAGACTTCGATATAACAGACACATCACCCAACAATTCATTCTATGATTCTACTTTCGGTCGGTTCGATGATATGCATTCCATGCTTGATCTAGACGGTCCCCACTTCTCGCATTGGTTAACTGAACCTGTACTGGACTCTCCCACTTCTCCTATACCCATCCGTGGTGCTGGCCCAGATCCGCAATCGCAGCCACTCTTCTCCTACCCTAATCACACATTTACGCCCAGCGCGTCCTTCTCGCCGTCGGAATTTGCGGCACCACATCAGCTACCGAGATCGTTATCGCCGGCCGACGGCTCTGACGGCTATCTTAGTTCGCCAGGTCTCCGCGTGGCGTCCATATCGCCTGCGGACACTTCACTCAGACCACCATCATGGGCAACTCAATTGTGGGACTCCCCACAATACGAAGCTTCCACGTCCTCAGGGCGTGTTCATCAGCCCCTATCGGAGCACCCTTACGGAGTCAAACGCCAACGATTTCAACCCAGACGAGACATGTTAGGCTTGGGTTTCCAATCTTCAAGTGCTCCAATACACACGGCCATGCCGTCAATGACGAGAAATTATAGTTCCCGCCGTGGCGACTCTGTCAGCGTCAGCGATGATCGCGACGCAACCGTGCGACGTAAGAAGCGGTTATCGACCGAGGAACTTTCCAGGGAAGACAAATCAGCAGACTCCGGTATGCACCTGTCATCGTTATCTTGCTAACTTTGACTAATCCCGTGGCTATAGCTCCTCTCAAGTCTATACTCAAGCAGCCTAAATTAGCACCAAGCGCTTGGCAGCTCTACTTCACAGACTGGATACAGCGGCACCAAGCAACGAGCACGAGAAAACTCAATGTTGCACAAGCTGCCAAGGAAGCCGGTCAGGAGTATGCTAATCTGACTGCAGAAGAGAAGGAGGTTTGTTCCATTCCTTCTGTCAAGCCTTCATAAGCTCACGAATCACTCCCAGCCTTACAAGCGTCGGTCTGCAGTTCTGAAAGAGGCCCGAGAGCGCGAGAACGCAGCCTACATGAAGAGTCTCACCCCTGAGGATATTAAGAAGGAGAATGCCTTCCGCACTGCCCAACGAAAGGCGGGTCGTTCTCGGAAGAGCAACATTAAAGATCCCAACGCACCCAAGAAGCCGCTTAGCGCATACTTCATGTTCCTGCAGCGCATTCGATCCGACCGTGCCCTTGTGAGGGAAATATTTGGTGATGAGCAAGAGACGACTAAGCAAAGCGTGTTAGCCGCTGCCAAATGGCGATCGATGACTGATGATGAGCGCAAGGTACGGCAAACTCTTTGTCACAATTGCGTAATTAGCTAATCACATTTTTCCAGCCTTTCCTTGCGCAAGCCGAACAGGAGAAGCTCGAGTACGAGGCTGCACGGAGGTTGTACGAGGAGGGTACCACCGACGTTGGTACAAGTATCAATTTCAGCATCTTGCCAAGTAGCCCCAGCGGTGAGAGTCCATTCCGTGCCTTGCGAGCAATCCAGACGGAGTCGTTCAGCTCGGAAAGCGAGAGCGAGACAGCAACAGCTGACGATGGAGTCAGCCGGTTCCGTATGATATGATCACTTTCCACTTTTTCAACTTGCTATATGTTCTTTGGTCGTCATAGCTCATTTTCGGGGGCATCGTGTTATGTTATGTTTTTTTGTTTACGACACAGGACTTGCTTTTTTACGACCTTGATTTCCCTCATGTGTATCGGTAGATTCACCCTAGTATATCATGTCCTATACCTTGCTTCATCTTAGTACGGGAGTACACGAACGTTGTAATCAATTACTCTTCTAATGATAATCGGGCGACCATCTTCTGATGCGGTTCACCATCTTCATCGAACAGATCGCCCTGATAAATGTTAATTGACAGATAGGATGAGCAACGTCATAAGGTCTCGCGGCAATAACCCTCACCTGTTCCTCGTAACCAAACCTAAGAAGAATAACCGGCGGTAAGTCAGGTTTCCAAATAGGGTTGACAATGACGTCGTACTTGCGATAAAACGCTACAGCACCAGCCGAATTTGCACGGACTGCTTGCGAGTGGCAGACCATCTTGACATGGTCAGTTACCCCTGAATTTCTGGCATCAACCTTTGCCCAATTATGCAATGCAAGCACAAGATTGCGTCCGAATTTACAATGTCGGTATTCCTTTAGAACGACGAGCCTTGCAAGTTTATAGTATGAGCCGCCTGCGCTTTCCACTTTGTGGGCACGAATTGTCCCTATAGGCTCGAGGGACGGTAAAAGTCTTAACAAGCAATGTGTGGCTGTCGGATCATGTCTATGATTCACCCAAAAAAATCAAAGTTGAAACAGATAGCGGATTTTCTAGAAGGAGATAACGTACTCATCTACTTCAACTTCCAGCGGAAACCCTTGTTCTGTGACAAAAACGGCGATCCTAACTTGGATACACTGCTGGAGGAGGGCATGGTGGGTTTGGTGCTCGGGAGGGGGAACAATGATAATCTCGTGGGGAGGTGGGACCCGGAGAACAGCGCCATCTGCCATGATGATAAATGAAAATGATATCGAAGAATGATATGAGCTATTTCGCGAAGGCGGTCAGATATAGTCCTGGAACCAGGCCTGTTGAGGTCTCTTGGCGTTGAGGGTGAGAGGGATAAACCAGAATAACGTTAATAGGCGCCTGGGTGTCACATGGACTTCCATCGATGGATCAAATTCAGCCTTCGGCTCGGCGATGCGGAAGAAAGTGCGCTATCATATGTGGAGCTGATTAGATATTATTGAAAATGCTGGAAATGAACTTCACGGTGCCGGTAGCAGCTCAGCGAATCATGCTGAAGTCTCAGTTTGCCAGCGCTCGAACATCCGAGGAAAGCTTTTCGGGCCGACGTGGCAACTCATGATCTGCGCCGAGTATTTGGCAAGAGAAACTCAGACCTGTGAAAATATGGGGAAAAGGAAACAAAGAATGAAAGAGAGCACGCTGCTCTTCCCCCTAAGTACTAAGATAGGCCAGGTTGGACTATCTCAGGCGAATGAGTGGTAGGTACCACGTCGATACTTGCGCGCGCGCACGCAGTTAACCTACATACAAGTCTATAGGTTCGCACGAAGCCGAAAAAAATAGGCCAAATAAGGCCAAACACGCCTGGTCCAAGTTCACATAGTGAGGACAGTCACCAACTTGCAACTGGTGCTGTCACTGGCGTCGTTGATTTTGTTTCGCGTGAGTTATGCAAGTTTAACTCCAAGGTTCCGATATATTAAGCCTAGATTTTGATTTCAACAGGTTTGAGTCTGAAGACTGCCTCGATAGCACTCCACACCCAGGTGCGGGTGCTCATGATCGAGCCTTTAGCAGCAGCTGTAGTAAACAGTTTTTTGTTGCGTACACCCGCTGGACGCGCCTCTGCATTAAGACCTTCTTTGGATCACATGGGTCGGTCCATACGCCGACCTCTACTACGCGACTTTTTCACTCCGACCGCGAGGCGGTGGAAAGGCAAAGAGAAAGCAGTAGACCAGGATGTGGATTACGCTCAGTGCGCCGAATGTGCCGAATGGCTCTTGGGAGTAACACACGAATCATGCTGCGTCATGAGGCACTCCGTTTGGTGTCCGAGTACGTGTCGTTCCTTTAACGGTAGTTTTTAAGTTTAACAGTGGAGCGCACCACAGGACGAAATCATATAATCATGATCAATGACGCCGTTCCCCGTCGACCGCAAACATTGAGTCATTCTGCAAGTCCTTCAAATATCCGCCGCTATTCCTCATCTCTTCCCTCGTGTTCAAATTCTCCACAATTTAATCATCTCTTGACGACTTCGTCGTCGCTGAGTCCCGAAAAATGGGACGTTCAAACCTCTCCTTTGAACCACTTTCTGTCTCTCCTGCAAGGAAACCACCCATTTAACTTGGATGATGCATGGAATGCTTACCAGCTGCTCATTGCCTCTGACGATTACCAACATCTGAAACCGTTAGATGTCTTAAACTTTGCTCAAAAGCTCTCTACTGCTATAGAGGCAGGTGGTGAGGACAATGGCGTTTCATACTTGCAAAGATGGGGCACACGACTTGCTGCGCTAAATGAGCGGCTGGAGTCCATATTCGAGAAGCATTCGAGCGAAGACGTTATGAGGTTAAAACTCGTAGCGAGAGGCTCGGCATTTGTAGGAGATTTGGACCATGCAATCATTACCGCCCACGAATTATCGGATCTACTTATCGACGGGCGGAGAGAGGAATTATTGGAAATCTATGGAACCCTTATACGGTCAATGGCGCTTCATCAAGATGGCGAGCACGTCCTGGATTTTATTCTTGCAGAGTGGGCCAATATCGGGATGCATCTCTTACCTCTTTCTACGCGTTTGCAGTCTTTGGGCATTCCCGTAAAACCCTCATCGTTCCAAGATACGATTTACTCGATTTTGGCCAACATACCGGATGCCGCCTCTCTATTGGCCAAGCGACGACACTGGAGTTTCGAGACGCGGCAACGTATGGGAGTCCTGCTGCTGGACGTATTATGGCAGGAAGCCCTGGCAGATGACGCATATGCATTGCTGAAAGAAATGCGAGCGCAGCGAATGTCGATACAAGTTGACATGCAATTACGAGTAGTCCGCTCGCTTATTCGCGCTGACTCTTTCATCCGTGCCAATGAGCTGTACAGAACCATATCGGAGTCGACGAGCACCCGACATAAATTTTTCATATCTACTGGAATGCTCCTCGCGGCACATCAGGGTGACATCGACCGCACCGAGGAGTACTATTCTCAACTCGGCACAGCGCGGTGGATTACGTCGCAGGATAGAGCCACTCTTATGCATGCGTATGCAGTTGCCGGACGAGTGGGCAAAGTCGTCGAACTATTTCACGAGTTCTTCCCTGGCCCAAAGAATTCACGGCTCGGAGCAAAGCCTTCAATCGTGCACTACAGTATTGTGGTGTATGCACACGCAGAGCGCGCGGATTACGACGGGCTTAATTTTTGGCTTCAGGCTATGTCGAAAGCTGGACACACTCCTGATATCTACGTCTACAACATCATCCTCAAAAGCTTTGCTGCTCGTGGAGAAGTAGAATCTGTCTCTGCCGTTTTGGACCAGATGCGCGCCGCCAAAATTATGCCCACTCGTGTCTTGTACACAACTGTCATATCTCTTCTCGCACATAGGAAGGACCCCGTATCCGCGGAAGCCATTTACAAACGTGCATTACGTGAAGGGATAGCTCCTGATCGCAAAATGATCACCTCTCTTATGAATGCCCACGTAGAAGCTGGTTCTTGGACGGGAGTAGTGCGCGTTTTTGACTACCTCAAATCATCACGAAATCCTCGCCTTCGGCTATCAGTGGAAGTCTACAATACCCTGTTGAAGGCTTACGTCCTTATCGGCGCCCCTTTTCATGTCGTCTCTACAATATTTCGCAAGCTTGAAGCTATGGGCATACAGCCGAATGGACGGATGTATACCCTCATCATCCAGTCGGCCTGCGATGCAGGATACATGAACATCGCCAACAGGATTTTTGCCGAGATGCAATCAGCCTCAAAAGACTGGCAAACAACCTACCGCGTTGATGCCTTCGTGTTGACGATCATCATGGCTGGTCATTTGCGGCTTGGTGACAAGCGTAGTGCAAAGGCTGTTTATGACGACATGTGCGAGCGAGGCATTCAACCTACATCCGCCACATTCTACCATATCCTTCGCGCTTATGGTAACGAGAGAACCGAAGAAAGTCTCCAAATTGCAGAGGGCTTCTTGAAGACCATCATGGCTGGTGAGTCTTCGGCGTCGTGGATCCCTCCTCAGACTCGCGCAGCAGCGCTTGAGCACGTCTACGGTCCCCTCATGCTTGCGTATACGAAAACTGATAAACCGGAGGAGGTGGAGCGGTTGTTCCGATCTATGTTGGATGCGGGTGGAGAACCTTCGTTGGCCAGCTTGGCAGTGCTCCTCGATGCCTACCGTCGCTCTGGTGATATTGAAGCCGTCCATGGGCTTTGGCCACAGATATGGCAACTCGCCTTACGTTTTTCGAAGACAGATTCTCTTTTCGAAGGAGAAGATAACAACCCTTCCGACCCCACGAAACGTCAGGGGAATCTTCTCTGTGCACCCCTATCCATCTATATTGATGCACTTTCTGCGGCTGGGGAACACCTCGTGATTGCCGAGATGTGGGGGAAAGCGAGATCTCATGGCTTCAGCTTCGATTCACATAACTGGAACCATTTGGCGGTGGCCCTGGTCCGTGCGGCAGAGCCGGAGCGGGCCTTCGAAATAGTTGAGCGAGTATTGCTACCCTATCAGCGTCAGAGCGAGGCTGTACTCCGTGACAGAGATTTATTTCCTGATTCCCTCTTCACCTTCGATACCAATCCCGCAGATGTCAGTAAACCAGTTTCTCAGTCGCCGATGCACCGGAGTGAGCGGCGAGCTTATCAATCGAAAGTGGCTACGAAGAGATCCGGTGACGCGCTAGAAATGGATCCAACCTCGGATGATTTTGCTCATCCATTACACATACTACACCAGATATCCCCTTCCTGGAATGTTTGGCGCCCCCATCGTGCTGTACTTGTCCTGCTGTCAGGTGTGCTGCGCCATCTGGAATCTGGGATGTTTGTCCAGCCGGTGGGAGACCGTAACTCAGCGCCACAGGCACTAGACCCTAACTCTGAAGACGCTTTCACTCGTGGAAACCTTGCGCGAGAAATGCTTGACCGCATTTATCTCAATTACCCTGACACAATTCAAACTATTCGCTTGCACGAGCGTTGGACTGCACGAAAATCTTCGTTGACGACACAGGACGATGGGTGGTAGACGAAGGTACATGGCACCAAGTACGGAGTACATTGCGAGGTAGAGGAGGCATTAGTGATGCAGCACTGTGGTGATTACATTGTCTGAACACGAAGATCAAAGGCCAAAGGCAGTACGGTGTTACGTGACTCCCATCAACTATCTTCTGACTCATCAGAGGGGTCGGAATCGCCATCTCGTCGTCGTCGCCCATGCTTATTAGTTCCGTGGCGATTTCGCTACAATGATAGCGAGTTTCTAAGCCTCCGGCTCAGACGGAGGATGGAAGGATCTTACCAGCGGTAGTTTCTGGCCTTGATTACCAAAAGCAATTGACAGCGCTGTCGTATCTGCGCCCCATAGGAGGTTATAATCTTTTTCTGTATTAAGACCGGCGATTTAGAACATACCGGGAACTCCTGGGAAGCGCTTGGCTGAGAAAACGACGAAGGGTTCGGTGAATGTTTGCGCAAGGACCGGTGAAACATGAGTATGTACTCGCATTGCACCCGCTTCCGGTGCTGGCAGTCTGGAAATGGAATGTCAATTGTTGTTGTTATCTCCCAAGCATAACACCACGGTTCTTACTCGCCAACGTTCATTAGACGTAAACGCAGCCGGAAGGTTCCTAAGATACCCCAGGGCGTCAGATAGAAGAATGTCCAGGGCGGTAATGAAGATATACCTTCCGTTCGAACAGATAGATCCTGGAAGAGGAAGAATATCCCTGACTGCCGATGCTCATCGAGCAGTCGGCATGCATTGGACGAAAGCGGTCCCACCAAAGTGCGTGTGTATGAATGTCGGGGTAACGATGGATGCGTGGCTGACGGAGAAGACGAGGAGCTCTGTGCATATGTGCCCTGGTAATACGGTGGTTGTGATGGTGCTCCATAAGCTTGGGGATGATCGTAGCTATTTCCTGTGCCTTGAAAAGGCTCCTGGACGAATCGTGGCGACGGGTCACCTGTGACTTGCTGGGGCCAATTACTTGCCTCAGATTGCTGAGTTGCATGTTCGGGATGTCTTATCGATGGGTCCACGTCTTGAGCAGCGTACACGCCCGTCTGTGAATTGACTATCACTGGATAAGATGGCTCCGTGGCTGGCCAATTGCGATAGTTGGCCGCCGGATCGGAATCCGTACGATACGATGATTGAGCTTGCCACGGTTCTCCCGGCGCAGCCGCGGGTATGCCGTTGCGTATGCCGTTGCGGTTGTATGGCGACAAAGATGGATGAGGGTGATTGAAATTATGCGAGCGATCGAGGGGAGTTCCTGATGGAGCATATCCCCATGCGCTGTTAGATTCGGATGGCGAGCTGTAGGAATCTTGGTCATCATATGTTATGTTATCTGGCATCTGTGCTTGCTGGGGATAAGGGTAGGTTTGATTAACGAATCCTGACGACGGAGCGGGAACCATCGGGGTCATAGTGGACTATATTGACGTTCAAAGTCAGTGGAAAATAATGATAATGAGATATGAGGTGACATGCCACTGGTAGGCGTGGATGTTGGTGAGCAGAATTTGGCGTAGAATGAGACGACGTGGGGCTATGTTGTTCATCGTGGGGAGATGATGGAGCATTGGTACTCCGAGGCTTTCTGGATTTTTGAGCGTTCGTTGCGACGTACCGGTCCGCAGATGACGAGGGATGCAACACGAGATTCATCTCCCGTTTACCGTCAGCCGACCACAGGTCGACCGTTACAAGAAAAAAAGAACAGTCAATGTCCCTGAGTGGTAGGTCATGAGCTGCACAAAAGGGAAAAGAGATCTTTCGGCTTACTCTACATCTACGATAGAGTTATCTTCTCTTCGGACAACCATCTTTGCGACTGCTGCAGGCGCGAGTGGCCTGCGATCCTGATAATAAATGTTATAAGGTTATGAGACAAAGGCGCGACGGCTCGCGCACTTTATCACCAAAACCGCACATACGGGCACGCATAGGGTGTTGTACTACTTCAAGCGAATAATGCCTGATGATCGTTAAAGGTTAAGAAGAGTGGCGGACAACTCGGGATATAATTGACTGACTTTCGGCCCCACCATTGTCCCCATTGCTCGATGCCTGCATCAGAATCTTGACGAGGTTGATGATCAATGTTGGAGCGGTTATTTGACTTTTGAATCATGAAAGTTTGCAAGATGTGAGGGCAAGGGTGTGATGCGGTATAGGGGAAGGAGAAAGGCACTTGTATGAAATCGGGTTGTCTGCGGACAATTTAGACTCGGGGTCGCGCTACAGGATATACAGCCAGCAGTTGGGAATCAGATAAGATAAGTTCTCACGTCGCGAGTGTTGCAGGTGGTGTTCGAGAAACGAGCCTGCGAGGTTCAGTGACAAGGTAGTCATTTTTGTCAGTGTGTATGATATTAATAGGATGAAACGCACCTGTTTGTTCTGTACTAGCTCTACCCGAATAACAGGTCGTAGGGCGTCTTATGGGTGTTAAGAATTGTCTAATACTACAGGGATGCAGTTATAGTAACCTGACTGTTTGAAGGTCACGGTATGAGGATAACGTTGCTGCTGCCTCGATTAGTTTAGCTCGAGGCACGCGTTGCACAGGACGCAGATCTTCCAAAATTTAGCTAAACTACCGAGCCACTCCTCATCAAATAAGTACTTCATCCAAAGCTATGCAAAGCCGTAATAAACTTTCATTCCTTCCTGGAAGATGCGTCCAGCGCACTCCGAAACTTACTCGGACAGATATATATGTGGCAACGGGGAAAACTCAAAACTCACCCTCAATTAGTTATCAGATTACTATCAGATTTACTATTTACTCTGGCAGATAAACCTGTAACCCTGGGAATGCCGAAATTCCGTGGGTAACCAATTTAATATTAATGTCATTCAAAAAAAACATTTAAGCAAGTACATATAATCGTCATGATCTGTGAAAAATAACAGATCCTTCGTTGTTTAGCGGCTTCTTATAAAATTTAAATCACTGTGCGTGAGGTCTTGAACATGTCCAATTGTAATAGTAACAGGGTTTATTACTTCCAAGGTTCGACGGAAATGACCACCTAAACTTGGTAACCCTTCTCACGCCCAGTCCTTTGAGCAACGTCGACGTCGACATGGATCAGGTCGCAGCCAAAAAGATTCTTCAAGAGCTCAGCAAGCGTGAGGATCTGAAGAACAAGACATGTGTAGACTGTGGTAATCCAAACCCACAATGGGCTTCAGGTGAATACATGTGTTTCCTTTCTTTGTGTCCCTCGGTCATTCCCCGAAAGTTAGTTTCGCGATATTTCTGTGCTTGCAATGCGCTGGTGTACACAGAGGGTTCGGAGTGCACATCAGGTGAATTTACCATCATATGTGCACTTTCTTCAACCACCAAATCTCACGCGACAATAGCTTCGTGAGATCAGTTTCAATGGATACTTGGCAGGCGGATCAGATCAAGCGTATGCAGGTGGGTAATTGCATGACAAGTTTACATTCCTCACTCACTTGTCCCAAGCTCGGCGGGAATGCTCCTTTCAGACAATTCATCGAGTCATACACACCAATAGATCAAGGCGGATATAAGCAAGGTACAAGTGCATACGATACCTACCATTGTTGGGCAGCTTCGCAATATCGCGAAAAAGTATGCCGACCATCTTATCTTGCAATCTCTGACTCAATTTTCTCCAGTTAGACGCGGCCCTAGCCGACAAACCTTGGACTCCATCCGCCCCACCATCCAGCTCCGGGAGCGGAACGAACTCTCCAGGACGTCCGTCTTCTGCGCAAGGTTTACGCAAGTCGCGTACCTCGGCACGTAACATTACGTCTCCGGTGTCCTCCGCAAGTTCGCCGCAACCCTCCCTGGATCTAACCACTACGGATCAAAAATCTGCCAACGAAGCTTTTTTCTCATCCCTAGGTCAAGCAAACGCCACTCGCCCTGCAGATTTACCCCCCTCCCAAGGCGGCCGTTATCAAGGATTTGGGAACACGCCTTCACCTCCAACCTCTCAACACCCGTCGTTCGGACTTTCATCCACCTCAGCTCCCACACTTCAAGACTTCCAGGATAATCCGGGAGCCGCCCTAAGCAAGGGGTGGTCTCTCGTTTCTGCAGTTGTCGCTGGTGCATCGCGTGTTGTCAGTGAAAATGTGATTCAACCTGGAATGGAGCGTGCTCTGGATCCAAACCTGCATGCTACCGTTCGCGGGTACATGTCAGAAGCGCAACGCCGCGCACAAGATGCAGGTCGTTCGGCAAATGAATGGTCTAAAACTCAGTTGGGCATCGATGTTGCTGATCAAGTAGGAGGCGTGGTGGGGACGGTGAAAGACACGTTGGGGTCAGGGCCACAAGGTTCTGGGTATGGAGCCCTGTCGATGCATAATGATGGGGAGACGTCGGCATTATATCACGATGACACAGAGGATTTCTTCAACGAGTATTCCGACGGCCGCACAAGCCTAGGTCAGTCGTCTGTTCACCCCACTTCAGGTACGTCGAGGACCCCTGGACCTGTTTCGAAATCTAAGGACGACGACTGGGATGAGTGGAAGGATTTCTGATAGGCATTGTGGGGTTTGGTGGATGTAGATTTAGCTTGAAGGATACGCTGTGCGCATCTGTAGTGACTGTAATGCTAGTGTGTGTAATGGACGCTGATGGTGATCGACGCCGTCAGGTGCTGCAATCCATATATATATTTACGTGCAAATGTGGGTCCCCGAATAACGTCAACAGCGGCACCCTAGTTCCGGCCGCGTTGAACATTGAAACAGCTGACGAGCGTTCTTATTCTTCTGTGAACCGCATATTTCTCACTATTTGTCGAGGCTGAATCGTTTGCTCGTCATGCAGTCTGTCCTTAAGCGTGCAACACAGTCATCGACCGTATTTGCACGATGCTATCATGCTTCGGTACTCCCTTCGCTGATTTCACCTGCCTCGCCCGAGTTTCGGGAGAAAGCGAATGCCATGGACGTATTGGTTGCAGATTTGGAGGCCAGATTAGAGCATGCGAGACAGGGCGGAGGTCCGAAGGCTGCAGAGCGCATGCGAAGCAGGGGAAAGAAACTACCCCGAGAACGGTTAGTGAGCTCACTCCACATTATCATTAATTACATTTCCTGGAATCTGAGAGACTCCGAAAATTTCGGTAATCGTCGCTGAACTACTCCATTAGTTTGTCGTTGCTACTGGACCCACATACCCCATTCTTGGAGTTGTCACCACTAGCAGCTCATGAAGTTTACCCAGAGCATATTCCCGGTGCTGGGATGATCACAGGTATCGGTAGAATATCGGGGCGGGAGTGCATGGTCGTCGTGAATGATGCGACAGTTAAAGGCGGGTCATACTATCCTTTGACTGTGAGCAGAAACTGGCACAAGTTGCATGCAGATTCAAATATTGATAATTCTTCAGGTCAAGAAACATTTACGAGCGCAGGAGGTCGCACGGGAACATGGTCTTCCATGTGTCTACGTTGGTATGCCATTCTTTTTCCTGCTACATTGCTTGCCAAATGCAATCTGTTCGTTTCAGTCGAATCAGGGGGTGCGGCGCTGCCTCATCAAGCCAACGTAAGTCTCTATGGAACATGGGACCGACAGAGCTGTGACTAGCACTCCAGGTATTCCCCGATAAAGAGCACTTTGGCCGTATATTCTACAACATGGTAATATGGATCCGACGCATATGCGTGAATACCATGTGATACTCATCTCGCTTCTTAGGCTCAAATGTCTGCTCTCGGTATCCCACAGATTGCACTAGTACATGGTATATCTGTCGCAGGTGAGTGATTAACCCAGGACACTGTATTTGTCTCACTTCCGATCCAGGTGGCGCATATGTTCCTGCAATGGCCGACGAGAATATTATTGTTGCGGACCAAGGGCGAATTTTCCTCGCAGGACCACCACTGGTTAAGGCTGCTACAGGCGAAGAAGTCGATGAGGAGACTCTTGGTGGTGGATTAATGCACTCGAGCGAAAGCGGCGTGACCGATCATCTCGCGCGAGATGACGAGCATGCTATTGCAATAGCAAGGGGCATGGTCGGCGACCTCGGCATTGCTGGGTGGAAACCAATTGGTGTACGTGATGACACAGGGTCAGCTTTCTTTTTTTCATTGACACGAGAGATTAGCCATCAGCAGTGTCAGAGGACCCTGTGTACCCCGCTTCGGAGCTACACGGTATTGTTGGCACTGATTCGCGCCAGGCTTTCGATATGAGAGATGTGATCGCTCGGATAGTAGACGGCAGCCGTTTCAGAGAATTCAAGAAGGAATATGGTCCGACCATGATTACGGTAAAACCTTTTTTATCCACAGCCTGCATTTCCTTACAGAGTTATCCAGGGCTTTGCACATGTGCATGGGTACGAAGTAGGTATCGTCGCGAACAATGGAATTCTATTCTCCCCATCGGCTCTAAAAGCCACACACTTCATTCAACTATGTTCACAACGTCAAATTCCACTTTTGTTCTTGGTGAACGTCACTGGCAGGTGGTGTTATAGTTCGGGCCGCTAGATGATCTGACCTATCCCATCTAGGTTACATGGTAGGTTCGAAGGCTGAGAGAGGAGGAATTGCGAAGGATGGTGCCAAGATGGTTCGAGCAGTTGCATGCGCTGATGTTCCAAAGTTAACCGTCATCGTCGGAGGAAGTTTTGGAGCTGGCAATTATGGTAATGCATGCTCCATTGAGGATCTTCTGTTGGATTAACGATGGTCCTTCTTTAGGAATGGCTGGGCGCGCTGTAAGTAACCTCCGTTTAGACATGCTGATGGGTGGTTTCACGTTCGTGCTTTGTAATCTAGTACTCCCCGCGGTTCCTATGGATGTGGCCCGTGAGTCCGAACTTTTTTGAAATGGAGTTCATTGCGATAACAGTCACAACAGAATGCGAAGGTATCAGTTATGGGCTCTGGTCAGCTATCGCAAGTTATGACTACGGTCTCTAAGTCAGTTCCCTAACACAAATGCTCCCTTTTACGGACTAACACTTACCATTTGCAGAGACCCAAGCCAGCATTCATCACTAAAAGCAGACATTGAAGCACAGTCAACTGCGCTCTACTCCACTGCCCGTTTATGGGACGATGGTATTATCAAGCCTGCGGACACACGGGATGTGGTCGGTCTTGGGCTCGCGCTAGCATCAAGAGAGCGTCCTACGTCGCGCGGAAGGGGATCGGTTGGCTCCACTACATGGGACGGCGACGGCAAAGGATTCGGCGTATTCAGGATGTAAAGATAATATATTTTTTCCGAATGATCGGACGGTTGAACATTGAACCCCACCTTCTTGCGGGTTTTGGACTGCAATGAATGTTTGGCCGACTACTTGCCCGAAGTCGAGCAATATTAGACCTGCCATATTCGTTTATTTGTTTTTAAGGCTTTTGCCAAACAACGCCTAATGCAATTTTGTCATGTAAAGATTTGGCTGCTCCTCAATACACCAATGCGCCATTCATAAACAAAATTTCTTGATTCATCGTCTACTCTTCATGTCGTGTGAAACGTCTTTGAACCAGCTTTCTGTAGAGACCCGTGCAAAACTACGTTCCACACAACTCCTTACTTCTTTACCACAAGTAGTTTCGGAGCTGTTGCAGAACTCCTTGGACGCCGGAGCATCTCAGGTGGATATTGGCGTTGACTGCGAAGAATGGAGCTGTTGGGTGCGGGATAACGGTGCTGGGATTAGCAAAGCGGGATTAACTATGATTGGCAAGGGGTCGGAGGAAGGAAGATACAGTAAGTTGTATTTTATGGCATTCAGACACGTCACTCAGCAAATGATCGCAGATACGTCTAAAGCATATACCCCAGCATCCCTAGATTCTGTTTCGACATTTGGTTTTCGCGGAGAAGGTCTTGTGCTATTCTACTCGTCGAATGATCGCTGAGACTTTCCTTATAGCTCTATCATCAATGGCTGAACTATGCTGTTTGGAAATTTCGTCACGCACGTCTCAGTCTCGAGAAAGTTGGTCTGTCATTCTCAAGGTTTGTGAATGCGGCTGTTGTGCGAACCCGGCTCAACTAGTGTTGCAGGGTGGGAAGTCTTTGTACTCAGGACCATCGATTCGGTGGCGAAGAGAAACCGCAGGAAGTGTCGTATGTGTCAGGGATGCATTTTTTAGCGTGAGCCAAGTCATACACATGTAGCGTTTCTTCTTCTGACGCGCGTACGCAGCTTCCTATTCGTCGTCAATCTCATCCCTCTATAGCCAAGACTATAGATGGGATCAAGCAAGAGGTCGAGGCATATGCTTTGATGTTTCCCAACGTGGCATTCACTCTTCAAGATGACAGCAAATCAAGAGAAAATGTCTCGAGCAAGGGGCAGGTTCTCCGGGTTCCAAAGGTACGTAAGTCTTTTGAAACAGATGACATGTCGTCTCACGGTTGACACGACAAAGACCCGTTCAATCCTGGCTGCATTTCGACACATGTATGGTCGCGCACTGACCGAGGTGAGAAAAACGATTTGAACCCAGCGTCATTCACTCATGATCGACTGGTACAGCATGTGGAAGAGATTGATGCCACATCCGGAGATTTGAAAGTGGAGGGATTCATGTCCCTAGTTGGAGCACGTTCGAAGGTGATGACACAAGTTTGTATGACACCTGTTCACTCACGACAAAATAGGCTCATCAGTATCTGTGTGAGTGTGTGTAAGCATATTTGCATCGTATGCTCAGTCGGTTCTCAGACATAAACAAACATCCGATATCGTTCTGCGATCTTCATCGCCTAATTGATAACAAATTCTCGAATAGTACGTTTATGAAGCATGTAAGTCGCTTATTTGTGGTATCTTTCGCTTTTTTTATGTACTGTAGGCGTATGATGAAGGAGGAGAAACCAGTTTGAGATCATGTAGGTTGGTTTGTTCCAATTGAGAAAGTTCTTAATTCAGTTCTAGCGGTGCGCCGTTCGCCCCGCAAAGGCGAGAAGAAAGTTATCTATGTTCTAAATTTGGTCATACCAACGCGACTCATTGATAACTGTCTGGAACCAGCAAAATCCGCAGTTCAGATCGAGGTGTGTAGATTTCTTTCTATCCACGACCGGCTCCCGGGTGATCTGAATCCGGTGAACACAGCATAAGAATGTGGTGACAACATTCCTTTCTTCTGTGATTGATTCGTTCTTGATTCGACATGGTTTCACATCTGGCAAACGTGGCGCTGAGGAAGGCTGTGGTTCCCCGCCCAAGAAGCGCAAAGTCACCATGGTTCCAAATAGCGCAGACCAAAATAAGGTCCCAGCTAATAGGAAGACAGAGCCGAAGGAAGCACAGGCGGTGTTTATTCACCCAGTGAGCAGGCAGTTGGGAGCCTACCGTTAAGCTTTGGTACTCAGCTGATCGTGATCAAAAGGGAAACATGTCCGAGGAAATTCCGCGAACGTCGGTTTGGGAAACGGGTGAAATGTTCATCGTGAATCCTCGTACTGGAAATTCTTATTTGCAAAGTTCGCGCCACAAGATCGACGGAACGAACTCGGCTAGCGCGAACCGTGTTTCCCGAATTCCACGTCTTCTCCGAGAGGGTCCATGTTCCGGCCCTGTTCACAATAAAATGCCCGATTGGCTACAAGAAGCTCTCATCGTAGGTTCCGAATGTTTGAGATAGACACAATTTGACCTTTCGGTATCTAAGGCGAACAACGCATATGCTACTACGGAACCAAGGATTCCATCCTTGCCGCTCTTTGCTAATCAAGCTTCCGATGATCAGGGTTATCCTATTGTTCACTCTAATCGTCCCTTGTCTTGCGCCTCCGCTTTTGGGACACAGTCAGGTTCCGAACACGCACGAACAAGATTTCACAAAGGTGACCTATTGAAGGCACAGGTCATCAACCAGGTCGACCGCAAGTTCATCGCCTGTTTAGTTGATTTAGATCATTCCACGCATCAGGAACATGGGAAACCCCCAAAAAACCTTGCAGCGGGTGGCTCAACTCTGATCCTGATTGATCAGCACGCTGCGGACGAACGAGTCCGCGTCGAACGCTTTCTAACCGAAATTTGCTTTGGCTTCCTACGACATTGCGAGGGAACCGGGGGCGTCGAAGTTTCGGAACTGTCGCCTGCTGTGCCTATTTTACTCACGCATCACGAAGCTTCGCGCTTGGCGACTATCGAAGAAGTACAATCAGCATTCGACCGGTGGGGTATACGCTTTGAGGGATTGGCTAAGTTGACCTCGTTCGAATCGGAATGCGCAAGAGATGAAGCCAGTGGCGGGTATGTACAAGTCTTTGTCAGAGCAATACCTGCGATTGTGAGCGACAAGGTACGCGTAGACACTGTCATGGTGTCACAGGCTTATTATCCTGTGGTACAGTTACTCATGAATGATGAGTTGCGAGACCTTGTTAAAGGCTACCTGGGAACTCTCGAAAGCGAGGAGACGTCTCCTCCTAACTTATCGCAGCAAAAAGACGTCGATAACATCAAGGACGACGAGTCGCGGTGGCTCAAGGCTCTTCGCTGGTGTCCACAGGAGCTTCTGGATTTGATTAACTCAAAAGCGTGTCGCGGTACTAACGTCAAAGTGCTTTTGATATACTCTTGCTCATTACTTGATCACTCAGGCGCAGTCATGTTCAATGATCCACTATCACTGGAACAGTGCGAACGCCTTGTGAGAAATCTTGCTGCGACTGCATTTCCCTTTCAATGCGCCCATGGAAGGCCAGTATCTTTGGTTGTCTTCATTTACGCTTATTAATTGTTGTACTTCTCCTAGACCTTCCCTCGTTCCTCTGACTCATGTAAGTATCAAGAGTGGCAGGCGATCCGTGCCGGCATTGGATTGGACAAGGCTGAGCTGACTCACGGCGGGCTATCGTTATTGTGTTCGCCTTGGAGACCTTAATTGAGAGCCGCGCAATCGATTATTACATACAATTGACCTCATTGTTGCGCGCCGGCACGTGATGTATCCATGGTCATGTGACATTGAAGTGTTCATTAATTCAGTGACGTCAAAGTGGCGTGTGGGGTATAAAGGTCACTCGCAAGCTCCGTCTGACCACCATCATTCAACCAACAACTACATCATTCTCGTTGCATTTTGCTGAACCACTCAAATTACTCTATTACCATCCAATTACCAACACCCGATCCCTTTTGATCATGCCAAAGTCCCTCACAAAGGTTGTGTACAAGCCCGACACTCAATCGACAGACGAGTTCATCACCTTTGTTAATCCAGCAGAGGTAAGCTGATATTGACTTGACTTGAATTCAAACAATTGATCTCACATCATCGTAGTACAAGAAATGGAAAGCAGGAGGTAAGCATCTCGCCTTTTGACTATCAGATGATCCATAACCTGATTCACATTTTGCAGACAGGTAAAGTGTACGAGTATCGCCCGATAATCCACCACTGATGATTCCTACGTATGCATAGAACGATACCTCTAGCTGAGGTAGTCGATGGTGAGCACTGATTCGATCGTGCGATTGTGATCTAATCGCATCATTTCCTAGCCTTCAAAATCTTTTACTCCAATCAAGGTGCACAGGGCATCCTGGGTGCGCCTTCAAAACAACAACTGGATACTATCTTCGGCACGACGAAAGATGTCGATGTCTTGATGCACATTCTGGAGAAGGGGAAAGATCAGGCCGGAAATGGCATCACCTCAGGAACAACAACCATGAATGCTGCGCGTGGAAGCTTGATGGACAACAAGGGCAAGGGAATGTCGGGCATATGATAAACATGATCATGATTGTATAGATATTTGCAACAAGGTCACAATGTATTACTAGAACAATCACTTTCACCCTTCTCTGATTCATGGATTATCCTCATGCATCTTGTGACTGAACGTAGAAGACAGTCGAGTCCTCTACTCCCTCAACGTAAGGAAGTGTTGTTCTCCTAGCAGGCTCCGTCTGCATGAACGCAACATGATGCTGAGAGTTATCGAGATATGATGGGCATCGCTTCACACTTTCTAGATCACGCGTACTCACCTCTGGACTCTCCCATCCAAGCAACAGCACTACTTCCTTTGCGTCTTTTGCATCGACGACGTATCCCCACGCAGTTCCGTAGCATCCCTCAAAATCATGGCACACTTCCAACGATGCGTCGACGATCTTGCTGAATTCATTCAGGTCGGTTTCAGGCTTCACAGTGCTAATAATGACTTCTGTGAACGGCGCGGCAAAGCATTTGGTAGGTGGGTAGGGATTGAAAGCGACGAGCCTGCGCGTCGGAGGAGAGTCAACAACTGCTTCGAGCTTTTCTTTGATCTGCGCCGCTATCGCGGCCGTCGACTCAGACCTCTGAGGGCGGTGATCCCAATCTGTGCGCGTGATTAGCTCAACACGGAGTCACTAGAGCCGAAATGCCTCACTGATGAACCACTGCCTAATTCCAGGCTGCTGGACGCGATCGCCCCAGTACATCTGTTGGAGGCCTTCAAAAGTGGACTGGCGCAAGAGCTCGACGGCCTCCTGGAACTTGGGAGTTGTCTTCATCGCATCATTGCTCGTGAGCGTGATGATTTCGGTAACAGGGGTGTTTGACATGGTGCTGTAGCGGAATCCGATGGAGCACCTCGAACGTTCCCCGCATTTATACGTAGCGCGTCGAAGATGTTCCCAGGGTAGGGTATTACTTTTGCGCATGACAAATCCCGATCATGGGCTTCAGGAGGTTCGGTAGAGAACGTCCATATCTAAGCATTGTCGCGCCATACCCGCAAATTGTAAGCAGACCTGACAGGACATGGACGCTTTGGGAAATTCGTTGATCAGTGACTCATCGGCACCTTATTTCTGCTGATCCCCGCCATGAAATGAGGGCGCCCACCGAGTCATAGTGAGTCACAGGAGAGATAAGACTTGCACAACAATGACAGGACATAAATCACTAACCGCTGAAGGAGATAGTGTGGATATTGGTTTACGAACTTAACATATCGGTGCAAGAAAGCCTGCGAACAATCATAAGGGAGTCAGCATATCGCGGTCACGTCATAATAAGAAATGCTTACAGTGACGATGTAAACAAGTGGATTTGCAGATGGAGATATTAGAATGAGTTTGCATATAGAAGAAAAATCAGCAATATATATAATACTTATGTACCAGGGAGCGCGTAGGCATCTACGTGTCCTTGTTATTGAGAAGCTGTCTCTGCCCATTCTCTGCTCCCCATCTGCACCAGCCGCGAGCAAGCCCGCGCAAACGCAAATATTTCCTCGTCGCCTGAGAACATCGAGCTTGAGCCCACAACTTCCGGAGATAGGCCCTTTACAGAAATTGAGATGTCGTAAGAAGAATTGAAGAAAGGAAACGTACCAGATCATCCATCACACTCCGCATGTGATCTGAGATGCCGTTCCCTGAGCCCGCCGAATCATCCGAAAAGATCTGGTATATGGGTACTTCTGACGATACAAAAATCCTTGTCTGCGCCAGTCGTTAGATTATCGATCATAAGCATGAGATATGCGAGCTTGCCTTGGATTCGTAGCATGCGTCTATGAATGTGATAAATCGCCTTGCCTGTAGAATGATGGTTAATGCTGCAAGGATCTACGAATGGGAGAAACATACCATATCCTTCCTGTCCATCCCCATTTTCGGCACGTCTGTGATAAACAGAGTACCAAACTGCTTCGTCACCTCCAAGTAATCAGCGGCACTCAACGGACGGCCGCAAATTTCCTCGAATGAGAATCGCGCGACCTTTGACGTCGAAAGCGGAACGCGAAGCGTGCGGCCCCACGTCGTTATTGGGCGATTCTCAATAACAGGATCTTGAAGCGCAGCGGTAGGAGTTGGACATGTCAGTGAATTAAAGATTTTGTCTATCTCGGCTTTATTCTCTGGTGTTAGTGGATGATAGTATACGTGGGAGAGGGCGCGTGGTATCCGTCTGTAGTCTGTGCATGATAATCGTAAGATCATACATACACCGGAAGAGTATGACTAGATACACACCAGTTCCTGAGTCTAAGTCCGTCACTTCAAAGCGCGATTTGAGAAGCTCTATGGCGGGTATAAAGCTTGAGCGTTGAATTCCATTCTTGTAAAGATCGTCTGGGTGTCGACTGTGTGACAGTCAATCATAAGATACCGCCACGAAAAGCTGGAGATGCGCACTTGGATGTGATTACACAAACTACACCATGATTCATCAATCCTTCCAATAAACGCCTCAGAATCATGGCGTCCGCGATATCCGTAACCTGAAATTCATCAAAGCATAGCACATACGCCTCCTTTGCCAGGTCCCGCGCAACAGGACCAATGGGATCGCCACCAGAGTGTCCCATGAGCAATTTAGTAGCGTGTATGCGTTTATGTGCATCGATCATGAAGGCGTGGAAGTGCACACGACGCTTGCGTGTGATAGAAGGGGGCAGTGTTTGGTAAAAGAGGTCCATAAGCATTGTCTTTCCTGTGCCAACGTCGCCATAAAGGTAAAGACCTTTTGGTGCCGATGCAGGCGCCGTTCCTGGTTCTGGAGGTGCACGAGAAAACAAACGAGATATCTAGCAGCAAGTGGGTCAGCGGTCCTGAGAGAAAATGAAAGAAAATCACCAATGAATCACTTGTCCTCGCATCAGGTATAGGTGGGGGGTTGTACTTGAGTACCTGCTCCCAGAAACGCTGAAGTTTGCCGACGATACGAATCTGATGATCGTCACTTCGAAGTACCCCAGACTGCACGAGTTTTTCATGTTGCTTTATCGGGGAGATCGGTTCCGGGAACATTTGTGAGGTCTCGAATTGATTGATTGTAGCGAATTCGGCAGGATCGCTGCGTGCAATGCTTTCTACGGCAAGCGAGGAATTGAATGCTTTCCCGTGTCCATGTCCATGACCGGAAGACGGCAAAGAGCTGGAAGGTGAGGCGACTGGTATTGATGTGGCCAACGCCCGCCTACTTTGTACTGTCGTCCGCAATAGGAGTCGATTCCGCTGGTGGAGCGCACTAGACCGAGCTGGATTCATATCGACAATGTTCCGTCCACAAACAAAAAATAAAAAGTGAAGGAGAAATAGTAGTGTGTAATGCAAGGGAGTGGTTGGAAAGTTGACACAGTTCACTGCACAGGAAAGAATTGGAGTCTGGACGCCACACGATACCGGCCGACGGGGTACGGAATAAGTTATAACAGAAACGGGGAGCTTGCGGGGAGCCACTGCAACCAATTGCTTTCGGCATTACTCGGCGCTTAAATAACCGGTTCCACACTCATCCGAGTCTCCACGATGACAGAGTATACTAGTAGTAGTATCAAACTGGAGATGTGACGATATCCATGTTAGTATGGAGAAGGATGGTGATGAAATGTCAGAAAGCTTCTCTGATATCTTCAGAGCTCGAGCTTGTTTGCAAGAAGTTGTTGCAGGACAAGGTCTGTACCCATACGATACTCTCTACCCACGGCGCCCTTGAGAACACCACCGCCTGCAAAGGTTTGTGAACACGCGATTTCAATCCTGTATCGATGCCTCCAAATTTATAACACAGGGGCCAAGCGAAACTACAAAGTCTTGCAGGAGCATAGTATGCTTACAGCTGATTATACTCCTACGACCAAGGACAGCCCCCCGATACAAGGTTCATGATCGTACAAGACTTGATAATGAGCATCAAAGTGCAAAGAGGGGGAAATGGCGTTCAGGAACGAGCCACGTTTCAATTAGGTCCACAACGGTTCAAATGATCGTGTTACATACTTGAAGCTTTACTTGACTCTGTGGAAAGACTCTGGAAATCCATGTATCCTTAATCGAGTTTATATCGCATACTCGCCTCTTGGTTCAACGTACCAACATAAATCTTCTTTGCCCCTTGACATTGAAGACATTTCCTTCGCAAGCTCGCGACCTTTCTTTTACGGAGAACTCGACCATCCGTTGTACAGGAAATGCTTTTCATCAAAACGCCGCTCGACAACACACTTTCAAAAGAGTCTCGCGCTACCATAAGCATCTGCCGGACGACCAATAGTCTTCGGATACACTTGTCGAATACCTATGGTGTTGCGGATGATATTATCTTCGGCTTCGACATCCAGGCGTAGTGGATAGATCAGTGCTTGTGCAGTTATTAGTCCAGCAACTGCCAGGATGCAGCGAAGATGTAGATGTAACTGCCCAAGAGTCGGACACTGGTAATATTTGGCTATTGGTGAGAGCGAACGCCCACGCAGGACTGAATCATAAGAAGAGTTCTCCGGGTGTAAGGAGAAGACGTATGTGGCGTTCGAATTGGTGTTTGGTGGTTTATGATGGTTCCAGGTTGTGTAGACTGGGGTGCTAGAGCATGAGAATGGCTGTGAGCTGGATAGTGAGAAGCAGGTTTAAGAAGGAAGGGTAAAAAAGCACATGCTGTGCTATGCACAGGACAGAGCTCAGGCTTCTTAAAGAGTTGTTATCTTATCAGGCGATTAGAGCCAGCGTCCACCTGAACTTCCAGTACGGAACTGACAGTTATCTTCAGCAGGGAACAAGTTGGGTAACTTCAAGCTAACCATCAGCGCTCAGCTTCAGAACAGTGCGCGAGAACTCGAAGAACGAGTCACTCACTGGTGGTCCTTCGAATTCATCGACAAACATCTGCCAACCTCCCAAGCGAATGAACCGTCATGGCTTCCAGCTCGACACAGCCAGGCGCGGCATCCAAGAAGTCAATTCTGGAACCAGTCATGATATTGGAGGGCCATGAACTATCCGCCCGTAAACCTCCAGGAAGGACCTTCCATAACTTATGCATATCCTACTTTTCGGACGGCAAGCAAATGATCAGTGGATCTGAAGATCAGACTGTTCGACGGTGGGACCTTCAGGCGGGGAAGGAGATTGAGGGGGTACGGGAAGTTTGTGAGGAGGGAGTACATGCAGTAGGTGTGTCAAGGGATGGTCGATGGATCGTCGCTGCTGGTGGAGATGACAAGGAGCGTGGGGAACTCAAAGTCTGGGAAGTTAGAACGGGGATCATAAGAACGTTTGAAGGCCACTCACAGAGTATCATCTGCATCGATATCTCCGCGGATAGCACCCTGCTGGCGAGTGGAGGAAATTATCCCAATGTCACAACACGGGTATGGAACCTAAACACTGGCAAACTACTATTCGAAATCCCAGCTGAGGTGGGCGCGGTTCGATTCTCGCAAGACTCAAAGAAGCTCACAGTCATATCAAATGTAGCGAGGTGTATCGAGGTGTGGGATGTTGAAACTTATAGATTGGATATCAGGCTAGTGTGGACTCAGACTCGGAAATACTCTCGCGGAATAGTGACACGTGCCCCAGTGATTTGGACAGCCAAAGACCAGACCATCTTGGCCGCATTTAACTTCAAGGATGACTCGGAGGATTACGCGCGGACCGAGGGGCAGTGGCACTGGGACTATGACGAGCCCAAGACGATCTATGAGTTTGATGCGTCGACACTGCAGACTGTCAGGGCTCCCTTTGAAGGGCACACCAATATCATAGGGGGTCTAGCACTTTCATTTGATGGTGCACTCCTCGCTAGCGCTTCCCGTGATCGGACCATCAAGCTCTGGGCCTTCGAGTCGCGCCAGCTCCTCGCCTCATTCGACGTTCGTACTACTCCTGACCACCTCATCTTCTCACCCAACTCATACCAACTGGCATACACTACCTGGAGTGACAAGATCTACATATGCGACACTCCACCTCACATCCTTGCCACTATCCAGTCTGCACAAGAAGCGCAGCCTAATGTATGCATCCATGCACACTTACCTGTTTGTCGACTAACATCCTGTTACAGATAAATGCAGCTACAAATCCACGACTCCTCGATGTACGTGACCCTGCTCGTATACACCAGCATTCTATTAATTCCTTATAGTCCAACGCAACACATCGTCCCGTGCGCCGTAACCCAATACAGCCGCTCATCGTCCCTCACCCACAAAGAGATTTCTCCACCATATATCCACAGGAACGCCGTGCCTTCCTCTATTACCTTCGCAAAATACTTCCTTTTCGCATGTCTCCTGTTCGAACTGATCAGCTTCGTGATCCTCTGGATGTATGTTTCCTCTTCCTGATGCAGTCACAGTCGACTTGACAGCCCCTTTACAGTTCCCTGCTAATTTACCCCTACCTCACAAGATCTCTCCCTCCGTACGAGCCACGAATCAGGTGCATTCAGATATTGATCCCCACAAGAACGTGAGTGTCGTCTGTCATGATCTCGTTTTCGACTCATATTCTTTCAGGCTCGATCCATACCGCTCGGCACTCAATCCTCTGCCACCGCTCCAACTACTTTCAAAACACGACTTCATCACATATTAACCTGGCTGTCCGCTCGTGTAGGTCGTGCACTACCGCCTATTGTCGATGTTCCTCTTGCTCCGGGTAGACTGGTATGCTCGATTAATATTTTTTGTTCTAGTTCAGGTCTCATTGATCTATTTGCAGCGCTATGCTGCAGCGGATGCTCCCACATTTGACGAGGACCTGATTCGTGATGAAGACTATATTCCTTCTACTCATCAAAATTCGCAACAACCTTCCACAGGAGTGCAGGTTACCACTGGACAGCATGGTAGCGGCCGGCTGTGTGGCTGCTTCTAAATTGGTCTCGGGAATATCTTACTTTTGATTGTTATCATTCGTCGTATGTATCAGATGACATTAACCTGTCTCGTAGTTGACCGACATGTAGACTAACTATGAAATTCGCGTCTTCTGTCAGATGCAAGTATAGCCCTACATTAGTAGCATCCCATGGTAAGGCTCCGCGCGACCATGAGTGCCAATGCCTTCGCATAACTTTTCTGACGTGGAACATAAGGCACTGCATTTTAGCCCGCAAGAAGTCTGGGTTGTGGAGCTCCTACACAGGAATGGCGTGGCTGAGCTGGAATCAAGAGGTATGTTTGATTGAACCTGAGAGAGTAGATGGGATTTAAAGCATCCGCTGTGCAATATACACCCGTCACGATGTATAATTATCATGAGATGTGGCAGACGCGCATGTATGCCCATCAATCAGGCAATTCCTCATCTTCCTTGCCAACCTATTGGTAAGATGAAAATTTCATGCGAATGTTCCTCGTAGATAAACTGACGACAGATATTAGCAGGGAAAGTGCTCGAACGAGTTCATCCTCAATCTTCCGAATGGCGAGTGCTCGCGCGAAGGGAAAAGATCATAACCATAATTGATTTTGTATCGAGATAGACCTTTGCCCTCGGCGATGTCAAATGTCTCGGATCCAGTGCTCCCTGAACTATGAAAGCTGACGATTCCATCGGGGTTATTTTTCGTATACAAGTTGAATCTCACCTGTCAAGGCCTAGGCCTATCTGCAATAGAAAGTCGACTTACTTATTTTAACGTTCATGAACCCTCATAAACAAAGACCCGACCAAGCCCATTGATTGATGCCAAGAAATATATATGCTTGTTCATTACACGAAGCCATCTGCGAACATGCACATATACCCAATATCAATCGTATCGTAACATCTCTCCACCTCCAGCCTACCCGGGCCATCCGCATGCCCAAACTTTCTCCCACTCTTGACAATATATACAAAAGTGCACCCGAGTATCGGATACCACAACACGAACGTCGTCCAAAGAAATACACCCCTCTCCGGTCTCCGTAGATGCTTTTATCTCCAGGGGCACGCGGTAGCCCTTCACCAGGGAAGCGGGGAACGTCACTAATTCCGTCTGCAAGTTCATTCCTGCACTGAATTCAGCTGTATCGAGCGGGAGTTCCACACGCGGGAAAGCCAAAGAGACGGTTTTAAGCCTTTTCAATAAAGCCCATGGAGCGTGCGCCATCCACTGAGGGAGATTGTAGTCTTGAGGTCCAACAGCGCCAACAGCCCGACCAGCGACATGCAAACTTACGTCTGCTAGTGAGTTAGGGAGTACAATAAGGTGGGCGAGGGAAGCCAGGAAGGCTGATCCTGAGGCAAACATCGTCATGGGGCATGGCCTAGTGACATTCCCCAATAGTGTTAAAGTTTTCGTGCGCCACGGAGGTGGCGAACATTCCTGGTCGGTGTCCTCGCCCATGTCGGTCCATACATGCTCCACGCAGCGTGTCAAGAAATACATGCTTGCAAAGTCGATCGCAAGCGATGGTGCGCCGAGGAGTACCGGAGCCAAGAGCCCAAGGTCTGAATGAGGCACAAACATGCCATCGGAGCGGTCCGTAAAAGGGTATTCGGGACTCGGACAAAATTCTCCGATCCAAATGTTATGTATGTAACTTGTGTACGCAAAACAGAGACGAGAATTTGTCTGAGTGTATTCCTTCTGCATCCGTAGAGCATGCACGAAAGCCTTCTTGTTGCGAGAGTCCAGTAACACTGTGTGCAGCATTTCGGGCAGTGCAACGTGCCTCCTGACATATTGGGAGACTAGACAGAGTTTGCGAGCGGTTGAGTATGGATTCTTCGCCTTGTATTGGTCTGGTTGAGCAAAAGTAGGTCGAGCTGCATAACTCATGATGAGGTTGACGAGCTCGATGGGAAGGTTGCCGAATAAAGCTGGGGAAATAGTCGCCATGATGGGTAAGTGGTATGAAAAACTGGTTCGAAGGAGCCCTCTTAAAGACTTCGTGAACAATGGCGGAACAAGTCGAACATCAGTGGCTGAAGGCGCATCCAAGTATGTGTTGGACCACAAGTCGTGACCCGATGGTCCACAATAAAGTTATTATTCCTTCAGTAGGTCGCATGTGTTTTAGTTTCGCGAAATATGACATTCCACAGCGCGGATATGGAAATTGGGCATTGGCAAACTCGTATTCGAATCTGATAACAGGGTGTGCGCAGTTCGATCAAATCCACCTGTGTTCAAAATTGGTTCAAAAGTAAGACAATCCATTATCCTCAAGCTTCACCCATGGGCAAGCCAGCGTTGTCGAACTTATCAACAAATGCGCGCACCTGTAGAATACCCATCTGCCCTCCGATGATATCCTTGCCAGTTTCGAGATCCAGGAGTAGTAGAAAGTCGAGAAGCGCCTAGGAAGGTGTTCTACTCAATACGTGAACCGCACCAAGCTTGAGTGGCAGCACAATACGGTACTCGGATGTGAACCAAACATCTGGCTTGCTGTAATTTAAGAATCTGATCAGGCAGAGCTCGTTGGTGTTGAATAGTTAGTACTTGCATGTTACAGTGTGTTGCATAAAAACCTGCAGTACGAGTTTTTTTTCAAAATTTACCTTTAGCGTTCCTAATTGGGGTTTTGTAATTTTTGTTTTATTTATTTGTCACATCACTTGACCTAATTAGGAAGTATCAGTCTCGGACTCCTGTAGCAGGTCAAGGCTAAATTTTGACAAACTCGTACTGCTACTACTGCAGTCTGCAGGTTTTTATGCAACACACGTATTGGCCTTTGACAATATTGATTCGGTCTGTACTACTTGCCTCTATGTGCTGACTAAGTCAGGCGCAGGTCAAGAGAGTATACTCATATACCCGCTGGTTGTAGGTGGGGTCTCAGCAAAGTCTAGGATAAACTGGTATGCTCGATTCATTTCTCTCACTGCTTCAGGTCTCCATTTGCAACGCTACTGCGCTGCTGTATGACCAGGTGCTCCCGCCTCTGACGATGGCGTTCCGCCTTTACCCAGGTACCCATATCACTATGGCAGCTCATGACTGGACAGCATGGAAGCGGCAGATTATGTGGCAGCCTCTAAAAATGTTTTTCGGTATGCAGTGTCCCTACATACGACACAGTTTCCATGACCATATAGGAATTGAGACAAACAGGTTAGACTCAAAAAGACTAGCTGTGTGAAGGGGTGTAATGACATTGACAACCACCGCCTTCACTCGGGAGACTATTTTGTTCAATTCTTCGAACACTTTATCCGAGTCATTGCCGCTTTAGTTACGGTTCGAGATTGACTCCCTCGACTGAAACCTTCGATTGCATCAACCACCTTCTTAGATGCTCTTGCGCTATGTCTTCCTAGGCCAGTCCGCAAAACACAATACAAGTATAGCCCCACACATAACTCACTCCGTCCTTCAATCTGACCCGACTAAATGAACAAAGCAGTAGAAGCGCCCGTAGACCTCACCGGTCGTATTCTCCGGTTAGATGACCATCCTGTGGCTGGAGGGTCTTTCGGAAATGTCTACAGAGGGATCTACCAGACCACATCGGGTCAAATTCAAGTATGAGCGCCTTAATTCTGCGTGTTGAACAATCGAAATGTGACGATTCCTTCTCAGGTTGCTGTCAAGGCTTTGCGTTTTCTGCCTAGCGCAGATGATATCAGGGTCAGTGGGATCTGTTCTCCGTCATTCCTATTGAAGGCTGAACCTCACATTGTAGAGAATCCGTCGAGAGATCAAAATATGGATGAAATTAAAACATCGGAATATCGTGCCATTCATAGGCGTAACAGCGAGATTTGGACCCCCCGAGACCATCTCTCTCGTTTCGCCCTGGATACCCAATGGAACATTGACAAATTTCTTGGACACCTACGGTGGAAATTCATCACTGATATCGAAGTTATGGCTGGTGAGACCTACTATCTGTCGTTTTAGGTGTGAGCTGAGCCACCGGTCACAACAGCTTCATGATGTCGCAGCTGGTTTAAATTACTGTGGGTCATCTTCCTCCGAGTTCACTTGTATCGTCTCAGACCAGTATTTTCAAGTACACTCATTCCCTCTCATCCACGGAGATCTAACCGGTGTAAGAGAATTGTTTTTACATGCATCTGTGTCTGAATTAGATGGTCTGTAGAGCAATGTCTTGATAAACGCAGAAGGCATGGCGTGCCTTGTGGACTTTGGGCTTTCTACGGTGATAGGAGGACTTGAAGGTGGATCTTCGATTGCCCCGTCATCCTGCCGTCCCGGTGCAATACGGTGGACCGCTCCCGAGCTTCTTGGAGATCCAGAGATTTCCTATTTGCCTACACCAAAAAGTGACATCTATTCTTTTGGTAGCGTGATGCTACAGGCAAGTTGCCTTTTATCACTGAGTTGTCTTTGACTTGACTATGTTCCCCAGATCCTCTCTAACAGATTTCCGTGGTATACAGATAGAGGCATCACGGCTGAATTTCGTATCATAGCAAAGCTGATTGTAGGAGAAACTCCGCCTCGGCCGGATGATCCATGCATTTCAGAGAAACACTGGGCCCTTATCTCGGAATGCTGGCGCCCGATCTCGAGCACGGAAAGTCGTCCAACAGCTGTACAATTAGTTGACACTATCAGTAAAGATATCGCCGATTGTTCAGGTGAAACAAACGACATGCGCCGTGTATTCCAGTCCGAGAAGTCACCTCTCATGGCGCACAAAAACTCTCGTCCTCCCTCCAAACCGTTACCTGGACCCATGAAACACAGACAGCAGCAGCCGAAGTTATCACACCCGACTGTAGATGATTCTGTGGATTCAATTTTCGCATTTTATCCCCCAGACCCCGAGAACAAGACGGTTGTGCCTCATGCTCCTGGAGAGTTGTTGCGACAAGAGTACACCAAACCTTGTCACAGATATCCTCCCATAAACACGCTTTTCGTGGGTAATCTCCCTAGGAGCACAGGGGATTATGGTGACTATCTTGAAACTCGATTAAGAGCCTTGTTTTCTCTGCGCCCGGGATATAGAAGATTACTATTCACCCGCAAGAGCGACGGGCGAATGATGTGTTTTGTCGACGTAAGATATTTTATTCCACTCTCAGCCTCATTCTGATTTATGGCGGTGGCAGTTTCAGGATGTACATCATGCCACGATGTCTCTCAACGACCTCACTGGCTCCACGCTCGACGGGCTCATAAGAAACGGTGGTATCCATCTGACGTATAGTAAAACATGTATGGGTTCCCGTAGGCCATATAGTGCGGGTACGGGTGCATATGCAACTCCTCCAAGCTTCGGAGCCTAAGTATGATACTTATTATTAATTAGCATGTATGATGATACATCTCCCCCATTATTGTACAACGTAAACTGCATATCCTGGTCTTCAAGTAATCAGCTGTATGAAATTCTACGTATCACAAAAGACTCGCTGCACCTCTGGACGGCAAAAGTCACGTGCTTCAGATCTGATCGGACCAATTTGAATGTCTTCAAGCTGATCGGCTACATCCAACTTGCTTGCATGCAATCCATCCCTCTAAAACCCGCTTCAGCTTCACTCGCATCATTGAATAATGTGGACGTATTCCCCGGAATATTGAGCACAAAAATGACATTACAAATGGGACGTCCGAGATCAATGAAGTTCGTGCTTTCATTTTGTTCGGTGCTTTAATAGTATATTGAACAAAAGCATCCAGAGGCAAGAAACGAGCGAGAGATTCGTCCCCGAGCTCTTCTTCACTCTCTTCGACTCACTCGGAAGCTCCTGTTATCGCGCCCCCAGTGAAAAAACGTGCGTACGTGACTTTCTTCGATTTGTGACCTCAACTGAATGAGGATACACATAGCTAAGAGAGCAGAGACAAAGAAATGCCCGGCATGTACAGAATTGATCCCTGTGCGTCTGCTTGCGGCTCATGCGGCTCTTGAAATGCAAAGGGTGGAAGACATCATTCGGCATATTGGTGAGGCGGAGGTTTTGGCAGAAGTTGATGACTTGGAAGAAGGGTGCGTCTAACTGTTTGCTACTGCATTGCACGAGCAATTGATATAACCCATTTCAGCCCGAGCAACCGCGCCCGACGCTCTGCACTAAAAGCTCGCAAATCCCTTACCACTTCTATCCCATCCTCCTCCACATCTCCTTCTGCCATTGGCAAGACCATTCAAACCATTACGCGTCGACGGAAAGCACGGCATCTGCGCCTCAAAGAGCTTGCTAAGGAGCATGAAGCAGAGTCCTGGATTATGGAAGTTGAGGGAGGGACGTCATGTCCTGTGTGTGCACAGGTAGTCAGAGGCGATCGGGATGTCGTTGAGGCACATGTGGATGCATGTCTAGTACATGAAAGCGCTAGGTTGGAGCGAGAGCGGTTACAGGATGAGGAAGAGGATCTTGATATAGGTGGTGGCGGGGGTAGCGTTAGGACGAGGGTCATTACAAGTGCAAGTCTACGAGGTCAGTACGGAAGTCACAACAAAACATAGATTATTGCTGACTCTATGGGCAGGTACTGGTATCCATGTTCGAACATCTAATTCACTGGACGTCGAGGATGAAGTGGACATAGATGGCGAGGATGAAGCAGTGTTCGGAGAGGCACAGTTTGGCGAGGCTGACGTCCTGGCTTTGCCTTCAAGTGACCGAGATTTGCACGCTGAGAATGAAGATATCGACGTCGACACAGATGGTCATCTAGGAACTGTCCAAGAACGACAGACGCTCAGACATCTGGTAGTTGAGGGCAAGGTCTTATTGAAGCGGGCAGATAGTATAGAGAACAATGTTATCCAACCGACCGGGATGGACCAGCTCGACCTCGACATTATCACTGCGCGCTCACGAAATGACCCTAGCGCACTTATCCTGGCTCTGGAAAACAAGTTGCAGGCTCTGGTAAGTTCAAGGCATAGTTAATATACACCCCCGACTAATAGCCAATCATAGGAATCTAACACTGGCTCAACATCTTCACCCAACCTGTGCCGTATCTGCCTTTCACACTATACCGAACCAACGGTGTCAACAGGATGCTGGCACACATGCTGTCGTGAATGCTGGCTTCGTTGCCTGGGGGCAACCAAACTCTGCCCCATGTGCCAACGAATTACCAGCGCCGCAGAGCTGAGAAGGGTGTATATGTGACGTTGCGGACTTTCTCTTGCTTTTGATACCTTAAAATAAAATATATCACATTGTATTTTGCATGACACACTATCTCGTGTATTCCTGTAAGTAAGCATCGTGGTCAGCCTTCAGCTCTTCAAAAGAGTCGCGCGCATAATGCTCATATCTGGCCTAATACCATCGACATGTACCACAGAATAAACCAGTTCAAGTTAAACGGTTACAAGCGGAGGAAATTCAGGGCCCTCGCATGGAGAACCACCACGGAGTATAATCCTGGCAAGTGGAAGGGAGGAAGGGCAAAACTTACCTAAGTCGACAAACACGTTCCATCGGCATGACATGATAGACCACTCAGATAAAACTTCAAGCTCCTAGCAGCACCTGATCACTGAGCAGAGAGTTGACTTTTTTTAAGTAGACTGAATTATAAAATACAGCTGGAAGTGCGCATGCAAGTAGTAATTCCTTATGCGAGCGGGCTTATGAGCCTAGTTCAATATGTTAAAAACTTCCGAGGCCACCGAGAAACACTGAGACAACGCACTTAATAAGGGTGGGTTGAGGCGTGCTCCGAGTATAGCCAATGTAAATGATGAGTGGTATCCAGCCATAGTGCACCAGAGTCTGCAGAGTGTCAGTAATCCTGTTCAGCGCGGGTGTAAACCAACGTACGCGGCCAACCTCCACTAGTTTCGTGATACGTTCCTGCGTAGCACAATAAGTATTGGACACGGCAACCATATGAGCATTAGTCGAACCTTGGTCTCTTCGGAAGGCATTTTCTGTAAATGTTTGATGACGACGGGAACTAAGAAACTTCAAGGGCCCACGAAAAAGGCAAGTCCCTTCATTTGCAACTCCGACGACTTTTTGATCACTGCAGCGAGATTAGCCACTTATTATCTCTGAAAATGCCTATACGCTCATCCTCATCAGCGGCGTATATACAGAATTCTTCAACAAGTACAAATGGTGTACCTTCGTGAGTTCATTCAAAACTTGCCATGCGATGCAGTTGGTCTCATGAACTGCTAGGACGCGCCCAACTTCACTAACGATTCATCCGTCCGCACTCTTCTCGATCCTTGACCACTACCTTCGGCGAACAGATGCTCAACATCGTGTCATTGGTACCCTTCTTGGTACACGCACAGACTCGACTGTAGACGTCAAGTCTGCATTTGCTGTCCTCCATTCGGAGACCGATGAGCAGGTTGCAGTAGACATGGACTACCATCGTGCCATGTACGACCTCTGCACTCGTGTCAGGCCCAATGAAACCATCGTAGGGTGGTACTCGACTGGCTCAGACCTAAACACATACTCTGCCTTAATTCAAAATTTCTACTCTCAAGAGACCGCACCAAATCAAGCGGTACACGTTGCCCTTGACACTGGAACAGAGGAGGAAAAGAGTGCTGGAGTGAAGGCATATGTAAGGTACGTGCTATAGCTTCTAGGTCATGCAGTTTCCTTGATTTTATTTCAACCAATCTAGCTCACCGGTTGGGATCTTCCCCAAACCCGAAAATTGTGTATTTGTTCCAATCCCTTGCGAACTTCGCTTCCATGAAGCAGAACGCAGTGGCCGTGAGTTAAAATATCAGGTGTACCAACACGCCATCGATTGAATTTCTTGCTTAGTCGACCTGCTGTTGTCTCCTACGCCGTCATCCAACCAAACCGACCTCGATGTTCTTGCATCCTCATTGACAGACGTGCAAAACATGCTCAACAGAGTACTTGCATATGTGCAATCTGTCTTGCGCGGTGAAGTTGTTGGGGACAAGGCTGTAGGGAGGTATCTTATGGACGTATTGGGTACCGGCGTAGAGGAAGATGGCGGTTGGACCGCAGGACTACAGGACACTCTGATGGTAACATACCTCGCAAACTTGGTCCGAAGCCAAGCCGAAGTTTCTGCAAGATTAGCGTTGACTACCGCAGCATAACGGTGCGTATTCCTAGTTTTGATTGCGATTGAAGCCATTTATGTGATTACCTAGCTTAAATCCCCCTTTCTTCCGATATTCCAAGTTTCCATCCGCGAAAAATGGGTGGCTTGTATCAGTGCACTGTAGTCTGCTGTACCAGTCATCCTCACAATCCTCTGTGTAGAACAGTCGCTTTCGGTAAACCCAGTTGGTGTGTAGTTGCTTCAGAAGATGTTGCAGTCACCATCTTTTTTTCGCACGAAGGGGGAGATTATGATTAGAATTGATTTTTATTGAGGTGGATTGGACCTTTGAATTTGCCCTGGCGATGCCAGACGTACGTCTCCAGTGTTCACTGAACCATGAAGGCGGACAATCCCATTGAGGATGTTGTCTTGGATGTCCCGTGTATCTTTTAAGCTGACTGCAGCTTTGACTGTCAAAGAATCTGGAACCGAGATTATTATTATAGTTGGTTTACCTATAGCTACAGTTAACCCTAAGTAACAAAGTCTTGACCAAAATTTAGTGCCAAGATGTATATGATACAGGAAGTGGGACAACTGATTGGGAGTCCCCGCATGGATCCAGAATAGCATCAATTCAATTATATCATAACACCCTCCCTCAGCTTAACAACTTGTATTCAGTCTTGACAAAATACACAAGAGTGCACACGAGAACAGAACACCATAACACGACCATCATCTAACGGGACACACCCCTCTCCAGTCCCTTTACAGTGGTACGCTGTAGGCCTTCAGTAGCGAAGGAAGAACGTCAACAGTTCCATCTGCACAGTACTAAACGCATTTACATCAATCCAGAGTTTGATGCGCGGGAAAGCCGGTGGGAATTTTCAAGGCTCTGAAACGAAGCCCATGGGGCGTCATCCACTGAGGTAAATTGTTGCCTTGAGATACAATAGCGCCCGAAGACCGACCATTGGCATGCAAGATTGTTTCAGTCATTGTGTGAGGAGGGTGATAGGTTGGAGATGAGAGGAAGGAGTGCAGATCCCAAGGTTAGCACCACGAGGTTCCGCTATTAAACAGGTAAAGAGGAAGGGGAATATTTTCCGTCTTGCTTCAGGCAGCATGTCAGAAGGTTCAAGCTTGAAGCTTGAATCCGCGAGCGACGGTGTATAGAGCAGGGCTGGGGGGCCATGAGGCTTAGTGACAGACGGGGCTGCTGTGCACAGAAGTGTCAGCGAGACACCCACAAAGCTCGCCGATTCACATCAATAGCGTGTGCAGCATTTCGGGCAGTCCAGCGCACCTGACAGCTGGGGAGACAAGACGGAATTTGAGAACGGTTGAGTAAGACTGGGATGGGCAGCATGTCTTAGGACGAGAGAGCGATCTCAGTGGGAAAGTCCTTAAATGAAGCTCAGGTAACAGGTTCCACGACGGGTGACTGAACAATGCTAGAACAAGTCCTAAAGCAGTGGCCCATTCTAGGTCGCAAGATATGCTTTGGCTCTACGGAGAATACTGACTATCAATCACCAAGGGATGATGCGAATGCGGCACGCAGGCTACGTACACGAAGTTATTGAGGCGCTAAATTATGTTGTACGTGGGTACAACTCTTACATAGTCAATTGCCGAGTTGGGTTACTGCAGGACAAATTTCACTGCTACTCGAGTGTAATGCAGCAACAAAATCAGTGAGAAGAGAAGATCAACAACAATCGCTGGAATGATGGATCCACATCGTCCGAATGAGGCATGGCTTGTATGTATCATCAACTGAGGAGGGGAGTTCACAGCGAGAGTGTGTTCAAGGGTAGCAAAGTGCTTGGTTTTCAACGTGCACCCAACTAGAGCCTAAGGATTTCCGGCGGACTACTGATGATCCATTGACAGAGTAAGATATCGCAGTGCCTGTACTCCACGTTCTCCCTGATTCGCGCAGTCATGCAGGTAGCTGTATAAGGGAAATTCATCTTCCACCAAGTTTAAAAAGCGACGTACAGTTCTCATCAGCTATTAAATATTCTCGAGTGCTGTAAATCATGTCGAACAGCGAGGATTTCGCCAAGGGGCCATGTCGTAGCAGGCCGATTATCTACATCATTGTGATGCATGTCCATAAAAATTCCGGTATGCATATCCTTATTCTGTGACACTTCCTCCTCGACCAGTGGTCTCACTGAGTGGAGCAAAAGTTGCTGGGAACTGTAGGGTCCTATCGTATTCAAACGAATCGCTGAGGAGAGAAGTGAACGTGCATGGAGAAATAGAAAAAGGTGCTGCGCTCGCACTAAAAACAATTATAATTTCATATCGAGGATTCGAATATCAAACATACAAAGTGATATCCCAAGAGCACCGGTCAGCACGCCCCAGCACATGGGTAGATGGCCATGCGTCTCTTCTCCGCGAACCATCAATTTCAGACGATCGATAAGGACGGTCAAGCTCTTTGAGAGATGGTCTTCATCACTGGGGCCTGAAGGGCGAGCAAACCCTTTTGTGTATAGTGTGAGGAGTGCTACCCCCTGGGCTTTCGAGGCGCGCTTAGCTACATGATTGAGTGTCATGGTTTCGTACAGCTCGTCCAGCTCAAGCAATTTCTTGATTGTAGCGTCATGGCCGATGTCTAGCTTGCCCTTGAGATTCTTGAATGCATCTACTGCGCGATGGGCATCTGAAACAAATGGAAGAGCACTTCGGGCGTAGGTATGCAGGCTGTCTTGAATGAAGGCGACTGTGCCCGCCGTAGCTGCTCTTCCCTTTCCCGCATTTGATGTGGATGGAAGAGATAAGAATCCATGCGTTTCATAGGACTCGAACCCAGAGGACGCGACGAATGAGCCCGTGGGTAGATTAGAGTCTGCGAGGAGAAGTAGAACATATGTTTCGTCGAAATCGGTATCCATGATGGCGGTGCTATATGATCGTTCTCTGTAACATAGCCGTGGTCTAGGCGTGACACACACACTCGTGGTAGGTTGTAGTCACATCTCCTCAAGTAGTCGGTCCAAACCAGTGAATAAATCCGCACGTGTTTAGACGAATTATATTTCTGACAATCCAGCAGCATCAAACCATTCACAGTAGTATACATAACGTGCGTATGGAACGCGTGTAGATGAGAATGTCGAGAAAATGCTGGGCGGTAACCCGAAGTTCAGAAAACAGGTGGTATGCAGAATCGAAATATGAGATGAACGCGAAATGCAAGCCACGAGTCAATGCAGGGACAAGAACTCGAAGGTACCTAAAACAACAAGTGGTAAACTAGTATAGTAGAGATATCAGCAGGTTGACGTGCGAGCAATAGGATAGTTGAATCTGTGGGAGCGAATGATACGAACGCAGAGACGAAGAAGAAAACAGCCCGATTGTGAGTATGTAGAATGGAGGATTGCGATTAATGGTTGCGAAACGAGGAAAAATAAAAAATTGGAGGCGACGGCGAAGTTGACAGTCCGAAAAAGTGGGCTCTGGGGAAAACCATGCGATCAATGAGAAATGGAGGGATGTCAATCATGTCGTGGAGTGGTAAGTACAGATATATATATAACTTGCAGATTTGTGCTGTAGATGCTTGCATGCGGACTGTGAGAATACGAGGGAATTTAAGTTCGTCCCTTTAACCGGCCCTAGCGGCCTCTAGTGTGGTCGATGAAGGCGACAAAGCGCGATGCGGGAAATGCTGCGGGTGATCGTGAGCCAGGGAACCTTCTGAGCTCTGATCGGGTATCAAGGCATGCGATGGAGGGAGACCATTCGCGCGCGAACGAGGCGACGAAAGTGGGAGACCGAATGGCGAAAAAGTTGATGGTACGCCATTAGGTGAAGGTAGTCCAAAGGCTTGTGAGCCACGAGGGAAGGCGTTCGCATTGCTGATGGACGGCACGGGTGCGATACCGAAGTTTGTTGATGACGGAGGTGGTGAGAAAAACCGTGGAGGAGGCGGTGATCTTGAGTAGCTATACGCCCCGGATAGAGATGTCGTGTTCGAGCTATCGCGTCTCATCCCTATAGACGCGTCGACGTCGAAGGGGTGACGAAGTTGGAATGAGTCAGGGGGGAAGGGAGATGCAACGCCAGAGTGAACGTTGCCTTGCTGTTGTTGAACCAAGGATGCGCCGGTACCAGCACTAGTGGGTGTGCGTACGCCCAATGGGTTCTTGCTGTATGACAAGCGGATACCGCCATTCTTGACGATACCACCGAGAGTATTACCATACAGTTCATTGAGAGCTTTCGTGGCAAAATGTACATCGTCAAACTGCATAGGTCTTGAATGAGTAATTGTACCGTGACCACAAGTACAAACACTTACCTCAACGAAGCACATTGGGCCGTTGCTTTTTTGCCTAAAGCATAACTTCCTATACCCTGGGCGCCGAGAGAAAAGTTCCCTCAGACTATCCTCCAGAAACCCTGCAGGGTAACCACTGCCGACGGACCCTGTCGGAAGGTTGCCCACGTACAAGGTATTGATAGGCGGATTCTGGTCGACAACAACATTCCTCGGGCCTGCACCGACAGCGTTGCCTGCACTGGTTGCACTACCTCCTCCATTCAATCCAGTAGACGAACTTGCAGATCCCGACTGGGAAGAAGGTGATGCAAGCTGAGGTGAGCCGATACCAGCACTGCCCGAACTCGGTTGTGCACTGGTACTAACTGCAAGGAGAACTGGTCTGTCACCCTCAAACCCTCCGGCGGAGCTTGACGTAGCACTGCCAGGTGCCATCGACTGAGACTGGCTCTGCAGGTGTAACGACTCTTCCAATTGGGAAGATAGGGGATAAAGCGAGCGCAATGCGCCAGAACGGTGCTGTGGAAGCATCATGTCGTCCTCATCGCTTGGTGAGAAGGCTGAGTGGGAAAGAGGAGGAGACTCGTCCTGAGGGGATGGCGGTCGAACTGGTACCATAGAGGACTTCCGAGCTGCATACAGCGACGACAGGGTTTGCGGAATGCCGGATGCCTCCCTCTCACGCGGAGAAGGCGCATCCCAAGGTCCGATACTTCGGGACTCGCGAAGACCATTGTGATCAGGAGTTACATTGCTGGAGCCATCCCGGCCGGTTTGAGCGATAATATTACCATATCCATTTCCCATAAGTGGGCTGTGACCGCTGCTTCCACCTTCTGTTAGCCCAGAAATGGACATCGACCCACCTGTAGGGGAAAGGAGACCACTCTGAGAATGACGGGATAAAGTGGGGGCGGAGACCGAATGGAAAGGTTCAAAAGTAGGAGTATTTCCAGGCAACATTCGAGAAGCGTCAGTCTGGAACTGCTTGAGGTCATTGCTGCGCCTGACCCGCTCTTCTTCATCAGCCTGAGCGCGTTCACGAGCACCGCGCATCAAACCAAGTCCAAGGCCAAGCGCCTCCCTGCGCCTGTCACGGATGCTGTTATCGCGCTCATCCTCACTGCTATCCCCGAGCCTTCCCTCACGCCAGCCAGACCCGCCTAGCCCCACCGAGTTTAACTCCCTCTCGCGCGGGGAGAGGATTTCAGAGTTGTTGCTGGTAAGTGTAGCCAGGTTGTTCAAATTGAGATTGTTGGCGAGATTAGCAATGATATCGGCATTGCTTCCAAGACCACTAAGCGAGCCCATGCCTCCGCTTGCACTCAACCCTCCGATAGTCCCCATACCATTACCAAGAGAAACGCTTCCGCCACCTCCGGATGTCGTGGCACCCATGCCAACGCCTCGCTTGGTGTGCAAGTTCTTCTTCGCCATTTCTGCCTTTAGAATTGCGCCTTTCTCGATGTCGACGCGGCGGCCCTGAAGTAAGTCTCTTGCCTCAAGCGCCTCCTGACGAGTACGAAACTTGGCAAAACCTATTATCTGCTTTCGGGGTGGCTGGCCACCTAGCCCTTGTCCCACTTGGAAGTGCGAAGGCTCGTCTAGTGCCATGGCGAGGGGTGGCCAGGAGGTCGTTGGGCCATCTCGTCCATTGTCAATCACAACCCCTCCTTGATTAACGGTGACAACATTGTAAGGATCATTGGAACCAGCGCCTAGATAACCGGTATAGGCACCTCCACGGAGAGGGAGACCAGATGGAGTGGTCGAAGTCGTACCACCGACCGACCCGTATGCCGTATACTCCTTGTTTGGAATCTTAAGGGTGGCAGCTTCAAAGCCGGAGGAGAACGTAAACATGTTCTGGAATTCACGCTCCTACACACTAGCTGTGAGAAGTTGCGGGACGTCATGAATGATTCAGTACAGACCTGCATGTCGTCAGGAAATCCAACCACAAAAATGGTCGAAATCTCTTCTGGTAGTCCACTATTGACACTCTGCGATTCGACGCTTAAATTCATCTGCCCTACACTACCGATGGGCCTCGCATTGCCTGCTGATACTGCTGCAACGCCACCGTTAGACTGTAAGTGAGGACCGTAAGGCGTCTGGCTTTGAAGGTGCATGCCGTTCAGGTAAGGTATCTGGGAACCAGAGTTACTGTGCGACAGTGGATGATAAGCGTCATGGACTTGTGACTGTTGTTGGCCCTTAGAGGAGTGCGCTTGGAGGAACGGGTCCAAGGAAGAGAATTGTTGAGGAACCTTACTACCTCCTAGCGGAGAGCTGGTTCCGAAGTCATACCCGCTGCGTGACTCGAATGCGGCAGACCTGGACGTACTCTGCTGAGATTGCTGAGAGAGTGGGTGCTGCAAATTTAAGGGCTGATGAGACCCAAATATCTCGTTTGTGTTTGAATAAGGTTGTGAGGGGAGACCATCTGGTTGACGCAAGCGATATGAGCCGGTGGCACCAGCACTGGAAGCATTGCCACCACTGATTCCGTTATAAGCGCTCAAAGACGACCTTAACGACCCAGCGCCAAAGTCGTTTGGAGACTTACTCCCGGCAATACTCTGCTTGAGGGAGATGTCATCTGAGAGGTACTCCGGGAGATGGAAATTATTGGATGTGTTATACATGGATTGAACTCCACCGTGAGAGAACAGTGACTCCGAGTTTCGATGATGATTATCATCAATGTGTTGCTGAAGAAGGGAAGTGCGGAGCAAACGATCATTCTCGTGGTTGGCATTGAAATCGATATTGCTGGGGGAATCAGGCCTATTCACAGGTGGGATATGAAATTGCGCTTCAGGAGATGGTGCTCCTGAACCAGAGTTGGAGTTTGAGTGAGACATGGCAGGTTGCGGAGATGGATGAATGGGTTCTGCGTCTCCTTGGGCTTCGAGAGAATCGAGCAGTGAACGATTAATGAGGTCCTCTTCGAGCCTTTGGATGGGCGGAGGAGTGGGAACTATGGACGCCAGATTGGTAGGATGGTGCGCGGGGTGATTACAGACAAGTATGTGGGATGGCTAAGACTAGAAATTGGACATCAACAGCCGTATAATGTTATGAATGTGGTACGGACGATCGTGGGAGGTAGCGCGAGACAGTGATTGCTGATATGGCTACAATCGAAAAACAAACTGACAGAGAGGTGTGTTTATGGGCTATGAGCGATTGCGTATGATAGAGATAGGGTAGATGGCGTCGGCGATGAATGTGACAGCGATGAGCAATAGCGGTCGACGTGCGCGGCGCGTGGGAGTAGATAAATAAGAGAGGTCAACACTGAACGGGCAACGAAGTGACAGCAAATGAAGCGCACGAAAAGGTGGCAGACGACGAGCGGTGTGATTAGGTCGTCGCCGTGGACGGTGAGGAAGAGTGTCCTGTCGCTGTGGTTATCGACGTGGAAGGTGCGATCGAGGTTGTCAAAGTGTGAAGGAACAAAAGGAAGCGCGCGGGGCCGACCCAGAATTCAAAACCGAAAAAAATTAACACCACCAATTATCTGGGTCACGAAAGTCACACATTCTCCCACGCACAGACCCTAACCTTAATTCTTTCACACGCACACACCCTCCATTCAACAAACGCACAGACCATCTCCTCGCACAATAAGTGGTTTTTGAATGAGTAGGAGAGAAGGCAGAGGAGAATGAAGCTTTGAAGGATGGTTGACAATGTATTAGCTCTACCATTGCGCAAATATTGTCGAGCTGACCTCCAAGTTGGTTGTTGAAGCTGAGGCAAGTCCGAGTCGTGGACAAGATGTAATTCCCTCGATTAAGTCGTCGTCTGGCTGAAAGGTGGGTGTCGTTTGGTAACACCACCCCACGAAGTCCCCGACGAAAGGGTCGAAACTGAATCTAGCTGCATGCGGATGTGGTCGACACGGTGACAATTCTTTTATTTCCTCGTAAACCTATTATTATTATAAAATTCGGATATTCTGTTCATCTTCAGGTCTAAATATTGGCGCTGGTAACCATGCGCTCAGCGGAGCAATTGCGGGCGTTTGCTTTATACCTGCCAATATTGTGCTGTATGAAAATATTGTATCGACAAGTATATAAACAAGAGCATCAGAGTCACACATACACTTCATCCACCTTCGTCGATCTTTTGGTTGAGACATTGTCTATTAATATGTTCATTTTATGAGGTGTCTCGGGCTCGACGCACAACGGCCATTTATCTTGACAGTACTTATCAGCACTTGCTGCCGTAAACACTGGTCGGAAAAAATGTTGTCCCCCAAGTGACCACTGGCATTATCTAGGCTGTCCTGTCTTGGTCCTAGCCTCGCAGGATGAATTAAATTGTCGCCGGACGCACTAGGATGACACTGAAAAACCTTGCGCACGCACAGGTTAAACCGGCCTAAGCTCGGGCACTGACAGAAGCTAGCATAGGGAATTAGGATTCTGCATTGCTCCGGGGACCCGAGTGAGTCGTCCCCAAAGACTCGGAGAAGAAATGCACAGCGTGCAGTAAAAATGCCATGGGTATTGTACGAAATACATTATGTTTACATAGAGCATCTACAAACGAGGATGATGATCAGCCTTTGTCTAAAGAAGACAGTAAAACATGGACAGAACCATGAGTCATACATGGAGAAATATACGCGTGCCGGCCAAAATAAACTTCGTATATATTGTCCATATGAAAAAGCTGAATTTCCCGTGATTTAGCAGACAACAATTAAGATGGTCGCACACTTACTACAGAAGCCACGCTAGGCGGCTATATATCTCGCAGTCCTCCAAATGTACCGACCGCGACCAACCACATGACGATACCGGTGGCCCACAGAGAAGCACAAATGAAACGCCACCGTGCGCGCGACGTCGCTTCTGCAATAGCGTACGGAGAACGCAGGTCATAATATGGTAGCAGCCCTAGGGTAGGGTCAGAGTGTAATAGAGGAGTAGGCCCAAAATGTGGTGGTGGTGGTGGTATAAATGACGGTGTAGCGTTTGAGCCGAAAAAAGACGAGGCGCGGTGAGGGTAAGCTCCGGGAATCCGTTCATGAGGCCCGGGAGAACTTGGTCCTTGCACTTGCCCTGACGGTCCCAAGTTATGTGGATGGGCAGAATATGCTGGAGGAGGTAGTTCAGGATTGACATTCAACTGCTCTGGCAGTTTGTGGGACATGGTCGGTCTATGAACCGAAAGGAAGTGGTAAATACAATGTTTGCTAGCCTTAAGTGGCTAGAAGTTAGGTATGCTGGATTTGAAATTTCGACGCCAGGCAAGCCTGGGCAGCCTGCAGTGTGTGGCGTGGCGTGACTTGTCAAGACACCTCGGATGTCAAATATTGAATATGGAATCACAACGCCCGTCATATATGCCAAATTGATCAAACATTTATATGACGATTATGCGAGTAAAACATATGGGTATCATGTCCATGTATTAAATGAATATACACCTGCGCGTTTCTGGCAACACCATCATCCTCAGGAGCTAGGGGCGCTTTGTTTTGCTTTGCCTGTGTTCGTGAACTGGCGGACATAACCAACCATGCCTGTCGAACAACACGCCAACATAGCGCAGTACCATGAGGGCGCATCATGTTTGCCAAGTTCTTGGAATAGCGGAAATAGAAAGATGAATGTGTTGAACAGTAGCCTATCTGAGCAGCTGCCCAGCGGCCTTCAGCAAGCGAAAGTACCATGAAAGGCGCTGGAGAAGAGGAAGGTGTCGGAAAGATTGTACGCTGTCTCCTCTCCATCACCGGTGCCTGGCAGCTCATCCACACTCATATCAATAGGAGATAGCCCTCTCGACTGATGCATCGGCGAGGAACGCGTGAAAGTCCGATGCAGCTGCCAATCCTCGTCCGTTATCCCTGCCTCCAACTGGTCATTGGATTGCGTCGAATTTTCCCAGTCCATCCCCATTAGTTCAGACATTGAAGTTGCAACTCCTGGACCATGATGATGTTCGAACTCTCCAATCAAACTGGAGTCAGCGCTGAATGACGTTGAACATGACATCGGAGTCGTCGATGCAGGAGAGAAATCTAAGTTGTTCCATGAATCCAACAAAGTTGCTTGCAGAGTTTGCATAGTGGGAGTCATGAGGTGAACCTGAAGTGTGGAATGGGCATGGATGCTGTCCGGGGGGAGATATTGTTCCTGCGCGTCTCCTGGATCTGAGACCAGGTGCTCTAAAGAGGCGTCAGTCTCTGGCGCTACACCATACAGCAGCCTGAAGGCAGCTGGATCCTGCGATACAGCAGGCATAACTTTGGAGCTTAAATAATGTAAATGCAGGGGTTCCCCAACTGTTGGAGCACCACAGCTCTGCGATGGGTGCGACGAATGTCCCGGAAGTAGAGCATACGAGAGCTCTGACGTATAAGGCTCTGAGAAGGGCTGGATCGATGACAACGTAGTTCTTGATCCAGTGATAGGTATGGGTAGCCGAGACGGTCTCTCCGTCCCTCCCGGCGCAATCAGAGGCGTTGAGGAATGGGCGGGAGAACGCATAAAATCAGGTTGATCTTGTGTTCTCTCGTTCATACTATAAGCAGGAGATGGGGGCAAGTGCCAGGATGGTGAAGAAGGCGGTTCGCGTCTCCTTGATCCTAGCCGACCATCAGCATCATAGACAGTGATGGGCAAGCTTGGAGACGGTTTCAAATTCGCAATGCTACCCTGAGCTCTATGTTCCATAGCCAAGGAATCATCAGTCTTTAGGGAGTTGTATTTTCCATCCGGTGTTAAAACCCCAACGTCGAATTCGCTTGGTCCTCGAGCATAAAATTTGGGGCACCATTTCAGCCCCCAACACGATTTGAGCTGTGGAGAGGAACTATAAGACTTGAACGAGAACAAATATCAAGTTTAAATGACTTACATATCTGGGTGGTATACAGCGGAGTTCGCAACCTATGACACGACCCAGGCAATTTTCACGGACATCCATGAGGTATCGCGAGATATGAAAGGGAAGAATGTGAACCACCCCAGGGTATGAAGACCATTTTATCTGAGTTGCACAGGGTCTTATAACGAAGTTCGTCCAAGTACAGCCCGCTACCGATTGACCAACACTTAGTGCACGAGTACGTTATTACGGGGTGCGCGTGCAGGAAAAAACGTGTTCACCAGCGTCATAAACATGTTCGCACATCTAGTGAGACCGTTTTAGAGACCTAAGCGACGGGACGCTTGCACCGCTGCACCTGCCAATGTGCAGCCTTACTGATGTAGAAAACCGCCTGTGCTGTGCCGATTAGTATTTTGCGGCTGAGATATATTTACTATCATACTAACGAGTTTGCGCCAGTGTGCGCATGTAGGCGCCTGGCAGCGTCAGATAATTCCATCGAACAATGCAATGACTCTTGCCTCGAGGTTACCGCATGTTCAAGGCGGTTCATGTCTTAAATCATCGCTGCAGAAAAAGCGAGAAATACTGAAGAAGTTTCGATTCCGGTTCGATCGCAGTGGTGCTCTACTGCGGCAGTGATTGAGTTGGCAGTTGATGGTAGATATCAGATGCCAAGTTTCAGAAATACTACTCCACCGGTGAACACTGCATGCTTCATACTTTGAGTGTTTGACCGGGTCGCAAAAGAGGAAACAGTGGTCGGCAAGAACTTCGTTGTTCGGGTAGCGAGTTACCTTCAAGTTGTCGGAGAATGTTGCCGTTGGTGCGAGGGTTGCACTCGCTCGAATTCTAGTGATGCGTATACATTTCCCTTGGATACATTGCAAAGAATGCGGGTAACAGAGCCAGAGGATTTAAATTGCAAATAAGTCAACAGAAGGCATATTGGCAGGGATAAGCCGAGTTCTTCAAACGCTACTAGTAAGACCACATCAAATGAATGCCGGGACCAAGACCTTCTGATACTCGAACGACGATTTGAATGCAATAGAATGTGTATGTACTAAGCAACATGGTTTGTTTACAGTGAACGATAATGTGAATGAAAGGGGAGCTCAGAAAGAGAGTGCATTGAATTTGGAGTCATGAAACTGACATCAAGTCTTGTTTCGTGAGGTAACCGTGCGAGGATAGGTCCCAGCATCTTGTGACGGCAATTTTGATGCGCTTCTTCGTGTCTGTGCGCGCAAGGTATCTCCGCGGGAAGCTACTCCTACCGTCTGGGGTACAGCACGTGAACCACCGCGAGTACCAGTTTTTGGTGCAGGAGCGCTAATTTTCCCGCGAGAGGATGCCGGGAAGTTTCTGGTAGTCAATGAAGGCTTGCGGACGCTTGTAGTGGACTTGGCAGTAGGACGCAGATATGTGGTTCGCCGCGTAGGCTCAAGAACTTTTCTCCTCTTAGCTGCACCGTCTTCACCATCACTGCTATCAGTGTCAGTTTCGCTGGGATCAGAGTCAAGGTCGTTTCCGTAAGACGGGGCAGTAGTAGTAGCCTTGCCACGCATGGTAGCATTCTTGGGTATAGTGCCGACAGCTGCAGCTCGACTTGTCGTGGTAACAGTCGGGTATGGGCGTTTTTGTCCTGCATAATGCGACGAATCAGATGTATGAAAGGAACGAGTGGACTCCGAGGAGCTGCTGGTATGCAAGGACGACTCGTTATCGTTAGTGGTCAAAGCACTTGGAAGGCTCGCCACAGAGGAAGACGCGTTCGATGCAACTGACGATGGGAATGAGCGATAAGGAGTCCGTAAAGTGACATTAAAGTCGTCATCGTCGTCATCTCTATACGCATCCTCATCCTCATCCAGGTTGCCTGCACCGCCGGATGATTGGGACCCATCTATACTAGGATGAACTTGTAAGCTGCGAGAACCAGGGCTCGCGGGCTCATGCGCTTGCTGGAGCGATACATCAAAAACCTGGTTATAGTCCATCAATGTATTCTCCGGAATGGGCGAAACTACAGTGGTCTGGGTAGAAGGTGGGTGGATCAAATTATCCCGTCCGGATGGCATGGCTCCAGAAAGAGAATGAGATGCAGTCAAGGGCGTCGGTGGGTATGCCGAAGGAAAAGGTGGGTACCCTCTCCAGTCTTCGTCAACTGGTTCGCTGACGATAACTGTAGGTGGAGGGGTCGCCAAATTGGGAGTGGATAGATTGGTTATTTCCGACCGTCCAATAGACGAACGGCTTCGTTTGTGTTCCTCTTCGTACGCAGGCGGCGGGGGACACCAAATCTCGTATGCAGCTGTTCTAGTATTGCTTGTTGTGGGACGCGCATGAATACGACCAACTGTATCGTTGGGATAGTGTGGGAGGGTTGTGATTGAGGACGACTTGGAATGCCGCATGCGGAGCGACATGCTCTCATAGGAATCAACGGGAGGTTGACGGGACTTCGGTCGCACCCTATTATTGGAGACACTGTGGACAGCGACTGAGCGCTTTGCCGCGACCCGGGGATCTGAATCCACAGTAGCGTGTGTTTTAGTCACAATAGGTATATTCGAGTCACCGCTAGAGCGTGTCGTGCTCAACTCGGGGGTGTTTTCGGTGAGGTCGGCGGCTGACTCATTTTCTTCTGTGTGCCAAGGAAGACCCGAGCATAGAGAGAGTACATAATTGAGCGGTACTTGTGAGAGAGCAAACAGAAAATCTCCAATATCCCTTGCTAGATCAAGCAATGGGTCCACGGTGTCCACATATGGTTTGATAAGTGGGCGCAGAATATGCAAATACAGAGGTTCAGCTCCCTGCGTGAGTGAGGCGTTAGCTTTGCTCGTATGGAGAAGTTATTGACGTCCTACCTTAGCACGGGTCAGCAGGAGAAACAGTAGCGTGACTGACTTGATTTCACTGTAGAACGGTACGATGAAGCTGACAAAACGGTCAAACGTTCTCTCATATGCTGCAAGACAGCACTACAGCACGACAGCATGAGCATGCTACGTAGGCTACGAATAACATACTAGCAATGCCTTACCCAAACAACCCAAACTGCGAGACACCCTTTGAGGTCCCTCTTTCTCTGAGTCATTGCCCTGATGCTAGGGGGACCACCCTTGCGTCCAGGTGGTATTTTGAGAGTCTTGTACGTGTCATATACATTCATAAAAACCATGAACAAACGGAGAGCGGGAACGACGAGTGGCATGTTGAAAACAGAGCCGAAAAAGTACCCAACAGATATGTCTAAAACGTAAGGCGCGTCGGAAAGTAGAGCAGAAAACTCCTAAAACTGGGTCGGGGTGGGTTTGCTGCGCTGCCTGATGGGTGTAGTGGTCGACGTTGTTGAAGTAACCTTGTGCATTCATGGACGACGCGCCTCCCACACCCATCGTGTCTGGCACCGCCTTACATAACCAACGGAACGGTGTAACGGCGAGTACTAGTGACAGTTATAAACGAGGCAGCTGATCATCTCCGTTCGGTACTAATTTTCATTTTTGTGTACGTGACAAGGTCCAGAAGCGCATGTATTCGTCAGATCACACAGTATGTTCCATGGCCTCGCAGCAAGCCATAATAAGAGAACTACGAAAGTATACGAACACGCCGCGAAGTCGTGGGGAATGTGAACGTTATAGGCTACGTAGCCAGAACATCGAGTGATACATCTGTGCAAGTACGGCCACGCCCAAGTGAAGTGCAGTTGATGAAAAGCGCTCGCTCGCTACGTCGTCTTCGATCGTAGATAGTATCATCCTGTTCGCAGCCGAGTAAAAGACTGAGAAGACCGAGACCAAATTGGAGCCGCATCCGTGCTCCGAAAGGAATGCGGATACATATATTCTGAACATACTTTCCACTGAAGCAGCTGTAGTAAATGCGCAATGTGGTTGGCCGGCATCCCAGCGAACCCAGGAGACCAGACTCAGAGCATAGGGCACCGCTTTGAGTACTTTCAAGGGACATCCTGCTAGACTAGGTGGTTTTGTTCTATCGAATAGCGGATTAGAAGGGTAGAGAGAAAAATAATGCAGTGATACCGGTTTCGGTGAAACTCGGACTATAATTACTTGTGTTCAGAAGGTTTAGATACAAGAACCTCGATATTTGTTTGATATCGGACGTTATTTGCGGGAGGCCATGGATAGACACGCGTAATAACATTGGTAATGAGTCTAACCGATACTAGATGTAAGTCTGTGCTCACCGCATTCATAATCCCCGTGCTTTCAGGACTGAGCAAATGCGATACTCGGCTGTTGGAAGGATCGCGTTTCTACAACAAGGATAATTTAAGATTCATCATGACAAGTGACGCAAAGAGCACCTTTGCCAACCTAAGGTCCAGGTAACGAGACTCGATCCATCAGTCAGAGATAAGCTATTACATAGAACATAAGCACTCACTCTGCATGCCAATGGGCGACACATAATCAACAATGACACTTACTTACATATCATGACTACAAGGGGATACAAGTAGCTCGCCTTTTACAAGTCTTTACGCCATGAATAGACCTAGATCACGGAAGAATGATTGAAGAGAAGACTTCTTTTGACACGAGATACGCGATATCGTAGTTTCGTAGGGGCTACCGACGCCAGAAAGGTAACAAGACGTAGCCACAGACGTACAATGTCGACGAGTCAGGACAAGAACAAAAGACCCTAAATGGTAAGCTTTGTCAGAAATTGGTGTCGAAGAAAAGTTCTCACGGGTCGCTCTCACCTCCTCGTCATTAACGATGCCCAGAATACGCACAACGAGGACGAAGAAGCCCCCAGAAGGCTACGAGGATATCGAAAGCGTAGGTAATGATAATCAACAGGCTCTTCCAATTCTGACATTGTCGTAGATTCTCGATGATTATGCGAAGAAGATGAGAGACGCTGAGAACGAGTCTCATGAGGGCAAACGCAAGGCCGAGTCCCTCTGGCCCATCATGCGTATTTCGCATACACGATCGCGTTACATATATGAGCTCTATTATAAGCGTGAAGCTATCACGAAGGAACTTTACGACTGGCTTTTAAAGGAGGGATACGCAGATGCGAAGTAAGTCAATTGCTTGTCTCCAAAGTCTATCATATACTGAACGTCAATTGCTTCAGCTTGATAGCCAAATGGAAGAAGACAGGTTATGAAAAGTTGTGCTGCCTCAGATGTATCCAGACCAAGGTATTGTTCACCTTTCAATTCGCTGAGACAGTACTCACTCATTTTTCCAGGATATGAACTACCAAGGCTCTACGTGTATCTGTCGCGTGCCGAAAGCACAGGTACGGTCAGGCACGGTTGTTGAATGCGTACATTGTGGTAAGTGTTTTAATTTTTAATTTTTGTTTGCAACTGACCTCTATTCGTTAGGCTGTCGCGGCTGCAGCTCAGACTCCTAGGCGGGGAGATCCATATCAAGTCATCACCAAAGGAGCAGGACCTTATAACCAGTCATCTACCTCGGAGGCGCCTATACGAGTTTTGTCAGTCGAGATACATTGGGAGGACAGATGGGGAAAGTGTAGTCGCAATATCTGCGCCCTGAGGTCCATTGCGTCCATTTGCATACAGCAACAGATTTTGCTCAGAATGTTTGTTATTTAGATATGATCCGTATTTTGTATTCTTGCAATCACCATTGAGGTGCTCTCCCGATCAACAACCAAGAATACAACATCCGAACATTACAATATTGTCGATATGGTGAGGTTGGTAAACGTCTTGTATTTTCTGGGTATGTATTTTGTGGCGTCCATGAAAAGTACAAGGACTTCTTGTACACTTGAACAGATTAAACGAAGACACTTCTGCAGGTTGCCATCTACCGGTGAACTTCTACTCTTGTCTCCAGCGCGACCTTCATGCTGAATCCAAGGACTTGTTCTGCGAACCACCGGGTGACCGGCAAAACGTCATGTCATGCAGGGCGCGCCACTGGGCGAACTTTTATAAGCTCAGGAGTGGGGCTGTAGTACCCCGCTGCCAACAAAACAATCACACAGCAGCCGGTGAGTCATGCACCCTCTTGACATCTATCCAACATTCTCATTATGGTCGGACCTACCTGTATTCATTGCAACCGCCTTCCGTTCTATTTTTTACTCAACATGATGAACAGAAGAACAATCTTCACTCAAGAACACGCCGTACAGCAATGGTTTTTGCCCAGAGAACATCGCAAAGGAAGCGTCCGATGTGTCACAAGTGCGGGTCGACCATGGCGGGCCATACGCGGAAGAACAACATGTTCGTCTGCCCTGGGCCTGCTGAGCGTAAATCGCACCTTCTTTCAACCCCAGACACACCCCCACCCACATATGAGTTCCACGGCTTCCAGGTTCCACCTGGCGACCGCTGGCACTGGCGAAACCCTAATTGGGTCTCGCCACCCCACGAAAGACGATACGAGAAGGCTCACCGCGACGTGTCCCTCACACCTACAGAACCTCTGTCCGATGATGGGTCAGGAAAGGAAAACATTTCGCCCTCCACTATGGAGCATTCTCCTAGTCCTGACTATCCAGATGACGACTGGGCCGATAGCTCAGATCCTTTATACTACTATCCCAACTTTTCTATCAAGGAGGAATCCCCCGAGCCGCAGGTTGACACCTACATATCGGGCTACTCTCACTCGCCGCCTCCCCGCCAATGGTCCTCATTCTCGCAGTCACCTATCACCGACGTAAGCCTTAACACGGCCCTCCGTGCAGGCACGCCACTGTACAGCGTGTACCGCGTCCCACGTCAAGACATTCCAAAAGTCAAACGCACTGCACAACGCGAGGGGAAACTTTTCAGTGTGATGGAAGCTCCTCCTGCACACCTCGCCAAGATCCCGCGCGAGAAATCGCAAGAGACGGTATGGGTCATTCTCAGCGATCGTGAGGAAGACCTCAAGTACGCAGTACATTCCCAACGCATGCCGGGTGCCTTCGCCCAAGGCATGACAGCAGACTTCAGCGACTCAGAAACTAACGCAGTAGCTCCAATCATGCAGCACGTACCGTTCTGCAATACTGTAGATCAGCCCGTGATGCGCAACGCGACCTTTGACCAGTCGATGTACAGCATTCCTGGTGGGCTGGCGGTTCAAGAGACCTTGCGATCAGCCGGTTATGGGTTTCTTCAGATGGCATTTGCTGGGATTATCGGTGGCCTTGTCGTCGCCTATGGACGGGCCCTCTTGTAGCGATTCGGGGCGACTATCCATCAGTGGTGTTGGGTTGGGAATTGGTGGTCAGCATTATACGTTACCTTTCTCATTGGACTGCAGATACGAACGATCTATGACAGTTTCCGCTACTATATGCCTTATGTATTCTTTTGTTATGCTCTATGCCAAGCTTTTGTTATGATCGACCACTTCAGTCAGTGTCATATCGAGACGGTTCAAGGATACAATTGTCGAGGCCACATGCATAGACGATGTGAACACCGCCAAACAATATAAGTGTACGCGTCAAAAATATACGTAGCAATACAAACAAAGTCAGAAAGCGTCGTCATAATACCTAAAGAAGGTGATAAAGACATATTCATACACACTCCTATAACGTATCCCTCCAATTCTCGCCGATATCAACTCTATACCGCCCAATCATCTAACGTCCCACCACCAGGTCGACTTCCCCACCCTCGTGACATGCGTTCCTCCATATGATCATCGACCCGTGCAGAGCTCGTGCTCACAGGCCCCGCAGTGAACAACCTCCCAAACCACCCAAGTGTCTCACCTTCTTCGGATTTCCCCTTGCGTTTTCTGCTTCGGTTCTTCCGCTTTTCCGAGATTTTCGAAGACCCTGCACGTGAGCTTGCATATGACTCTGGGAGCTCCGCAAAGCTGATGCGCTTGGGCGTCGACACGCCTGAGGGACAATCACTCCCGAGGACTTTGGCCACGCCATTTCCAAACATTTCCGAGAGGCTGCCTGCACTTGGCGATGAACGAGGTGTCGGAGGCACAGATGGCACTTTCAGGGAGGAATGTGTAGGTGGGGAAGGGGGACGCGTAGAGGATGAATGTCTGCCTTTCGTGAAGAGACGGGATATAGAGGCAGTGGCAGTGGACGTGCCAGCAACCGGGGCGGGGGTGGGAGTGACAGGCATGAAATTGGGCGACCGACTTTTTTTGAAATCTTTTCGAGGGGGAGAGTTGACGGAGGTGGATGATGATTGTTCATCAAGGATTTTCCGGAGGGATTGAACGGTGCGGTAGCCAGTAGGGTGATCTGATGAATCTGATGAAGAAGTAGAAAGCTCCTCGATTGGTGGGGTCATTACGCGGGAAAGAGGGGCTACGGATTGTCTAGGCGTCGTGGAGCAAGATAGGGATGCAGACTCTGGCTTGCGATTGCGATCAGGAGACATTTGTTTCCTACGTACTGAACAAGGGGACCTAGACAGCTTCGATCCGCGTTCAGTGCTGCATGTACTCGTTGAACCACGTCGTGATATGAAGGCACGAGGGGACGATGGATCAGTTGGTGGAGGTGTGGCTGACTCTGAACGCTTCACTATATTGGAAAGGAGATTGTATGCTGGGGTGGGAACATCCTGAGGCTGTCCCAATAATACAGGTAATGACTGTGAGGACTGTAGCTCGTGCTGTGCGACAAAGCTGTGATCCTGCCAATCGGCCGAGTGCGATGAAGCAGAGACCCGTAACCCCAGGGTGGATGGCAGCATTATCATGCCTGGATCAGCTGTTGATTCGACATACTGAGTGAATGCTCTAGGAGCAGGTGCAACGAGCAAATCACGTTTCGGGAGCGAAAATTGAAGCTGTGAAGCGCTCGAGCATGAGCCATTGAGCTCCAGTAGTGACGGCCTCCTCCTGTATCGCAAATCCCTCATATTTGATATGGGGAGACTCTGACTAATCGCGGCTTCGTTCGGCTTGACCGGACTGATGTCTATAACCTCCTCGTCAAACAACCTATCCACAGCTTTCGATATCTCATCCAGATGTGTCATCCATGTCCCATGCACACCGCTGTTCAATCTGATTCGCGTTGAGAGGTTCCTCGCACGAACTTCGAGAGAACGGTCCGGCCCGACCTCAGATGAAAGCAACGTCGAAAGACTGCATTGAGTGGAGATTGAGCTCTGCATGAGCGCATTTGACATCTCCAGTGCATGCACACTGCGCTCAAGCAGCGCGTCGAGGGATGGGTCGACGGTTGACACAGGGACTGACTGGCGTTTGCGTCTGCGTGTGTGCGGTGCCGTGCGTCGGGGCGGAATGAGCTGAAAACGTTGTGAAGCGTAGGCCACAGCCTCTTCCTCCGTGTCTGCGTCTGCGTCCTCCTGGCTATCAGGGTAGTCAGGCGGTCTATCAGACTCGTTTCCGGCGAAGAACACTGAATTGGATGGTTTACTCAGATTGAGCGGAGCTGAGTACTCTGGGAGAGTCCGTACTGTGTCGTACGACAGTCTTGAAACTGAGGAACGCTTTCTGTGCGTTCTGCGAGATTGATGATGGTGGTTTGATGAGTTCATGACTACCGGGTGATTTGAATGATAAATAGCATAGAGACACGCAAACAAGCGCCTGATGGAGCCGGGTGAGAAGTGGAAGCAGAACAGAGGGGCAAGTATAGAAATGAGTCAGCGCAATTGGCGCAACCGTCTCTCTGCCACATGTAGATTTTCAATACGGCCCGTGGAGTCACAATTAACATAAGGATATCATCTGACGTGACCAAGCATGTTGCAAACTTACGCCAATCGATCAAATTACATAATCGTGCAATCATGCCATCTGCTTCTATACCCTCCAGCTCAAGTAATAAGTAATAGACGTGTAATCAAAATATTAAGGCCCGTCAACATCTAGAAAATGGTCAATGGTAAATCATAATGCGATCACTTCTCCAAGATCCCGTTGATCATGCTACTACAGTCACAGACGTCTCGGGTGGTGCAAAATTGTCAAATGGACCCGCAGCACCTTCAAGGTACAGTCTTGTGGCTCTATTTGCCAAAATAGAGGGCAGATAAAACTTCCAGGTCGTCCAGAGGAACCACCGGCTGTACTGAGACAGGATAGAGTCGTAATTGACTAATAGCATGCTGAATAACTTGTCCACGCCACGTAAATGAGTTCCTCACCTTGAAGAGCGGCACGCAATTCGAGCCACTTCTTCGTCACGTCCGTAAGAATGACATCGATGCCCCATCGTACAGCCTGTGTCCTAACTTGAGACTAGAGGTGGCAGTGTAAAAGTAAAGCCACCGACCTCCATCATGTGCTCCGGCTCATTTACCGTCCATACCATAATCTTCTTACCCGCAGCCTTGCACTCATTCCGGAACCTTTGGGTACTGTCACGGGACCGTCACTCAGACACAAGAATAACACTCACTTCTGGCCATCATAGGTGGTTAGAGAGGCGAACGCCATTGAAAAGACCTCCACGCCATCCCAGAAATATTTCCGTGCAATCGAAAGGCTCACACCAATGTGTGAGCGTCTACAATATTGTAATCTCGCTTTCGCAAAAGCCACGAAACGCGGATGCCAAAGGCCCAGCAGAATACGGGGAGCCAACTTCGTCTGCCAATCAGGCTGCGTTGAGATAACATCATGCATAATCGAGAAGAGGCGGTCAGGATCATTCTGAACTTTGACGTCAACGTTGAACTTGACATGCTGGTTCTCGGGCTACAAAGAACGTGGGCGAAACGATTGGATGAACGCACGAACGCCGTGGATATAAGGGGGCTTACTTTCATCAAAAGAGCGATGGTCTGAGCGAACGTGGGGATACATTGTTGAGGTTGCTTGATAGTACGGAGGTGTTCCATTCCATCTTTGCCGTACCAATGCCGGTCCCTGATTAAGCCTACATTCATTGGTCAAGCCACAAACGTGCCTTAAAATGTAAGCTAACAACCTTTTGATCCTGTGGTCCTTTCCAAATCTGTAGAACGCACGCAGCATCGGATGAGCGAATTGGAAAAAAGAGTGAAATATTCAACATACCCGGGTCATGGAACATTATGACGACCCCGTCCAACGACACATGAACGTCTGGGATACAGGTTATGGAGACTAACACAGGCCAGGGTTATTAAATACCGCTCTCGATGCCTTCTGCCCCATCGTTGATGGCGGCTTCAAAGCTAGCGAGGGTGTTCTCTGGGAAAACTGCTGAAGCCTTGTGATAGCTTATTAGTGTCGAGTGGTGTTGCCCATGATTCAATAGTTTGACTCACTCCTCGGTGACCCCAGCATTCTGAAACATTATTGTTAATCCAGCTCCATTATGACGAACGTGGTGAATGTCATTACCTGGTAGGACTTGAGTTGCGGTCATGTTTGAACTACACGCAAGCACTAGAGACGGGGTATAACAAGGAAGTTCTAGAGGTAAGAGAGGAAAGGACCTTAAGGAGAGCGGAAACTGTTTTAGATTATATAGCAAACCCAAACACTCTTAGGAGTGGCAGCTGGGAAACAAACATTACCCGAACGAAAGTCGGCGAATAAGAGAAGGACCAAAATTTCGCATCGCTTGAGCTAACGTTATAGAAATCAAAGTAACCAAACCAACCCGAACCAGGAATGTTAAATCAATTTTCGAGATAGTAACTAACTATCCGTTCACAAGACCAAACTTGCAGGCATTGCAAAATGCATATATCAGGTATCAAACAAAGGGGGTTCAACTTCTGGGAAGGATAAGAGTGTGACGCGACGAGAAATGTTCTTTTTACCTTTTAAGGAATCGCTAGTAATCGGCGCTTAGAAGGCGGTAAACCATATAAGAAATGCGGGGAAACCCGTGCACGTCTTTGTGGGGTTAAATCTTGGTTAGGTCATACATCCATTGGTATATCAGAGTCGGTCCGAAATCCCCACATATTATGAACATTTATATAATGAAGTCAAGAATGGTATCATGCACTGGAAGTGTTCCAGAACCCAGCAATTATTACCTATGTTGCCACGTCATTTATTCAACTAGTGGTGCTGTCTGCCGACAACTACCATCCCCTCATCGTCTGTCTCCGTTCCATATTCGCTAGCGCTTCCTTCTTGCCTCAACGATCGAGACAACGAGGTGTCAACGCTCGGAGTCTCACTGCCATCCTCATCGCTTGGCACATCCGGAACTTCATCGGACGCAACCTCGACAGGGGTAGCCGGTATGGGATCCGGTTCTGCGACAGGTGGCAATTCAGTTTGCATTTCTGGCTGTTCGGCCGGTTTCATGTCTTCTTCTGAGGTGACCCTGACAGAAATTTCACGTAAAGTTGCCAACATCTGATCTCGGACTAGCGTCGTCAATTCAGGGACGTCCGATACAGAGAGTCCTGCGGTTGAAACTGGTGGGAGAACTGTGAAACGAGTGTTCAAATCAGTGAAATTAAGCGGCCATAGATTGAAACGAGTCAAGAATTGTCTACTGACCTCGGACCCTGATCGTGCCTGATCCGAACACACCCTTGCGATAAATTCTCCAGTAATTCTCACAGACAACAGGTATAACGGGTATTCCAGCTTCGACAGCGAGGTGGAAAGCACCCTTCTTGAAAGGCAGTAACGATGGTACTTCTTGGCAGTGCCGTGTGCCCTCGGGATACATCATCAACGAGATGCCCTTCGCTTTCATCTCATCTCCAGCAGCTGCGAGCGATCCGTGTGCCTTTGCAGTGTTTCCACGATCTACAAACACAGCACCCGACATGAACATCCATGGACCCAGAGGTGACCATTGGAGCTCCTTCTTAGCCATAATGGACGCCTTCCTGGGGAACATCCTACAAGCACGATGCGGAACAAAATATGAACCATGTCAGTTACACACCACTCATCAAGCTTCTTTACAAATGACACATACCTTCCCAAATACAAAATATCAAGCATACTCTGGTGATTACCCACCATGACCACAGGGCATGTCTGAAGATGCTCCTCGCCCTCGACCTCTACTTGGATATCCAAAACACGACTAGCAATGGCATAGAACGACCGGGCCACGACATAGTTGACGTCATGCCTGCGACCCACCAACGTCATTCCAACTGCAACAAAGACTCCCCATGTCGAGACTACTGCCAGCGTCCCAAGGTAAATAGTGAGTTGAGCATAATAACGCCCAACGGGAGAAGCTGAGGCGATTGTCCGAAGTACGATAACAGGAACAGAGATATAAGCCAAAGGTTTGATGAGAAGAGCAAGAAAAGACATGAAGAATCGCGGTATAGACTCTAGATGATTAATCACTTGAGAAATCAATAAAAACGCGACGCAACGCACGCTGTATAGCCAGCGGACGTGCACGCGGTAAAAGTGCTTGTGACAGCTCAGATCCGGGAAAACCAGCCATATGTTGACTTTGGTCCTTTTCAACCCAAACTCAAGTACTCAGATCACCCAACGGAGTGTGAAATAAATATAGTTTCCCTACCAAAATCAACTCGGCATTTAATTTTTGAATTCTTGTTACAATGTTACTTGATGTCCAAACCCTTGCGTGCTGCGCTGCAGCTTCACGAACTGAGGCTTATAATTTGAGCTAGGTGAGTCCGCAAATAAGATTTCGCATCAAGGCGGTAGTTGTGACATTCAAATCCTTTGTAGATGTTCAAAGACACGTAGTCAATCTGTGGTATTATCAATGACATGTGATTGTGACAGGACGGTCTTCCCTGAACTTCCACATTGAACAGGCTTGCATATCAAGGTGTTAGCACGCGACGACTGGAACAAGCAGCCAAGGGATCTGTTCAAGTGAAGGAGAAAGCACGTTAAGGCAGGTTCGTGCCTACCACTGCAGTCGAACCTGTCTGACATACCGTATCTTTGTCCATGGGAGAGAAGAGTGTTGCAAGGCTACTAGGAAAGCCACTCGAATATTATCCATTTTGTCGATCAAAGTTGTGCACCGACAACTGTTCCATCTAAATGTTCATAAGGCTCGTATCTTACCTTGTTTGATGCTAAAGCAACTACCCATTCTCATGATGCACACCTGCTTAAGAATCCCAGAGATTCTACACATGTTCTCTGACATTTACTATGTCTTCATAAACTCTAGTTTGTATCATTGGGATCGCTTCTCTCAACTCAACCTAGGCAAGGAGAGTCACGAAGTTCTCTAGCTGTTCTCTGCAAGTCTGCCGCATCTTCAAAGATATAGTTTTGGATGTGCTCTGGGCTGAGCTGGAGAAGATGTGACCGCTTTTCACTTGTCTTCCACAAGATTCACGGACCAAGACTTCTAGTCAAATTGCATGTGCAAGTCCTACCGGTGTTTCGACTGCGATTAGTGTTTTCATTGGTATCACTGTCAGATCATATGGAGGCCTGTAATCACGGATGTTTGGTCAGTCTTTGAGCAACACGCATTCCGGGTGCACGTTCCATGAGACATTCGGATATTTTTGGATGTATAGATGCGAAATTTATTCATGCCATAATGAACTTTTCTCCACGGTCAAAGCTGGCGATGCCAGACCTCTAAGCGCTCTCCTGTAGAATATGTCCTCGTGGTGCCCATTTATGCGTTCTCTCCTGGGCCTCAACCTCGTCAAGCATTCACCACAACTGGACGACATCGCACTACCTATCGTGCTTCCTCAACTTAACGAGCCTGTTTCCTCTCATCTGCGGACGGTAACGCTTGCCTTGTTGGCCCCGACGACTGGAATTCACTGTCACGGGAACGTTTGGACGGCGGCGAGCTTCAATTTCGTATTAGCCATCCAATCATTAATCCCTTTGATCTTGGACAGAGAAATTGTAGAAAGCTGGGTTGTTCAATGCAGATCGCTGGGGCTGCGGTTCTGAGAACTTGAAAGTGCGCTTCTTGTCGGACGGCATCCTACGCAAGTGGGACAATCTTCTACTTTCGGATGGTCTAGAGTGTATCAAACTGAACGGACCTGAGACGTCAGACGATGTCGCTTATGCGTTCAGCCTCGATACATTCGATCTCCAGAGCTCCAAGAGCTTTGTCTCACATCTGTTCGCATGTCATTGATTGACGTCGAAATCTCCGGCAGACACGACCTAACATTACTTTCCGTTCACACCGAGTATCCGACGCTATGAATGTAAATCCACCCATGACTGAGAAACTGGTAGGTGGGGTTTGCAACGCAAATATCACCAATTTGTGTCGAATGCTTTCCGGTCGAACAACCATGGCAAGTCGCAGTCGCGCTTTCGGCGATTTTACCATGTGTGAGTGAGAGAGATCATAGTCGAGCTCGAGATATCCTGGTGTCTCGACCGAAATATACGACACAGCGGGGAAACTGACATTTTACCACCTTTTGCTGCCAGTGAAATTACATTCGAAAGGTAACCTAGGGTACTCCAGTCTAAGTGGAACGAGGTGTTAGAGTGCATCAGCGTGATACCTTGATCAAGAACCAGGACGTAATAGTTAAAGTTCAGTGTCATGCTCATGCTACCGAGAAGGTCAATACAAAAGATCCTTTAAGTCAAGCCTTGTTGTAATCTTTGAGCAACGCCCACATCGGTCAGCCTTGTCCTTCCGTGGATATTGATCGATGTTCTCAAATAATGTACATGTCGGATCCAGCGCCGGGTCTCTTCCGCATTCCATATATGTAGCAACTACTATCTAGAGTTCCCCGCTTGAGGCTGAGCATCTGGTGCGTTCTATTATGTAGGCGGACTCTTCCCACTCTGGCGTGATGAGAAAATTATATACTCGTTCTTGTACATGACATTGGGAATAACACATTGGATATTGTGCGTGTGCTGTTTCCCCAACAGGCTAGCGAACATGCACCAGCTGGGAGGCGGGAGTACATCGCTCGTTGTAAATACGGCAGATCAATCGATAATGGCAAAGCTGTGGCGGATAGCCTTAACATTCTGTATCTGATCACGAGTTGCCGTTCTGCGACATCTATCCTATTCCGAAACATAGACAGGGAATAGTAGGAATAGTCATGCAAACCACCTAAATGAATAGCATAAATGGCGCGCCTAGTGCGCCAACAAGGCAATCAATACAATTGCGAAAGGAGTGTACCTGCTGTGCCCGCAGCTGATCCACCGGATGTAAGGACCAGAGTGACAAATACAGCATAATCGTAGAGAGATGTCAATCCTCCTTCTTAGTCCGAACGGAGCGTCGGTGAGGTGCCGTGATCTCCCGAGTTCCAGCATCGACATCAGATGCCCTCCTTTTCTTGCCTTTCTTTGGTTTTATGTCGGGCTCTTCACTCGCATCAGCCTTCCCCTCAACTTCGCTGCCATCGCCGTCGTTGTTCGTTGGATTTGTTTTCGCCCTAGGATTCTTTGTGACAGCTTGTCTTGGGCGTTTTGATGTAC